TATATATATATATATATATATATATATATATATATATATATATATATATATATATATATATATATATATATATATATATATATATATATATATATATATATATAAAAATAAAAAAGTGATTTTTTTCTGTTATTTATCTGTAAGTATTGGGATACGGTTGGCCCGCGCTATTGAGGAAATACGTGGTTGAGCCGGCCCACATGTGGTGGCCCGGCACTTTGGTCCAGGTTTCCCTCTTCCGGTTAGAAAACTATATATATATTTCCTGGCTGCGCCACTATCTAACTTATTTTAACATTCTAGTCCTTATCTTCAATCTTATATGCCACATTACCCCACCCAAAAAGAAAAGGAAATTACTTTACTACTTTTTTAGTGTTTCTTTCTCTGTATATTTTATTATCAACCAATATATATCTCTTTCTTTATTTGACTTCGGGGATCTCTTGGGTATCTTTTAGGGGTTTATTATTGCATTTAATCCCCTCCGTTAAGTCGAATTGCTAAAAAGTTACTCATGTTATTTTGTTGGCAAAAATTCCTCAATAATTCATTTTTTCAGCACACAACCCCCTAACCAGTGTGTTTCTGCCAATAAAGTAACATGCGATCGTTATTTAGCAATTCAATATAATGTAAGGGTGCTAGTTGCAAGACTAAGAGCCTACTTTTTCTTCTCTATTCACATTAGAGAAGAAAATAGCAAAGTTTATTTTTTAAGCTGCCTAAAATAATTCAAAAGAGTTCAAGTCATAGGTGCTTTTATGCTAATACTTATAACACGAGGAGCTTTTTTACAATTCGATATAATAGAGGGGTACTAAATGCAATAAACTAAAAAAAAAAAAATATGTATAGCAATTTACAGGCTGGAGACACCTAGGACTTTTCACGTGCAAAGTCTTTGCCTTACTATTACAGCTAACAAGTAAAACAAGTTGCAAGTAGTTCATCTTTCAATTTCATGTCATATATCATAATATCAAATCTCATGCATAACTAATTAATGTATTCACATCAATTTGCACAAAAAAGATTCCTCAGCTATAGACAAATCTACAAACCTTAGTTTGCGGCCAGATTCATGAGGATCAATTAAGTAAACCAACGGTCATCGAATCGTTGACTTATTTCAAAATCAACAGTTGACTCCAAGTTCAACTTTTTGAAATTTCAGCCTCATCCAGTAGAAACTAGAGAGAGAGAGAGAGAGAAGAGAGAGCATTTAATTGTTCTCTTCTCTGGATATCAAATACTTAAACTCAGGAACAGCATAAGCATGGTAAAAGCATTTAAGTCTTTCCCGCTGCAACGAATTTATCGAGAATTTTTGCATATAAAACATATAGCACGACAAGTTTTTCCATAACTCATGTTAAATCACAACCACGTATGTAACTTGATCGTAAAACCATAAAGAAGAAGGAAAAATGAAAGAAAAGCAAGCAAAAAGTCGGTGTCAATGATCATTGTGTCATTACAAGTCAATGTACGTGAATTACGAGTCATGTTAATCTCCAAAATTCAAACATGCATTTTCTTGATACGAACTACATTTCCCATCTTATTCCGAATTCGACGTCCAGATTCTCTTCTCGTAACTCAGGTTTAAGAAAACATTTGACTCACGACTTCTGTCTGAATTTTACAGGGCATTGCACGAAAAAGACGAGCAACGCATGTCAAGGGCTAAATTTTTCCTAATCGCGCTAATCTGCAGTTTCTCTTGGTACCTAGTACCAGGTTACATATTCCCAACGCTAACGAGTATCTCATGGGTATGTTGGACATTTTCCAAGTCAGTCACAGCACAACAAATAGGATCAGGCTTAAGAGGACTCGGTTTTGGAGCCTTAACACTAGATTGGACAGCTGTCGCATCGTTCTTGTTAAGCCCACTCATATGCCCCTTTTTCGCAATAATGAATATCTTTGCTGGTTATGTGCTGATAATCTACCTAGTACTTCCTATAGCCTACTGGGGATTCGACCTATACGGTGCTAGTAAATTTCCCATTTTCTCCTCGCACTTGTTCACAGCTCAAGGTCACAAGTATAACATATCCGCGATTGTGAACGACAAGTTTGAGCTGGATCTGCAAAGTTACGAAGAGCAAGGGAGGATACATCTCAGCATGTTCTTTGCCTTGACGTACGGATTTGGTTTCGCAACAATTGCAGCCACTCTAACACATGTCGGCTGCTTCTACGGAAGGTACAGTATCTTACTATCTTGCTTAGAGAAATTGTTTTTGGTTGGAGTCAAAATTATCAATTTAAATATGGACAAACTACACTTGACGATTCAAAATTCAGGATACAAAATTTATCTGGTTTTTTCGTCATCCCCCAAACATGAGTACATACTAAATAGAGGTTGTATTGTAACTACAGGGAAATCTACGCAAGATTCCGTGCTTCGTACAAGGAAAAAGATGACGTTCATACGAGACTTATGCGAAGATACGAGGACATACCTTCTTGGTGGTTTTATATACTACTAGCAGTGACGCTTGCAGCTTCTCTAATACTCTGCATCTTCTTGAACGACCAAGTTCAGATGCCATGGTGGGGGCTCATCTTTGCTAGTGTCATTTCCTTCACGTTCACACTTCCGATCAGCATCATTACAGCCACAACAAACCAGGTGAACTGATAGATTGCATTCGTACACATTCCCCTTCATTTGCAGAGTATCAATGACGACCGCTTGACTGACTGGACAAGCAAAATAATTGTTGCATCAGTATCAAATCAATATAATGCACACACTCAGTCCACACACAATGAATACATATTTAAAGAGATATGTGTGTATAGAGAGAGAAGAGAGAGAGCAGTCAACACATAAACCTGGACATGCAGACAGTCATAAATATATACCATTTACAAGCATAAATACCACGCATGAGAAAATTTCTGCAAAACTAAACATGTTAAATTTGCAGACACCAGGTTTAAATATTATCACAGAGTATGTTATGGGTATAATATACCCAGGAAGACCGATTGCTAATGTCTGCTTCAAGACCTACGGCTACATGAGCATGGCACAGGCTGTCTCTTTCCTCAGTGACTTCAAGCTAGGCCACTACATGAAGATTCCTCCGAGATCTATGTTTATAGTTCAGGTATACAACATTACAGGGTCCATTACCATCTTCAAATACAAATATTTCACCATTCTCGTTTTCGACACCAATTTTTATGTTGAAAATTCGCCTTTCAGTTCTTGGGAACAATTATTGCTGGCACCGTCAACATTGCTGTGGCTTGGTGGCTGCTTACGTCTATTACAAACATATGCCAAGACGATCTGCTTCCACCAGACAGCCCGTGGACATGCCCTGGAGATAGAGTCTTCTTCGATGCATCAGTTATATGGGGTTTAGTGGGACCGAAAAGAATTTTCGGAAGTCTTGGAAATTATAGTTCAATGAATTGGTTCTTTCTTGGAGGTGCAATAGGGCCCGTCCTAGTTTGGTTCCTCCACAAGGCGTTTCCGAAACAATCTTGGATTCCCCTAATAAACCTTCCTGTCCTTCTAGGAGCAACAGGTGCTATGCCGCCAGCAACACCATTAAATTACAATGCCTGGATCATCATCGGAACAATTTTCAACTTCTTTGTTTTCCGCTACCGCAAAATCTGGTGGCAAAGGTACAACTACATTCTTTCGGCAGCTCTAGATGCCGGAGTAGCTTTCATGGCGGTTGGGCTCTATTTCACACTGGGCATGGAGGAAAAAGGAATAGATTGGTGGGGTACTAGTGGAGAGCACTGCAAACTAGCAACTTGTCCAACTGCTAAAGGCATACGAGTTGACGGCTGTCCCATATACTAATGTAATTGTACTTAGTATTTTCCACTATTTCTTTGGTATCAGGGATAACTATATGAACTCCATATGTATGAAAATCATCAATCTTAAGATATATTCCAAAAATTACAGGAAATATCCTCTCCATATCTCCTTAGATTAAAACCACAGAGAATTTCAGCAGATTCATAATCATCACCATAAACTGGAGCCTTTATATATCTGAAATTTTGGTTTCTAAAAATTGATTGCACCAATTCCTAATGTATCCACCTATAACATAGGCAGTACACAATTAAATCATGGGAGTCATCTTTGCGAATAAGCCAAACATATTGATTACTATGATTGAGACAAAAAAAATGTCTTTTGACTTTTTATCTATTGGTAAGATGATGCTTAAGGCCTTACCGTATTGGTGAAGACTGCGTTGAAAGCCACTGGTTATATTCATCCATGCGAATGATAAAGGAGCTCGAACTTGGGGAACCCCCACCACCATATGCCTGCGGGTTCAGACAGACTTGAAGTTTACTCCAGGAAAGTTCTTCTCGGGATTCTAAAGATTATTGGGTAACGAGGATTGACAAACAAACTTGGTTGTTGCATACCTTAGCAACTTCAGAAGTATCAGTACTGCTATCTAGAGTCCTGAGGCACATTTTTAAATTATTACGCTGCATGTGTATGACAGCTCCAATAGGCCTGTTTCATCACAAGACAAATTCAGAATGAAGTGGAATTAGTACCCCTTTAAAAAACAAATATTAGCCTTATAATATGGCCTTACAACGCGCACACATACAATACACGCATACCTAGCAACGGTATCTTTTGAATACATAGAAATACAGAAACAGTCGATGATCTTGGGCCCTCAAGTATTTAAGGGCCTGTGGAAAATCATCCAAGTGAAAGAGCCTAGCATACAATTGTCGAGATGCCATCCAGAACTATGAAGGTACATAATAACACAACTTGGACTAAGCATTATAATTTGTACAGTGAAGATAACTATGACAAATAGAAAATTTCAAGTGAGAACAAGCTAAATAATTAATCTATGTAAACTCCCTTTGAAATATTTTTCAGGCTCTCAAGCAGAGCATATAAATTATCTGGATATTTAAAAACTGCTAGCTAAAACAAAATGGAACTTTGAGCTACGGGGATAACTTATTTTTGAATTCTGAGTGTCATTTTTATTAATACAGCATGTAAAGACACTCCCCATTTAGATAATTTTTCCCCACGTCAAAGACTGATCTAAAAGTAGGAGAGTATTATCATATAATTAAGTTATAAATAGAAGTGTAACATTTTATCGTTATTTAAAATCGAAGCAGGGATAGATCGGTCAAATACACCACTAACACAAGCTTGTTCCATCACAAAGAAGTCCAAGTAAATAACCTCAATCCAGCTGTCGCACTCATTTGGCTGAGTTCCTTCCCGATTTCGTCGCTGAAATCTGAATTTCCATCAGCTCTAACCCCCTAAACAACAAACAAAGTAGATGGCAGACAGTTAAAGGATACTTCTACATTTTCAGTCTCTCCAGTTCTTCAAAAGCACCCAATAGAAGTATGAAGCCATATATAAACAGATTGCTAGTTTAACATAAACTGAAGAATGGAAACCATGGAATTGACAATCAACTAATTAAAACTTGTGAAACGCATGTTACTGAAAAAAATTGTATTACCAGACACTCCCCATAAAATCCTCGGCCCAACCGAACTCTAAAAACCTTACGCAGCAGTTTATTTGCGGCAGTCTGTCGACCAGAAAGATAGGCATTTCCTCTTGTGATCAAGTCTGCACAGCTGATCTCCATCAACTAGTCATACAGACAAGAGAAACAAAATTCAAGCATGGTCTCAACTACAGAAAAGATAAGTACAGAAAGAGCAAATAGTATAGTGACTAGAGCTAACACTTCCCTTCATAGGTTTGCATTAAGTTTGCCACTGAGACTCCAAAATCATGTTATTGTCAGGTGCAGTAATACACTTATTAGCTACTGGCAATATTTTTTCCGATTAACAATTTTTAGAAATCACTCCTTGCAACTAATTATCAATGACGAGAAAGTACGGGATAAACAAGCAATTTAAACAAAATTTAACTAGCACCTGTTGAAACATGGATGAATTAGTGATGCAGTTCAATTTAGAGCGCCATTCTTTTAGTCCAATATTAAATGCTTTAATATCAGGTAAGCTCCACTGGCGAAGATCTCCATCTTGAATGTATTTGAGAACCATCTCCACCCGCTCTCTGTCGTCGTGGTTTAGCAGGTTTATGCTATCATCCTAGTAAATATTCAGTAATATAAAATAACATCCCTACTCATATATAGTGATCCCTCAGGCTCAAAAATCTTCTAGTCCTGGAATAAAAAATTACTAAATGCTCTGCAGAAAGACAGGAGAAACGATAACCAACAGAACAGTACACACACACACACACACACACACACACACATATATATATGCACATTTATATAATATGTAGTATGCATATGGTTCATCACTCACACTTACATTATCAAATCTCGTCTCTGAAAGTTTAGAACAGAAATATTCATATGCAGCAGTGGAGCTACTCTTCTCGATATTTACATGAAACTTAAGTTTCATATCAGAATTTTCACTTGGTGGATTTGGGCAGAGCGCTGACTTTCGGTGATCAAATCCAATGATCCTAATAGCAACAATTACTGAATTAGTCACTGGCAACTGCAAACTCTGAGTTTCTTGAAGAGGCAAATGAAAGTCACTATTTATTTGACAACGCGCCCAATATTCACTTACTTGGATGATGTTCGCCTGGAAAGCTCCAGTGCAAAATCTTTTGGACCCAGAAAATCTAGGAAATAGCATGTCTTCATTCCTTCGATGCATAAATCGTCAACCCTAAGGAAAAGGAATGTTATAACCAGAATGACTGGGGTAAAAATGATAAGAAGAAAAAGAGAAAAACAAAACAAATTAGCAGAAAAAGTGATATTGATTTAACATTGATATGATGTACATATTTGCATCTCACACAATTGAAAAATAAACCATATTCATGATCATCAATTCTCACTGAAATCAAAATATCTCAAGTTCAACATAGCAGAAGAAGAGTACGAGCTCAATATATTATTGAATGTGCATAACAACATATCACATAACACCGCGGAAAAAAAACACGCAGCACACACACACACACACACACACACACACACACACACACACACACACACACACACACACACACACACACACACACACTGTATTACCTGAAAGGTGCGGCGGAGGAAAAGGGCAAAATGAGGCAAGGGAGGTTAATTCGAGAATGATAGAGGTGCGCGAACAATGCTCCATAAGCTCCGGAGAATGAGGGGTAATTGTACAGGACCAAGTTCGGGGTTTCATTTTCCGACGCCTCGCGTATTGCTTCCAGAGCGGCGTCTGATCGGAATCGGCGTACGAGAATATGAAATCGAGACGGCAGAGAAGGCGCTGCGAGCCGCCGTTTGAAGGTAGCGGAGAGAGACATGTTGTACCAATTTGATTGGGGGGTCGGTGCGGCCGGCCGGCGGCGGTGTCCCGTCACTAGTTTACCCTTTTCGCGAGTTTTTTTAAGGTTTAATCCCACTTTGATCCCTCGAAATAGAGCCTTTTGGCAATTTACACCCTTAAAATATAATAATAGCACTTTACACCTCAAAACACAAATAAATCATTCATAATGAATCCCTGAATTAAATAATAAATAGACTTTCATTATTTATTGGGTTTTTTTCTTTTTCCGGTTTCAAAATAACAAATTAAACTGTTACTTTTTTCAACCTCCAACCTAATTTCGAGCCCACAAAGTGTGAAACAATAAAAATCACACCGAATTATTGAAAAAAAATATATTTTCTTATAAAATAAAATAAAATAATTCTTTATTACTCAATTATTCGATTGGTGGATCTTTTATTGTAACTGGTGGAAATATTATGTAGAAATATTTGGAAGAAAATATGATTTTCAGTTAACTTGATAATAAAATAGTTGAATGATTTTATTTAGTAAAATATTTTTTTGAGATAATTTTTTTGATTAAATATATTTTTATTTTTGCACTTTATAGTGTCAAAATGGTTGATGAATAAAAAAAATTGATTTTTCATTTGACATCCTAAATATCACTAAAAATATTAAATTACTCTTATTAGCTTTAAAAATTCATTTGGGGTGCATTATCTATGATATATTTTTGTGTTTTGAGGGTACAAAGTGATATTAATTTTATTTTTAGGGTGGAAAGTGTCAAAATAGTATATTTTAAGGGTGCAAAGTGGGATTGAGCCGTTTTTTTAAATGTTATATTGCATTCAGCGTGGCGGTGATTTTAACGTATAGATCTACGTGGCAGCGAGCCAGCGTGGACGGAATATGGAGTAGTAGTAGTATATATGTCCCACATTGAGTGGTTGCACCGTATCTCAGAAACACCGGATGCAGGCGATCCGCGCCTGCTATTTCCCCCAATAAAAAAACCCTCGTACGCAAAATTCGTGCTGCAGATATTTTCTTCTCTCTCTGCATATTTCTCGCCAGCGAGGCGTACGAACACTGATCACACCCATAACAACAATGTGTAAACTATTCCCCTGCATTGTTTTTCAGACCTCTTCTTTTCGTCGGAGCAAGTGCGATTACGCGTCGGTACTCGCCGCCTTACGCATCGTCGGTAATTTTTCTTCTATGGCTTTTTTCCAATTTCAGCAAGTTTCCTTGATCTTGTTCATTTACGAAATTTAATATCACAATCCATATTTTGTAAACCTAGATTTTTTTATATGGTTTAATTTATTTATTTACGTTTCTAGAGTGACTGGTTGAACATATGAAGCAATGGAATAGTGAAACTCAGGTTACTGTTTATTGGAACACGATATTTTTTTTTTTTTTTGAATTTCTAGTAGAAGTTGTTTGATGAATTTCTACTGATCTGCTTTATTTTTATACACCTGATAGGATGGTGATATGAATAGCTGCGAATCTGGATTCTGTTTGGAACCTCTTGGTACGACTCGAATCGTGCTTAATTAGAAGGTTCGTATCCTGAATTTATCGTCAATCCATCATGTTTTGTGCATCTATTAATCAATTGCGAGTTTGATTACGCGGCTTCTTTTGTTTATTCCATAGTCCTCTCTTTATTTTCGTTTGCGCCCTGCATTCAATCTTGCATCCTGATTTTTATCTACACCTTTCATGTACTCCCTAATATCTCGTATACTAATATGTTTTCCATTAGCAAGAGTAAGTGAATTCCGATAGAGTTGTAGGGAAGGTATCAATAAGCTGGACCGATCTGATTCAGTCAAGAGAAACCGCACTCAGATTCTAGTAAACTGATTTTTGCTTGCTTTTGACCCTTGCATTATGGATTGCTAGTATTTTTACAGCCTGCATAAACATTTTATATTTTTGGTTTGTATTTTTACTAGTGTCCGATCTTAATATTGTTCCAAAATTAGTGCCAAGCAATAAGTAAGTAGAGTTGCACGATCTTTATGCATATTCACAAGAATAGAGTAGTTAGAGTTTGCAAGTTATCGTGCTGATATACCCCGTGTATAAATTCCGAAGCTCAACCAACCACGAAATCAGAAATATAATACACCAAATATCATGAATAGTTGAATGTCACATGCCTGCAAAAAAATGAGATTTAACTCATCAAAGCATGATGGTTATGTCTTAAGTTCTACTTCAAGTCGAGTCACAATTTGACATCTTGCCGTTAATATATTACGTTACAACCAACAAAGTGAGAACATGTTGTTGAAGTAGAGCTTGATTTGGAAAAGAATGAATTTATAAACATCTTTATCTCTTTCTTGCTCAAGGTATATGCTACACTTTTGCATCGTGCCTTAGCAAATATGCCAGTGGAATATCTATGGTGTAGGATTACATTGTTACTAGTATCGGCATGTGTATAGTCCACTATGCTACATCATAGAATTCCCGGCAGTTAAAGTTTGTAGCAAGATCATTAGTTTAAGTTCGTTGCCCAATATCCACCACAATAATTTGCATATGGAGATTATATTCTCATAAACCTCTGTTTTTTATGTTCTACTTTTTTCTCGAGAATATCAGAATATAAAGTTTATTTACTACTTGCAGTGAAATCATCAACTGTAGTAGGCATGCGTCTGGACAACCAGTCGTACTTCTATCAATCAAATAAATGCAGGTATCAGTATCACAACCATTAAAACTTCACAACATTTAGCTACATAAAACCTTGTACATGCACTGTTTTCTCTCGTCATCATTTTAATCCATCCACTTTAAACTCTAAATCTTTTCCATATGGTTTCATCCGACTGAATCTGGTGTGCACATTGATCCCATCACTTCTGAACTTTGCCACCAATTCTAATGTAGTTGAAGCCTGTTGCAAAAATCAATTTTAAGGTGGTGCAATTAATATGTAGAGAAAAGGTAACATACTTCACAGTAATATACATATATGTGTGAAATAGGGTTGTATTAAAATAAAATTACCCCAGATTCATCGCATTTGGTGCATTAGTTTTCTGATTTCGTGGCTGGCTGAGCTCGAGATTAATGGTTGGATCTAATTCATATTCTTTGTTGATTCCATATGTAATGTGGGATACCCTGTCCACTTCACTTACTCTCCCTGGGCTAAAAAGCTGCATCAGAGATGTATTAATACTTAATACATACATCAAACATTTATTTTGGTTCTGATCTAATCTGCAGATACCTTTTTCTGTAATTCCGCATTCTTTTCACGTGCAAGATTTATCTTCTTGTGTAGTTCCATGTTTTCTTGCTGAAAGAGGTTACCCTGCGACAAGTTCGATAAAGTTATTCGCTCAGCTAAAAATAAGAACATTATACCAACTATTAAAATATGTAACTTTGTTGGGTGAACCTTCAAGTTCAACTCTTTGATTTCTTCTTTCAGAACTTGTTCCTGTCAGAAAACAAAAGTACATTCACCCGCACACCTTTTAAACTGGTTATTACGTTTGACAGAACATTTAAAATACCTTTTTCACACGAACACCTTTCAAACTCATTTCGAGTTGATTTTCCAGATTATGGAGGTCTTTGATGCTCAATCCAGCAAGCTCTTCTCCCAAAAGCTGCCTGTGGTGATGCAATAAGGAATGTGGTATGTTCTTAGTTTTTTCTCTCTCTCTCTCTCGATTATGTGGTTATATGCATCAGATTATATGTATTACATGTCATTGAATTCAATCTGCTGCTATATACATATATATATAACATGTCGAATGAACTTACTTGTGGTATCCTTGCAAGTACTGTAGCTGCCGCCTTAAGTTTTCCGCTTCCCTTTGCCAGAACTAGCAAGAAATAAGAAATGCACGATGAACAAAAAAACTAAATTTATCGAGATAGATGCCTATGCAAATTTTCTTTGGAGTAGGTGTTAAATGTTTTCGTGAAAGCAATTCGATGGCTCAACACTATCAAGTTGATTCGTGCTTTGATAATCGTAAAATCATAGGAATTTGAAGTATCTTATGAAGACAGAATATCATGCCAAATGTTATATGTATAAAACATCATAGACAAAATATCCCCATTAAAAAGAACTACTACAGTAATTAAACTAGCATAAATCTTCGACGTTGATATTTGGAATCCGATCCATCACTCACATAATCTTCCTCAATCACCTCAATACTTCTTTCGCCCCTTCACAACTAGCTAGGTTTTCGGTTTTTCTTTAATTTCTCAAAATCCTACAATTTTAATACTTTAGTCCCGATTTTAACTACCATTTGAACCTTTTTCTACTATAATACCTCCAATTTTATAGGCATTGCGCCCTATGAAAATAGGTATATTTCTCACTTTGTTGACTTTGTACTTCATCATCAAGTTTGAAAAATTATACAAACCTTCATTTCAAACGAAGAATTACTCCATCTGACCTCTAAGTTGTTATAAATTCCATTTTTATCCTTGACCAAACATTAGGTAAGTTACACCACCCCTGAGATTATGTATATAGAACCCTTCATTTAGAGGAACTATATTATAGAAACCTTCAAGGGTTAATTTTAATTAAAATCCAAATCTAAACTCATTACATCAGTTTCGTTTCTGTGCTCTCTTCTTACAGAAGTTGCCTTTGTAAGTAAAAAATCTATGACTATTTTGGCAGCAAGTTAAGTAGGACTAATAAATACTTGGGACGGTAGAAAGTTAAAGTTCGAAAAAGCAAGCTATAGTGCAGGTTATAGATTGATGCTTTCAAAATCCTACATTGTTATATTTGCTCTCCTTGATCCTTAGCTCCTTCTATTTGTTCTTTGACCCGAGAAAAACCTTAATCTAGGCATGAAAAAATACCTTAATCTAGACACGAAAAAAATACCTTAAATCTAGACATGAAAAAATACCTTAATGTAGACACGAAAAAATACCTTAATCTAGACACGAAAAAATACCTAACATGAACATTTTCAAACATGACCGGAGTATAGAATAAAATGCCTGAGTGTGTATCATACTGCCCGGCCAAGAATCCTAGCTAGTTGACATTTGAAATGACCAAGAATTCAAGTTATGTGTATTATCTCGGATTTAGTGCATTCAACAATGTATTTACTGTAATTGTTAAAAAAATCCTAGCATTATTTTATTAACATTAGCAACCCCCCCCCCCCCCCCCCCTAATGCAAAATTTCTTGCAAACTACCCCCTAAAACCTCATCGTTTAGGGGTCTGTGTGTTATAAAAAAATGCATTATAGATTTTTTTGTAATATAAATAGCACGAGGGCTTTTTAGCAATCCGACGGGGTACTATATGCAACATATTTATATTATTTATTGGAGGTATGAACTAACTTCTTAAATTGAAGATATTACTTTCTATGTGCTAATCGTATCTTTTGTTAAGAATATTCTTCAAATGTTTTGTATATTCAGAGAATGTGTCACATATAATTGAGAATACAACTGAAAATGTAAATGAATCGAGCCAACTTGTGAGTTTTTAGATATAATATCAAAATTTTAAGCTCGAATAGTTTGCGAGTTTTTATTTTATTATACTCATAAATGATGTTAATATCTATTTAAAAATATTGAACTCAAATTTTATACATGGTTTCAACCGTACATGTGTATAAATGACGACACAATCACACACATACATATGTAAACGCATATCTTCAATATACATACACGGTGTACAAAATTGGTTCACACCGATGAACACATATATTGAAACTTGTAAGATAAATGGTGAGCTTTGAAAAGGCAAGATAGTGGAGTCAACTCAATTATTCTTACATTCGCGATCGAAAAATTGGAGAAAAACGCGGCCCCTCCCTTACTTCCTAATTTATAACATGATTTGAATTTTTGAAAAAAAAAATGAAAAAATGGAGTCGCGATACACAAAAACATAGAACTATATATAAACGAAGTATACGATCAATCAACATCTATATCTATCGTGCGTACTCTAACTTGATGACCCCAAGCTCACACATGTCTTGCAAGAACTAAGTATTTGCATTGTATGAAATAATACAAAATATAAGCTTGATAATACATCTTATCATCCCTTTAAGCAATAACCCTCATTAAACAAACCCTTTTAATTTATGGAGCTCTAGAATATATACTTCTGTAGCGATGAAGGAACGAGCTAGCAACCTTAGCAGTCAGCTAATGTAGACATTTTTAACTGTTGCGGTGAAGGAACGAGCAAAATTTTGATGCACTAAAGTTTCGAGATTAAATTGTTAATACATCATATAATCTTTGAGGTGATAATATGTATAACATGTAATATTATTATTTGATCTTTAAGACAATATTACTTTTTTGGGCCGACGTCATCGTAATAGTTATATCACTAATTCAATAATCGATAGTATATTGACACGACGACATAAATAGAATTGAAAATAACATATATATTTAATTTGTAATATACATAGATATATAATTTTAGGTAAAGGTGGTACCTTAATCTCTGAGTTAGGATTCATCAGAAGGTAATGCTCCTCTTTCATTTTGTTGTATCGCTCAATCACAGTTTGCATGCTGAACCAACAATTTATAAAAAAATAAAAAAAAGGATTAAATTTCTATTGTCTTCGATCATATATGTCGAAAAATTCGACATTATATCTCGTATACATTTCATCGGTGCACGTTTAAAATTCCATGTAGATTTTTTTTTTCTTTTTCTTTTTTATTGAAGAAACCTACAGATGTTCTTTTAATAACTAAATTAATAATACAAGGAAAAAAAGGATACAAAAGTGATCAGAATTCAATAAAAAAAATTAAACTATGGTTCAAATCTAGAGAGAAATTAAAATAGATGGAAGCAAGCAATTTAACAAAAAATATCGAATAATAACCTGGTGCTTGCAAAATCGTACAGCTTCCCGGTACTGGAGAAGATAATCAATCCCACTTCAGCATCACACAGGATTGATAACTCCTTAGCCTTCTTCATCAATCCACTCCTCCTCTTCGAGAAAGTCACCTGCCTATTTGTCGAGTTATCGATCCTACGAATTACTATCTTACCCCTCCCCATTAGTTTCCTCTCTTTCCCTTACCAAAAAGTACTTCACGGGGTTTCTTCCAGCTGCTTCTTTTCACCTAGTAGATCTGTCGATCGATCGTTCAATCAACAAAAGTCAAGGGCAAGAAACGGAAATATATATAAATTATTTTCGTATCGACCCGAGTAACTCGAACAATAGGGCTTACTAATTCGAGTGTCGATTGAGGTACTACGACGACAGACATATGGTAAATCAACAACTTTTGAACTGAACAAAATGGTTTTTCGGCTCTTTTTTATTTATTTATATATATATATATATATATATATATATATATATATATATATATATATATATATATATATATATATATATATATATATATATATATATATATATATATATTCAAGAATGGCAAAAACTTGCTTAGGAAACAAGGAGGTGATTGGTTTTAGTAAAAAACCTAAAATGGTTTGGTGGACTTGGTCCAAATTCCACCTTCATTTAGTAATTAAAAACACACACACACACACACACGCGCGGCGCATTTGAGATTCGAGAGTACGATTTGAAGTGGCTACTCGCCACATTATGAGGACAAGTGTTAGTGTACGATATATTATTACATTAGATTAACTGGGAATTAAAATAGTCGAGAAAGTTAAGGTATAGGCTACCTCGTACACTCAAAAGATGGGAAGACTTTTGTGATTGGTGGGAATTTTTTTATTTTTATTTTTGATGAAAAGCTGTTCGAATATTTATTTATTTATTTATAGAAATATGATTTTCCTGTCTTGCGTATAGATGATTGACAGGTGGACCAGTTTTTTTTAAGGCTTTCTTCCACCAACTATGGTTATATTAATGGGTAAATTACGGTACAACCCTCCGAGGTAAGGTCAAATTACGAAAAACTCCATCATGTATGGGTAATTACAATCACACATCAACTATGAATCTTCTTACATGTTCGAACTCGCGGTGTCAAATTCAACAAAATCTTTCAGATTCTGTGAGCTCGTTTTGTGCAAAAAGACAGTTTCAGATGCATCAGAATTTCATATTTACGAGCCAAGAGACGCATCTTACGATAATTTTGTTTCAGAATGTGGAGTTCGAAATGGAGTAAAATGAGTACAAACTGGAGATCATTCCAAATAATTTAGAAAATTCCACTAAATTTGACATAATAAGGCTGAACGTGTAAGGAGATTCATAGTTGATGGAATGTTGTAATCGTAATTTAACCTTACCTGAGGATAACCGTAATTTAACCTAGATAGATGTAGTAGAACAATCATACATGTGTGTGGACAGCTTGGGAAAATTATTAATTGTTAATTAAGGGGATAATTGTGACTTTTAATATATCTTATTATTGTTTATTGTGTTAATGATAATGTATTATATAAGCTACAATACATCGCATACTGGACAGAATCTTTTATTGATTGATTCATGTACCATAATCCTTAGTTGTTAAGGTTAAGTTGTTGCCATTTATAATAAGATTCCTTTATTTATTTATTTATTTATTTATTATTATTATTTAATTACTATTATTTAATTATTCAAAATAGTACTGATGCACTGTTTGATTCTCATCATTCAATTTATTTATTTATTTTATTTTTAAAGTTTGTAATTCCCAATTCCTACATATTTTATGTATGTAATTTGGTGAGGTCATTTGTCTTTGTTGTAAAGTCTAACCCTAATCATTTGGTCGGTGTTGCTATTGTATTTTATGATACAAAATAATTTTATGTTATTTGAACATATATGTCATGAAATTCGTGGTGGAACGAAACGGATCGGAAATGACTTTTTTAGAAATTTCAATTTTTTTTTAAAGTAAAAAATCAGTTCCAATTTCCGCTCCAAAAAAATCGGAAAGTAAAAATTCATTACAATGTTGGAATGTCTCGGAATCGACGGAATTTCGGAAATCTTGGAAATTATGTTAGTTTATAATCTATTGTTTCAAATTCGGATATAATGGATTTTTTTTCGCAATATTTTTCTATCTTTTCTAAAAATTGCATGAAAATGCAAGAAAAATCCAAAAGAAAGTTCGACGAAACGCAATAAATAAAAACACATGTAGGAATAACAAGTTGAAAACATAGATTTTCTTATAAGAAAAAAAATGCAACATAGAATTCTGATACTAATTAATCTTTTCTAAGATTTTAATTTATTTGACCATTCGGTATTTTTTATTTTTTCGTCTAAAATATAACATAAGTTATATTATAAAATTACAAAATAAATCATAAATATTATATATTTTGAAAAACCATAGAAATATTCGGAACTAAAATCGGATCGGAAATTCCGGTAATTTTATATACTATTCCAATTCAGTTCCAAATAAATTCGGAAAAATCATAAATCGGAACTTTGGGATATCGGAATGAAAAATGCGATTCAAAATTCGAATATTTTCGGATCGCAATTGGCTTACTTCAAAAATTCCATTCCGGTTTCCACCGTACATGAAATCAACCGCTTTACTTAAGTTTTGATTTCGTTAAACGCCGTCGTTTCTTTAATTAAATAACCGGTGTTTGAGTTGTTGGAATGATAGATGCGACGTCGTTTTATTCTTAGGACAAATATTTATAAAATCGAAAGCAATTTTGGGCTTTAAAAGTATGTGGGCCGTCTATCAGAGCTGATGGGCCTTTTTCTCTTTTAATATTATGAGGTCAATTTCGTCTATTCACTCAGCCCTATGAGCGAAGAAGAAAAAAAAAAGAAAAAAAAAAGGAAAAAAAAAAAAAAAGAAATTCCACTCGCAATCTTCAACGCCGAAATTGGGATTTAGGTTTTTGGCTAGGATTGTTGATGATCATGAAGAACAGAAATAACAGATTACATTTTTATGGAAGTAAAATTTGTGGAGCAGATTTCAGAACTGTATGTAAGAGCACTGCACCTTGTCGCAGAAGATCCAAAACCATGCGCGGATTCCGGCGAGCGAGGAATGGAAGGTGCGGCGGTGATCGGATTTTTTTTGTGCTCACTCAGCCACCAGCCGCCGTCCATTAGTAAGGTAATTAATCCATGAGAAAATAATAAACGGCGTTTCCTTTGGCCTATTTGATTTCAATATTATTATATTCCCCCCCCCCCCCCTCCTTTTTTTTTTTTTAATTTATTTAAATATGCCAAACGGAACTCTGTGGAGTGTGGACTGTGTTCAGAATCTAAATTTTATGATTAAGAAAATTAATCACTTTGATCTACAGATTAAAATCACTCCAGTACAAAAATTCCGATAAAAATGAAGAGGATGTTTGTTGATTTTGATTTTGATTATTTGTCCCCCACAATGAATATAATAATTAATTGCTTTGGTGAAACGACCAAGTAAGTTATGACCATCTTCAAGAATATGGCTTCTAGAAAATGGACAAGTAGTCCACTTGGGCATGATGAATCTGCTTAGTTATTTGTAAAAATCTCAGTAAAAGAGTCATTTTCAAGAAAATTACTCGAATTAAAGTAAAATTGCCATGGTCAACGCAGAAAACACTCTATAGCCTTTTGTGAGTCAATAAAAACAAAAAACGACTACTTCAACAAGACTTGGAAAGACTTGTTCATCATTTGATCAATACATATATGCACAAAGTTCCGATCTGCCTTGATCAAACTAATCATACAATCATGTCTGCACATCTCGTTTTCGTATTCTCCTCGTTCTTCGTTTTCTTCATTCCTTCAACAATTTCTCTGACCTTCAACCTGTCCAGGATCGGCTCTTCAGACAGCCGCATGATAAACAGCACCGGAGGTGGTTACGTCTCAGACCAAGGCATTCAAGTGACAACGAACGAGAGGAGCTCGTCGCAGGTGAATATAGGCGGCAGAGCGACGTACATCGAACATCTGCACTTGTGGGACAGGGCTTCAAATAACCTGTCTGATTTCTCCACTCATTTCTCCTTTGTGATAGATTCGAGAGGCAGATCAGATTTTGGAGATGGGCTGACCTTTTTCTTGGCCCCTGTTGGTTCCACCATCCAATCTTGGTCCTTAGGCGGCAGCCTTGCTATTGGAAACAACAATATAACGGTGAATTCATCTTCGGAGGCGTTTGTTGCTGTAGAGTTCGATACGTTCCCGAATTTTTTCGATCCTGGGACAACACATGTTGGTATTGATATCAACTCCATGATATCAGTTAAAACCGCAAGATGGGAAAATAATGTTAGTCAGGGGGTGCAAAACGATGCCTGGATTAGCTACAACGCTACTTCTATGGAGCTACGTGTTGATTTTACGGGTACTTCTAGTAACAGAACTAGACGAGACAACCTCAGCCATGTGGTCGATCTTAGAGAGTACTTGCCTGAATATGTTGCTGTTGGATTTTCGGCTGCAACGGGGAGTTGGTTCGAGGAACATACCATCAAGTCGTGGGCGTTCTCTTCGACTCTGCAAATTAAAAATGTCACTTTTGAAAACCCTGGGGTTGTGATCACAGGTGGTGGAAAGGAGAAAAAGAGTAGTGGAGTAACACTAGTTGTTGGATTGAGTGTTGGCCTGTCGATACTAGTTCTTGCATCGGCTTTTGCAGGCTATTTCTTGTGGAGGAGGAAGAAGCAGAAGAAGAGGTGTAAGAAGGAATCGGGAGATGTAGATTACTACGATCCACGTATGGATATCGAATTTCAAAAGGGGAGTGGACCGAACAAGTTTTCGTACAGCGAATTGGTTCTCGCCACGAAAGATTTCGCAGAGGAGGAGAAGCTCGGAGAAGGTGGATTTGGTGGGGTTTACAGAGGCTTCTTAGCCGAAACAAATTCCTATATTGCAGTAAAGAGGGTGTCGAGTGGATCCAAACAAGGCCTAAAAGAATACGCATCAGAAGTCAAGATCATCAGCCAGTTGAGGCACAGAAACTTGGTCCAACTCATAGGCTGGTGCCACGAGAGAGGCGAGCTCCTGCTTGTTTACGAGCTAATGCCAAACGGAAGCTTAGATTCCCATCTCTTCAAAGGACAAACGATACTGCCATGGGAAGTGAGGTACAAAATTGCGCAAGGAATAGCATCGGCTCTGCTGTACCTGCACGAAGAATGGGAACAGGCTGTTGTCCACAGGGATATAAAAGCCAGCAATATTATGCTGGACTCGAATTTCAACGCTAAGCTTGGCGATTTTGGATTAGCAAGGTTCGTTGACCACGAAAAGGGGGCCCACTCAACTGTTCTCGCGGGTACTTTGGGGTACATGGCCCCAGAGTGCATGGTCACGGGCCGGGCTAGTAAGGAAACCGATGTTTACAGTTTAGGGATTGTTATGCTGGAGATTGCGTGCGGGAGGAGGCCGATCGATCACAGCCGTCGATGTGGGGAAGATCGAGTGGTGCTGGTGGAGTGGGTTTGGAGGCTGTACGGTAAGGGGGAGCTGCTCGAAGCGGCTGATCCGAAATTGGAGACAGAATTTGACGAACAGGAGATGGAGCGGTTGATGATTGTGGCGCTGTGGTGCGTTCACCCGGACAGTGTGCAACGGCCCTCGATTAGACAGGCTGTACATGTTCTTGATTTCGAGGCTGAGCTGCCGCTTCTGCCTCCAATGATGCCTGTGCCGACGTATTTTGCTGGTGGTGCGGGTGATTCTACTAGCTATAATCACTATAGCGATTCTTCGAATTTGACTGCATCTTCTGGAAGTTCTACATCTGCGCTTCTGACCTCGTAGGAGATAAAAAGATTGCAAGAATCTTTTGTTTTTTTTTTCTTTCTCCAGAGATTAAGGTTGTCTTGATTAGGATGATGTTCTTGGTTCAATTTGTGCCTCCATTTTTTAGCAGTTTTTTTGTTGATGTACATTTGCTCGTATGTGTGTTGATGATCAAGTTTCTAAAGATTACTTTTGTGGGTTCAAATTTTCTTTTTCTAGAAACTGGCTATATCTTTTACAGGTAGTAGTACAGATAGAGTAAGATTAGTAAATGAGGTGAAGAAAACAAAATAGTATTGAATTCATTTGAATACTAAAGTGCACTGCATCTTGTAGCAGAAGATCCAAAATCATGAGCGGATTCCGGGGAGCGAGGGATGGAAGGTCCAGTGGTGATCGGACTTTTTTGCCCTCACACGGACACCAGTCGACGTCCATCAATAAGGTAATTAATTAGTCCACGATCGTTACGACGTTTCATTTGGCCTGTTTGATTTCAATATTATTATTTTTTCCCTTCTTTTTTAGATATTCCAAACAGAAGTCTGTGTTCATATTTAAGCTAAATTTTAAGATTAAGAAAATTAATCACTTTGAACAAATCTCTGTTTGAATTTGATTATTTGTCCCCAGAACGAATATAATAAAAAATTTGCTTTGGCTGCATGACCAAGTCTATATGACCAACTTCACTAATACAGCTTCCAGAAAATGGACACTTGTTTTTCTCTTGTGCATGAATCTGCTTAGGTCATGTATGAAAACTTTCAGTAAGGAGTCATTTTCTAGAAGATTAAAAATTAATTAAAGTAGACTTGAAATGGTCAACACTAAACAGTTCTGCAGCTTATTGGGAAGTTGACTTGGAAAGACTTGTTCATCTTTTGATCAATACTTATATGCACAATCTGCCGAGATCAAACTAATCATATAACCATGTCTGCACTTCTCGTTTTCGTCTTCATCGTTTTCTTGATCCCTTCGACAGTTTCTCTGACCTTCAACCTGTCCAGCATCGGCACTTCAGACGCCGCCCTAATAAACAACGTCGGAGGTTATGTCTCAGACCAAGGCATTCAAGTGACAACAAACGAGCGGAGCTCGGCACAGGTGGAATTAGGCGGCAGAGCCACGTACAAAGATCCGCTGCACTTGTGGGACAAGGCTTCAAATAACCTGTCTGACTTCTCCACTCATTTCTCCTTTGTGATAGATTCGAGAGGCAGACCAGATTACGGAGATGGAATGACCTTTTTCTTGGCCCCCGTTGGTTCCACCATCCAGCGTTGGTCCTTAGGCGGTAGCTTAGCTATTGGAAACAGCGATAACGCAACGCTGAATTCATCTCTGGAGGCTTTCGTCGCGGTGGAGTTCGATACGTTTCAGAATTATTTCGATCCTCCGGTCCGTTCACATGTTGGCATCGATATCAACTCCCTGAGATCAGTCAAAAGCGCAACATGGGAAAATAATGTTAGTCAGGGGGTGCAAAACGATGCCTGGATTAGCTACAACGCTACTTCCATGGAGCTAAGGGTCGATTTTACAGCTACTTCTAGTAACATAACGAGACGAGACAACCTCAGCCATGTGGTTGATCTCAGAGATTACCTGCCTGAATATGTTACTGTTGGATTTTCGGCTGCAACGGGGGATTGGTTCGAGGAACATACCATCAAGTCGTGGGCGTTCTCTTCGACTCTGCAGATTAAAAATGTTACTTTCGAAAACCCTGGGGTTGTGGTCACAGATGTTCGAGAGGAGAAGAAGAGTAGTGGAGTAACACTAGTCGTTGGATTGAGTGTTGGCCTGTCGGTACTAGTTCTTGCATCGTCTTTTGCAGGCTATTTCTTGTGGAGGAGGAAGAAGCAGAAGAAGAGGTGTAAGAAGGAATCGGGAAATGGATATTCCTTCGACCCGCGTATGGATATCGAATTTCAAAAGGGGAGTGGTCCGAACAAGTTTTCGTACAGCGAATTGGTTCTCGCCACGAAAGATTTCGCAGAGGAGGAGAAGCTCGGAGAAGGTGGATTTGGTGGGGTTTACAGAGGATTTTTAGCCGAAACAAATTCCTATATTGCAGTAAAAAGGGTGTCGAGTGGATCCAAACAAGGCCTAAAAGAATACGCATCCGAAGTCAAAATCATCAGCCAGTTGAGGCACAGAAACTTGGTCCAACTCCTAGGCTGGTGCCACGAGAGAGGCGAGCTCCTCCTCGTTTACGAGCTAATGCCAAACGGAAGCTTAGATTCCCATATCTTCAAAGGCCAAACGATACTGCCATGGGAAGTGAGGTACAAAATCGCGCAAGGAATAGCCTCGGCTTTGCTGTACCTGCACGAAGAATGGGAACAAGCTGTGGTGCATAGGGATATAAAAGCCAGCAATATTATGCTCGACTCGAATTTCAATGCTAAGCTCGGAGATTTCGGATTAGCAAGACTTGTTGACCACGAAAAGGGGGCCCACTCGACCGTTCTTGCAGGGACTTTAGGGTACATGGCCCCCGAGTGCATGGTCACTGGCCGTGCCAGCAAGGAAACCGATGTGTACAGTTTAGGGATCGTTTTATTGGAGATTGCATGCGGGAGGAGGCCGATCGATCACAGCCGTGGAGGAGATCGGGTGGTGCTGGTGGAGTGGGTTTGGAGGCTGTACGGTAATGGGGAGTTACTCGATGCGGCTGATCCGAAATTGGAGATGGGATTTGACGAATGGGAAATGGAGCGGTTGATGATCGTGGGGCTGTGGTGCGTTCATCCGGATAGTGGGCAACGGCCCTCGATAAGACAGGCTGTACATGTTCTTGATTTCGAGGCTGAGCTGCCAGCTCTGCCTCCAATGATGCCTGTGGCGACGTATTTTGCTCCTAGAATGAGTACCAGTGTTCGTGGTGGTTCGAATTCGATTTCTGGTGGTGTTGTTAGTGATTCGACGAGCTGTAAGCACTATAGTGGTTCGAATTCGATTTCGATTTCGGGTGGTGTTAATGATTCTACGAGCTATGAACACTATAGTGATGCTTCGAATTTAACTGCATCTTCTGCAAGTTCTACTTCTGCTCTTTTGACCTCGTAGGAGATTAAAAAAGGTTGCAAGAATTATTATTTGGTTTTAAAGATTACATTTGTGGGTTCAAATTATTTTTCAAGAAACTGGTTAGTTGTTTTACAGAAATATATCAAGTGATTTTAAACCATATATATATTATATATACCATATGCAATTTGCACTCTAATCTTCTATATATTAATTAATACACTAGTCAAGTCAACCCCATGGTCAACCACTCATGACTCAACCCTACCAACTCGAGAATTTGTCAAACAAATCATATTAATGGAATTATGGTCATTAATACATCCATTAGCTGCAAAGAGTTGTTGCCCTATGAGTGAGGTTAAATTAGGGATGTAAACAAGTCGAGCTCTTCACATTTTCTGGGCTCGAGCTCCGAGCTCCCTCAGTCTTTCTTTATATATATATATATATATATATAACAAAAATGAACTGATTTTTTTTTTTTTTTTAACTTGATATGGATTTATAATATATTTTCATTATTATATATTATTTATATTTAAAATAAAACTAAAAAATAAAAAATAGAAAAGTTTACGAAATTAGAAAAAGGGTATAAATAGAAAAGTTGACGAAATAAAGAGAGAATTGAATTAAAAGGGTGTAAGTAAATAGTGCCAAAAGAAAGAGCAAGACCATTGTCTTAACTCCAGCCATTTTCAGCAAGTCTCTCTCTCTACACATGCAATTACCCTGCATTATTACATACAGAGAGAGAAAATAATTCACTTGGAAACCCCAAAAACAAACCAAAAAAAAATAAAAAAAATAAAATTAGAAGCATGGATCTAACAATCTTCTTGGTGATTTTCTTGATCCCATCATCATCTTCCTTGTCGTTCAACTTTTCGAGCATCGGCCATTCGACCAGCCACTCCATAACAATCTTGGGCAGCGGCTACATCTCGGAGAAAGGCATTCAAGTTACAACCGACGAGCGCGGCGAGAGATTAGCACAACTAGTCGGCCGAGCAACGTACATTGACCCACTCCACCTATGGGACCGAGCCTCAAGAAAAATAGCCGATTTCTCCACTAGTTTCTCCTTCGTGATAGACTCGAGAGGCAGCTTAGATCTCGGAGATGGCCTGACATTTTTCTTGGCTCCCATTGGCTCCACCATCCAACCATGGTCATTCGGTGGCAACCTGGCTCTCGGAAACGGCGGCGTGCCCGTGAATTCGACCTCGCAGGCGTTTGTGGCGGTGGAGTTCGATACGTACCAGAACTTGTACGATCCTCCTCAGCAGACGCACGTTGGTATTGATATCAATTCCATGAAATCGGTCGTGACTACAAAATGGGAGAATAATGTTACTCTGGGGTTGCAAAATGATGCGTGGGTCAGTTACAACGGTAGCTCGATGGAGCTGAGGGTTGAATTTACGGGTAAATCGAGAAACGGGACCCAACGAGGTAACCTCAGTTACATGGTTGATTTCAGGGATTACTTGCCTGAAAATGTTACCGTCGGCTTCTCAGCTGCCACAGGGGATTTGTTCGAGACGCATACCGTCAAGTCGTGGGAGTTCTATTCTTCCTCTTTGGAACTAGCACCACCACCGCCACCGCCGCTGCCACCTCGTATTGTTAGTTCAAGTTTGCCGCCACAACCTAATGCCGGAGGAGGCGGAGGAGGAGTAGGACTAGTCGTTGGATTGAGTGTTGGCCTGGCAATAGTAATTGTTTCATTGGTTTTTGCAAGCTATTTCTTGTGGTGGAGGAAGAAGAAGAACAACAAGAAGGAAATGGGAGATGATCGGGCTGGTTCGTTTCATCCACACATGGATATCGAGTTTCAGAAGGGCTGTGGGCCTAAGAAGTTTTCGTACCGTGAATTGGTTCGTGCAACCAACAACTTCGCAAAGGAGGAGAAGCTCGGAGAAGGTGGATTCGGTGGCGTTTACAGAGGCTTCTTAGCCGAAACAAATTCCTATATTGCAGTAAAAAGGGTGTCGAGTGGATCCAAACAAGGCCTAAAAGAATACGCATCAGAAGTCAAGATCATCAGCCAGTTGAGGCACAGAAACTTAGTCCAGCTCCACGGCTGGTGTCACGAAAGAGGCGAGCTCCTCCTCGTTTACGAGTACTTGCCAAACGGGAGCTTAGATTCCCATCTCTTCAAAGGCCAAACAATCTTGCCATGGGAAGTGAGGTACAGAATCGCGCAGGGGGTAGCCTCGGCTTTGCTGTACCTGCACGAAGAATGGGAACGGGCCGTGGTCCACAGGGATATAAAAGCCAGCAATATCATGCTCGACTCCAACTTCAACGCTAAACTCGGTGATTTCGGCTTAGCAAGGCTAGTGGACCACGAAAAGGGTTCCCAAACGACGGTTCTCGCGGGTACGTTCGGGTACATGGCCCCCGAATGTGTGGTCACGGGCCGGGCCAGCAAAGAAACCGATATCTACAGCTTAGGGATCGTGTTTTTGGAAATTGCGTGCGGAAAAAGACCTATTGGCCGAAGCAAAGATCAAGAAAAACAAATGGTGCTAGTGGAGTGGGTTTGGAGCCTATACAGATCCGGGAGGTTGATTGAAGCGGCTGATCCGGAACTAGCGGAAAGTGGGTATGACGAACGAGAGGTGGAGCAGGTGATGGCTGTGGGGATGTGGTGCGCTCGTCCAGAAAGCGACCAACGGCCCTCGATCAGACAAGTTATCAATGCTCTCAGTTCCGAAGCGGATGTGGTGCCGGGTTTTCCTCCATTGATGTCGGTTCCGACGTAGTTTACTCATGGAAAGAGTGCTACGGATTTTGCGAGCTACAATCACTACAGCAGTTCTTTGAATGTGACCACATCCTCTGCAGCTTCTTCTTCCGCGCTTCTCGCCTAGTGATTTAATCATTTAATATGTTAAAAATGAAGGATTTGCAAGATGGGTTTTTTCTTTTTCAATTTTTCGGAGATTAAGATTGTATTGAATGTATTTATTATATCACAAGCGTTCGATCAGACAAGCGATTCTTGTACTTACTGTTTGAAGCTAAGTTACGTTGCATGTTCTCCCACTGAGGATGCCTTTGCCAATGCCACCCACAAATAAAAAAACTCGTTTTATCCATTGGTGAAACGAAAACCTCAGATTCTGGTTCTGCCATTTCGTCGAACACCTTGAGCGCACCTGCATGGATAAGTTCTTCCAACTTCATAAGATCCATGGATGTCTAAACTTCATACTCCATCACAGTCGAATACAAATTCTCCATTCCTGATCATCATACTCAATTGATTACATGAATCGAATGTAAATAAAATAAGAGGAAAAAACGATGGGAGGAAACTAAGAAACTACCAGATTCTAATCTGAACCAACCACCAAACGCTGGACTTGATTCTTCTCCGCGTTTTGATTGATCAGTAACGTTTGTTTGGTTGGTAAGCCCATATGAACTCTGCCCAAAATTAGGGCTCCAGGTTTTTTTTTTTCTTCCCCCAATTTCAGAGAAAATGCATTGGCTCTATCAAAATTAGATTTATTCAAATTAGTTATTAATATTGTAAATTTGTAATGCGCAATATTTTAATTGTTTTTTTCTTATTTATAGAATTATTTGAGATATTAGTATTAAATAATACATTTAACTCTATTTTTTCTCGATATTTCACAAGGACGTCGAGGAAAGACGTTAAGTTTCGTCTTCTAGCCATCAGTTGCCAGATTAGCCTTCGAACTTTCCTAACCCGTCTTTATTGAGAAGATATATAGACATCCATCGCTGCCGTGATGATGTGGTTGAGTGTTCATTCGATTCGAGACCAGACCGATCAAACCTATCCGATTGTTCGATCCAACAAGTGATTTCCTCCCCGAAACAGTGATAGTTGTTAGTTCATGAATTGAATGCGAATGACAGAAAATTGTCATTCAACATGGGGGTAAATTACAACACCTTCCTGAGGAATGGTTAATTTACGAAAAAAATCTATCTTGTTTGGATAGTTACATTTACCCCCTCCAACTATGCTTTTTTCTTACATCTCCACCTTTATGGTGTCAAATTCAATATAATCATCTAGATTTCGTGGAATGTGTGCTCTAGTTTGTACTCATTTTGTGTAATACAATTTTTTTATGCACCACAATGTGATATATACAAGCCAAAAAACACATATTATGACCATCTTGCTTCAAAATGTGGAGTTCGAATGGGATAAAACGAATACAAAAGTGATAATATTCCATATTATTTTGAAGATTCCACTAAATTTGAAACTGCAAGGGTGGACGTGTAAAAAGATTTATAGTTGAGGGGGGTGATTGTAATTATCCAAACAGGAGGGGGTTTTCGTAAATTGACCATACCTCTGGAGGGTGGTTGTAATTTACCCTTCAACATGGTATCAAAGTCTTACCAAATGAAATGTCGTGCAATAAAAACAAAAAGCTTAGATTAAAACACAATCCATACCATTAGACCGGCAATTGAGCTGGACATACCCGAAGCCCGATAGCTTGGCCCGATTTTATTTGAGCTGAACCGAGTTAATTATGAGTCGGACCGAGTTTGAGCATTTTAATTAGACCCGATTAAACTATGGGCCGAGTTTGAGCTTACTATGCCTCAACCCGAATAAAATCCGACTAAGTTGATATATATATATATATATATATATATATATATATATATATATATATATATTGAACTCATACAAAAATTTTGGATCATTAGATTAAAATAATATTTCTATTTTTCAATGTCACAAGAGACTAATAAAAACAGACAAATGAAATGATGTACTAAATAATACTTTAGCCGGCCAATTATATACTAATTTTATTTAAAAAACCTCCAAGAGCTACTTGCTAATCTCCACAACTAATGCTTTACTTAAATTAATAAACCACCATTAATTTCACTAATTAAGTGATTAAGCAGATTCTTTGTCATCTCTTTCTATTACACAATACGACAAATTCCCTCTTTTGGCATTTCATTACCAAGACTTAGTCAAACACACCACTAATATTATGAATATGAACATGACTTCCTAGAAAATGTACATTGTAATAATCTCAACACAGAAAGCTATGATCATCTCTAATTTTTCCTTTGTAATAATCATAATAATAATCCCTTATGCATCTCCATTAATCTTCAACTTCACAAGCTTCTCCCCGAACGATCTCGACATCCACTACGAACGATCGGCGTACGCAGCGAACAACGTGATCCAGCTCACCACTAACCAACGAGACTCGAGCCCGTTCGCAAGCATAGGCAGAGCAACCTACTCCACTCCACTCCATTTATGGGATAAAGCCTCCAACAAACTCACCGATTTCTCGACGAATTTCTCGTTCGTCATCAACTCTCTCAATAAGGCCGAATACGGAGATGGAATCTCCTTCTTTCTAGCACCTTCCGGGTCGAAAATCCCTCAAGGCGCAACCAAAGGCGGAGCAATGGGCCTAACCGTAGACAATGACACGTTGAACTCCACGGATAATCCGTTTGTGGCCGTGGAGTTCGATATATACTCGAACGAGTGGGACCCGCCGAACGAGCACGTGGGCATCGACGTCAACTCGATGAGGTCGGTGGCGAACAGGACTTGGTGGAGTGGGGTTAGCATTATGCAGGGGTTGAAGCATACCGCGTGGGTGAACTACGATTCGGGATCGAAGAATTTGAATGTGGTGTTTAGTGGTTTTAGGAATGGTAGTTATGTTCGGCAGCGGGTTTCTCAGACGGTTGATCTTCGAGAGTACTTGCCCGAGTTTGTTACTTTCGGTTTCTCTGCTTCGACCGGTAACGCTTCGGCGTTGCATAGCATTTTGTCTTGGAGATTTACTTCGAATCTTGATCTTGAAGTAGTACAAGGTAGTGTGACGAATACCGGTTTAGTATCTGTGGGCCCCACTTCACCGATATCCGTTTCGAGTAAAAATAATGCAGGATTGGCGGTTGGATTGTCGATTGGAGGGTCACTTTTGTTATTAGGGTTGATTGTAGTGGTTGTTTTTTGGAAGAAGAGAATTAATAGATTAAAGAAGAATGAAGGAGACGAGTTCTTCGATATTATCATGGGTGATGATGAAATCGAAAGAGGAAGTGGGCCCAAGAAGTTCTCATACGATGAGCTGGCACGAGCGACGAACAAGTTCTCCGAGCACGATAAGCTTGGAGAGGGAGGATTTGGAGGTGTCTACAAAGGGTACCTCGAAGGAATCAAATCGAATGTTGCGGTGAAAAGAATTTCGAAGGGATCCAAACAAGGGATAAAAGAATATGCTTCCGAAGTGAAGATCATTAGCCGGTTGAGGCACCGAAATTTGGTGCAACTACTTGGGTGGTGCCACGAAAAGAAAGAATTACTCCTCGTTTACGAGCTTATGCCAAATGGTAGCTTGGATTCCCATCTTTTCGGAGAGACTAGTAAAAAAGGCTCGTTGAATTGGGATATTCGGTTCAAAATCGCGCAAGGGTTAGCTTCTGCTTTGTTATACTTACACGAGGAGTGGATACAATGTGTGGTGCATAGAGATATAAAATCGAGCAACGTGATGTTGGATTCGGACTACAATGCTAAATTAGGCGATTTTGGGCTTGCTCGTTTAGTGGACCACGAAAAGGGGGACCAAACGACCGTTTTAGCGGGGACCATGGGGTATATGGCCCCCGAATGTGTTGTCACGGGTAAGGCTAGCAAAGAGACGGATGTTTATAGCTTCGGAGTGGTGGCGTTGGAGATAGCAAGTGGGAGACGGCCAATAGGAAACGGACACGTGGAGGGTTTGGTTGAGTGGGCGTGGGGGTTGTACGGGAAAGGGAAGGTTCTAGAAGTTTCCGATCCGATGCTACTAATTTGTGATCGTTTAAATGTGAAGGAGTTGAGGCGGTTGATTGTTGTTGGGCTTTGGTGTGTTCATCCGGATAGTAGTGCTCGGCCTTCGATAGGACAAGTGGTTCGTGTGCTTAGGTTTGAGGGTGAATTGCCCGTTTTGCCCCTGAGGATGCCGGTGCCGATTTATTGCACTCCGGCGTTGGATATGTACGCGTCGTTTCCGAAGGGAACGTTTTCTTTTGTCGGTAGCGAGAAAACGGAGTCGTCTTCGAAGTTTACGGCTTCTTCTTCAGGGGCATCTTCGGCATCACTTTTGTACTAATGATGTATGATTTGGGTAATTGTGTTTTTTATTTTCTTTCTTGAGTAATGTATGTTTTTAATGATTTTGTATCTATACTATGATTCTTTCTATGTGTTGTGTGACAAGAACTTGTGTTATGTGTGTATTAATTGATCAACTACTCATCTAAAAACTTTGGTTAAAAAATGAGTAATGATTATATTGTATATCAATTAATATTTTCTTGGTTGTGCTTTAAATAAAAAAAAAAAAAAAAAAGTGTAAAACACACACACACACACACACACACAATTGTTATAAAAAGAATATGTTGAAAATCACACAAGTAGCCCCAGTATACTGAAAATTACTCAAATCACCCCAAAATTGCTGAAAATTGCACAAATCACCCCTAAATTTAGTGAAAATCGACAAACCACCTCAATCGTAAATATCGTTATATCAAACACTATCTACCGATATTTGAGTACAATCGATACATGTATCGAGTTGTATCGTTTCCGTTGAAATCGTATTGCAATAAGATTACACTGGGTAGAAGTTTCTTATTATTGTATTTGAGAAATTTATTACATTTTCCATTTCTCCCTTCATAATATATTATCCACAAACCACATAATTCAAAAATATCAACAGCTCATGTCATTTATTCATAGTTTCTATACAAATCAAAGCGATCCATATGTATCGAATTGGTAGCAAAATGTTTTTGAATTTCTCTTTTTTTAAATTAAAGAATTCGCCAATATCTGAAACATTAATTGCATATTTTAAATTCAAGTCAAAATAACCAAAATATCCTAGTAAAAATTAAATTTCCCAATCATTGACCACTACTTTCGGAAAATTACAAAAGCACCCCCGAACGCCGCCTTATATTTTACCGTTGTACCCTTTCAGCAATTTCATCTTTCCCCCCCTATTTTTCTGGTTATAGCCCGTTGGAGCCACTGTGATAAAATCCAAATCCCTCTCTCTCTCTCTCTCTCTCTCTCTCTCTCCTTTCTCTCTCCTCTTTCTCTCTCTTCTCCCCCCCATGCCGTAGTTCGTACTGCTGCTCGGTGTTGGGTAATTCTCGCAGCGAAGAAAATCAGAAAAATTGCTGCCCACACACACATGCAGATTTCAATTCGTATTTACCCGTTGCTGATTGTTTGCTCTGTTCTCGGATTCCGTAAGGGTTTGCTGAATTCCCTTTCCAGAGGTCTATTTTTGATGGATTTTATCGCAGTTTTGAAGCATTTAACCCTAGATTACGGATTGGGAATTGGAATTTTCCTGTTCGAGGGTTTTAATCAGGTTTCCGAATTTATGTGCCTGTTTTTGCTGTTCTGTTTCGGTTTCAAAATTCTGTACTCTGACGGTGTTTTCAAGGGTTTTGTTAGATTTTTATCTTGTTTTAGAGTGAAGCCATGGGAATTGACGAATGTGGTTTGCTCAAAAAGTGTTCTTGCTGGTAAATATCTGCTGTGGGTACTGATTAAACCCTTGAATTTGAATTTGATTGATAAAAAAATGGAGAAGAAATCGATTCATCGATTAAACCCTTGTACTGATGCCGATGAGAAAGCAAACACTGACTGTGATGAAGACTCTGATGCTGATAATTGTGAGGAAGATGACGAATTCGATGTTTTGAGGTTGAGGAATTTGGTGAAAATCGAGCGGCACAGGGCTAACGAAGCTTGCGAAGAACTCGCGAAGGAAAGAGGGGCTTCTGCGAGTGCGGCCGAGGAAGCAATGGCAATGATTCTACGGCTGCAAAACGAGAAAAGTTCGATCGAAATGGAGTTGAATCAATTCAAAAGACTGGCTGAGGAGAAGCAAATACACGATCAAGATGTGATTCGATCTTTGCAGTGGCTCGTTTTGAGGAACGAATCCGAAAGGGGCTTATCGGAAAACCCTCTCAAGAAGATGTATGAATGTGATGATAATGGTGATGGAGAAGAGAGTTCCTTCAATGGCAGCATTTGGGAGGATCTTGAAAACGTGCTTTACAGCTCGCGGGACGCTAACTTTTCGCCCGAGTAAGTTCTCGTGCAGGTCGCATTTTTCCTGTGTTTCGAAAATCAAGAACTGGATATATACCAATAAACATTTTTTGCTAAGAATATCTTTGTGTTAATAGAGAAAGAACATCATCATTTCTTGCACTGGTCCATTGTAATCTTGTCTTGATGATTGGGTTTTAGTTTGGATTATTAAAAAAAAAGTCAAATCTTTTTTGGAGATATTGTTGTGGTTTAGGATTTTTTTTAGAGATATTGTTGTGAAAATTGAAAATTATCTTCTGTTTTTCATGATTTTTAGTGAAAAAAAATAAAAAAATGGCAAACTTAGGGGTAGAATCGGTATTTTTTTTAAATATTACTTGGAATAAAAAAATTCTATGAAAAATGACATCGTATAAGATGGAAACAAAAGTCGGGGTTTTTTTGTAATTATAGATTGGTGGGGGTGCTTTTTGTAATTTAGTCGGAGTTTAAGGGTTTTTCATAATTTACCCTTACAATATTTATTTTTATTTTTTAATTTAAATTGTTGTTCGTACAGTATTATACAAAACAATTTGCTCAAGTACACATTGTGTGTGTGTGTATAATCTAGAATACGAGGTAAAATATCAACTCATACAATTAAAAAAAAAAAAAAATCCGATTTTGACTACTCTATGACTGGAAAAATATTTTTGGTTTGGTTTTCTTTAAAAGTTCTACCCAATTCCTCATATTTAACTGCAGACAAGAAGTCAAGATTCAAGAAGTATAATATACTTGCAAACAAAACAACAAATTTACAGTCATAAATTGCAATTTGCAGTTTTCTATTTTATGTGACTAATTTAATTTATTTTGCGTTTTAATTTCGTTTTGTTGTTTGCGAATACAAACAAAAATTATAAAATTACTCGCAAATAAAAACTAAAAGCGATACATGTCAAAAAAAATCTAAGAGAGAGGTGTGAGAATGAGTCGGAGAGAGAGAAACACGTGAGAGTGAGTGAAAGAGAGAAAAAAAGGTGATAAGTCGGATTTGTTTGTAACTTTAATAAACAAAACTATATGTTAATCGTTGGTGGTTTTCTCTATACATTAATAATCGAATTTAACTTATAATATTTCTTTGATCAAAGAGCTATATTCATCTAACAAATTGGTTCATCTGTATAAAATTCGAATAAATGGTGTCTAGCCAATTACCTCTTTAAATATGCGTAGTTTATTAAATAATATTTAAAGGTAAAAACTAAAAAATAACAATTTTATAGGCTCCCCCCTTAAAGAAATCAAGGAGATTCTCTTTTTGTAAATTCAAATATTTTTTTGTAAGAATTATAACTTGAATTTCATTAGTCATTATATTTCATATAATATTTATTATAAATTAATTTATTGTATAATAATATTCAACTACATTAATAAATTTCGATTTTATTAATTTCCATGGGTTTATTTTATTTTTACTATTTAAGGGGAAAAAATATATATTCGGGTCGATAACTCGGGTTATAACCCGGTTTGAAGCCCGTAGACAAAATGCCCAAGGGTGAAAAGCTCTCCGAAGTCAGAATTAGGGTTTTTTCGCTATCTCCAGTTCTCCATCGTTGCTTCCACACTCCCTTTACAGAATTTAAATAAAATAAAAAAAGAAAAAGAAAAAAGAAATAAAGGAATGAAAAAACAGAAATAGCCGTTTGAGTTTCCGGCAACGGTTTCATCGCCGTCAAACCCCAGTCACCGGTAAACCTCTCTTATTTTTAATTTTCCAATAACTTGGAAACTCATAATTCGTAGTGAATCATATTTCATTCAATTGTCTTACTACTCGTGATTATCATGCTTCTCGAATTTGATTTTTGTTTTGGTATTTAAGCTCTGTTCTTCAAATTTTCTAATGCAATGTAGATTAAGGATCATCTGAATAGTTGCGTTTTACTCGCTTACGAAGACGTTGTTTCATGATTTTTTGGGAAATTTGAAGTAATTTGAGTTGTTAAGTATTGAGATTTCGATGGTTGTTATTTCGTTGTTTTATATTCATCTGATTATTGCTAAATGTTTTTGGTTTAGGGATTGTAACGAATTGCGTACCCCGACTCTGCAATTTTAGCATGAATCTAGACTTATATATGCATGCATATGTAATATGGAGAAGATAGCTTTTGATTTTTTCATATGTAACCATCCAACAAAATTTACCTGCTCAAGAGTAGGCGGAAGGATTACACGCAGAATAGATTTGGTTTTCCAACTCATATTGAAGATGTCTCATGTAGAATCGAATCAAATTATTTAGCATTCGCGTATCTTGGAGACTGTTCAACTTTTGGAATCAATTTGTTCATAGTTAGCTTATATATGTATATGTATATATGTAGAGCCTGGACATATTAATTTCTTAGTCACCATTGTTCGGAAGGTTTAGTGTTGACATCACTTTATTTGTAGGTTTGCCCTTTAATTTTCTTACATGGAGTTGGACGAAACTCCGCAGATGCTTCCACCTCCACCTGGCAGCTTCATCGACCGCGAAGAACTCGTTCAACATGTTGGTGAATTTGCTGTCTCTCAGGGATATGTTGTCACCATTAAACAGTCGAAGAAGGAAAGACTTGTAGTCCTAGGTTGTGATAGAGGAGGTGTTTATCGGGACAGGCGTAAGGCTATTGATGAGTCATCTGGTGAACATATGCGCAAAAGGAAATCTGGTTCTCGACTTACAAACTGTCCGTTTGAGCTAGTCGGTAAGAAAGAGGACGGTTTGTGGGTACTTACTGTTAAGAATGGCTCACACAATCACGAGCCAATGAAGGACATGTCTGAACATCCTTCTGCACGTCGCTTCAACGAGAAAGAAGTGATGCTGATTAAAGAAATGACAGAAGCGGGTTTAAAACCTCGCCAGATACTTAAAAGACTCCGACAAACAAATCCTGAACTTTTATCTACACCAAAACATGTTTATAATGTGAAAACCAAGCTCCGTCAAGGGAATCTTACAGGTCTGACCTTCCCTCCTTCATTTCATTTTTTTCTGAATCCTGTATGTTCTTTTTTTTTATTGTAAAAGTTTCAAAAGTTTCATAAAAATCGTGCACTCTCAAATAATCAAAATCTATGATAATTTGCAATTTATCATAAAGTTTAAGACTTGTTCTCTGTTTTAAGCCTACCTCTCGTATTTATAGTTGTATACAACCTTCAGATTAGTTGAAAGATATATCTGAGATTTTCATTTCTTGAAGCATTTTTTGATAATAGCTTAAGGAGATCACATGGCCAAGATAATGGATTGCGGCAAACTTCTCTCAGTTCTCACACAATACCATATAGAGGTGAACAGGAAAAGAAGCTACCTTTAAAAAATCTTATCATGCAAACAATTAATATTGGCACGTTTGTTCTTATTCTGCAAACAATTAATATTGCCAATCTTGCATCCAAATTTGCCCAGATAATAGCTGTCACAGACTCAGAGCAAATCATTATAATTTTACCAATTGTGGCATTTCATAATTACCAAAATCTTGTTTGATAAAATCAATTAAAATCCGGAAGGACGTTTGGTCTCCATAAAAAGCAAACAGTCATGGATTTAATGAATTTACGGTACAAGAAAAAGTGTGAAAAACCTTTTTCTGCAATCCGTATACTAACATAAATGCCCTAGGTTTAACGACCTTCAGGGTTACAACTTTTGTATCAAGTCAAAAAACTTGATTTGCACAGACATCAAAGACTATCTTTTTTTTGTTCACCTGTGTATTGCCTTCTCTATGTCTTTTGCTGCAGTGAGGAGATTGAAAACTTTGAGACTTCCTTCAACTAATGATGGGAACTCAGAGCCGTTAACATCTTCCGAGCCATCATGGAAGAAACGGTATCCCCCGGTAATTTCTTATAAACCAACTTTTAGACGGCCATACTTCTCCCTCTATTTTAATTAATAAATGGCCACACAGATCGATGAATCACGTGCTTATTTTCTGAGTTGATTGACTTTGCATCATTTAGGATTTCTCTGTATTTGGGTTTTTGTGTCCTATAATTGATTGCTGTGTTGATTTCAATTCACGATTATCTCTAATTTCTATTTTTGGAATTTTCTTGTGTGTTGCAGAGGGTCCCAAATCTTATTGGTGGTAGATTTGTCGATTCGCATTCGTCGACATATATCGACGTGTTAAACCCTGTGAGTGCAATAAATTTACATGTACTACTCAATCTTCTTTTTGCAAATTTTCATTTCTTATAGTTCACAACTTATTATAGGCTACACAACAAGTGGTTGCACAAGTTCCTTTATCCACGGGTGAGGAACTTAAGGCTGCAGTATTTGCCGCAAAAAGAGCATTTGTGTCATGGAGAAGTACTCCAATTACAACTCGTCAACGCATAATGTTCAAGCTTCAAGAGCTTATTCGGAGAGATATTGTAAGCTTGTGTTACTCTGCCATCTATAGTCTTTCAGTTTTTAAAGTTCCGGTGACTGGAATTGTTATATGTGTTTTCCAGGATAAGCTTGCGAACGACATAACAACAGAGCAGGGTAAGACATTAAAGGATGCATTCAATGATGTCTCGCGTGGGATTGGTGAGTTTATCTTTTACTGCAAACTTTAGTTGAAACATGAGTTCCAATTTAGACTTGGTCTTTTGATGAATTGAAATGGTATTAATTTTAAATAGTTAGATTTGTTTGCTCAATAGAGCATGGCAATATTTGTGATCTTATGCTTCTTGAGATAACTTCTACATACCTTTTTCTGCACTGCTTCAAACAGTTGTGAATTTTTTTATAAGAGTTTCCTAAAGTTGAGAGTCAGCTTTCATGTTATTTAATGTTTGTTTACAGATTTAGCTAAGATATAACTTGAATCCAGGAAAAAGGATAACTTTTGCTTTATGATAATTTCGATTCATTACCAAAATTCGGCAGTCTTCAGTGCTCCCAGTTGGTCATTTCAGTACTCTACATTTTATGCAGAGCTTGTTGAACATGCTTGTGGAATGGCAAATTTGCACATGGGTGACTACATTCCGAATATATCAAATGGACTTGATACTCATAGCATCCGTGAGCCCCTTGGTGTTTGTGCTGGGATATGCTCTTTCAATTTTCCAGCCATGATTCCATTAATGGTATGCTGTTAGTGCTCTCTACTTTTTTCCTTTTGCAGACTTTATTAAATTACCACTGAGCTTGTGGAATTGTTAACTCTACCTTGTTAGGATTGAAGTTTCTAGCATAAAATGTGGAATACTTTTCGTTCTTGCTTTTCTATGAAGGAAATGAGATTATTTTGTGCAATAATTTTGATAATTTTAAAGGACTTTACATCACCCGAAACTGAAACCGAGACCGAAATAATCAACAGCACTAAAGGACCATAAATGTTCTCAAGCATATTTTAGTGAAAACTAAGTGAGGATGATTTTTTAACCAATTAATTGAAAAACCCAGCGTGATTTAAAATTGCTCCATTCAAATTTTGCTTCTCTTAATAATTATATCCAGTTACTGCTTTCAAGTTTCACCTTCCCAGTGTTCGTTATCTCACTGCTCATCAATTCTGTGCAGATGTTTCCAATTGCTGTTACATGTGGGAATACCTTTATATTAAAACCATCCGAGAGAGCACCAGGTAAGGAGGCAGTACATAGAGGCATAAAACATATATGATTCAGTGAAATTTGATGCTTTATTAAGTCTTCATCTATTTATCTTTCTTAATCGTAGTTATGTGAAGTATTTACTTAATTTCTCTATGGTTGCAATGCTTTGACAGTCATTACCTTGTTATGCTTGTAGTTTCTTACATCATTATTTTTAGCTGTTAGTTTTTAAATTTTCTTAGGAAAATACTGTCATTCTTTTCATTAATCCCCATCCCTTTTATGTGCTCAGGGGCTTGCGTACATCTCGCTGAATTAGCAATGGAGGCTGGTTTGCCCAATGGTGTCCTAAATATCATTCACGGCTCCAATGTAAGTTCTTGAGTGCTCTCTCATATTCTTATTGTAATCTCAGCTCCTGAGAGATGATAATCTGTTTCTATTGGTTCTATCTTAAACAATGTATTTTGTATTTGTGTGATGGTGAAATTTTTCTCCACGATATCTGCTGTGGACAGTATGCTCCGAAGAAAGTCAGTTTATTCTTATTGGGTGTTAAGTACACGTAATTGATTCATAAATTTTAATTTTATTTTTTGTAGGACATTATTGACGCCATCTGTGATGATGAAGACATCAAAGCTGTGTCCTATGTTGGCTCAGATGCAGTAAGTTTCTTTTTTGGCATTTCGTCTATTTGGTTGTCCTCAAGGAAGTTGATATGGAACCTATTGTGATATTTTATCTGGCACAAATGTGATTATATTAAGGTAGTTGCCAATTGAATGTCTTTTGCCTGCATATTGTGATTAACACCATGTTTTAGCTATAACGAAGGTTACTACATTGTGATAGTCTAGTCTGCATGGTTTTATAATAGTTTGAATGACGCTAACAATGAGGATATCTGGTTAGGAATATAGCCATAATCAGTCCTTATGATATCTCTTTCGACTTCTTTTTTTTGGTTGATGATAGAAAAAATGTGTAAAGAAAGGTTTGAGTCTAGATCCATGGTCATTTGGCAATCTTACATCCTAATATTTTTCTATTTTCCAGCCCGGGATGTATGTTCATGCAAGGGCATCTGTCAACAGTAAACGTGTTCAGGTGATATAAGTTCTCTGGATCTTAGCCATTTATCTGCGCTCGTACTATCTATCCTTTTCTTATTGAATATTGCATTATCTTCAGACAAATGTTGGTGCCAAAAGTCATGCAGTTGTTATGCCAGATGTAAATATCGATGCTACTATAAATGCTTTGGTTTCTGCTGGTCTTGGCTCTGCAGTACAGAGGTGTACAGCAATCAGCACTGTTATTTTTGTCGGAGGCTCAAAGTCTTGGTATGTGCTGCATAAATAATATATTTTATTTGTGTATACATAGAATTTTTTTTTTTTTTTTAATGATTTATTACTCAGCAAAGGTACTTAAGGTTTACTCCACTGGTTACTATTGCGGATTATACTATATGTGATTCTTTCATTGCCCATCATCTGTCGTTGTTTTCGGCAAACTTAATGTGATTAGCAGTGCTTAATAAGAGTTCCATATGGGAAATTTTGTTAGTTAGTGATAATTTAATTTTCTCAGGGAAGATAAGCTAGTGGAGCGCGCCATGGCACTCAAAGTAGATGCTGGAACTGAACCAGGTGTCGACCTCGGTCCAGTGATAAGTAAGCAGGTAAAATAATGGGTCTCTTTTTTTTTTGGTATTGAGAGTAGAAGCTCTTTTTCCATGTGCTATCATTTCAAGTATTTAGTCTGTATTGATGATCATTATCTGGTATATTCAGGTTAAGGAACGGATATCGAGGGTGGTCCAAACATTTGTTGATAATGGTGCTAGGTTACTTCTTGATGGGAGAAGGATTTTGGTATGTCTTCGGATTTCTTGAAATTTTCTAGAATATCGTGTATCTTAAATCCAGTAAAGAATGTGTGCGAACAAATATAAAAGGAGCAAGAACTGAAGACACATTTAGTGTGTTGGGATGTGTTACATAATGTGAAGTCTACTGCTTCTGAATGAAAATTCGATTTACTAAAATGTTGCCATAATATGATAAAAAAAATAGGTTCCGAAGTATGAGCTCGGAAACTTTGTTGGTCCCACGATCTTAACTGATGTCACTGAAGACATGGACTGTTACAAGGTGCCTATTTATATTTTTTTTCATCAACAGAACTCCCAATTTTTTTGCAGTGTGAAGATTAAATTATATGTCGACGATGTTTAATCTTGATGTATGCAGGAAGAAATATTGGGTCCAGTTCTTCTTTGCATGCAGGCTGGAAGTTTAGACGAGGCAATAAGCATTGTTAACAGAAACAAGTATGCAATGAGCTTGGCTATTCGTTAGTTTCAGTATTTTATAATGCTTGAATTTGACTTAAACTTTTTCTCCTGAATCAGACATGGAAATGGAGCTTCCATTTTTACGTCTTCTTGTGCTACTGGAAGAAAATTTCAGTTCGAGATCGAGTCTGGACAGGTCAGCATTTTTATCCCATGAGAAATGTGCTGTAATTTGTGCTGTAGTTACAGTTTTGAAACTAATTCGGTTGAAATCCAGGTTGGTTTAAACGTGGCTATTACTGCACCGTTGCCTTTGTTTTCATTCACCGGCTCCAAAGCTGGATTTACCGGAGATATCAATTTTTACGGTAAATACACTAAACTAAATACGAGTTAACTACAACCTTCTTACAACCTTTGTCAAATAATTGATTTTTTCTTTTGGTTCTTTTGAGTTACAGCTAAAGCTGGACGTGAGTTTTACACCCAGATCAAAACCGTAACCACGCAGTGGAAGGATCTTACAACTAACGGAATATCCTCTTCGGTAAACACAGAATATACACCATCTACTAACAGTGAGGAACTCCATGCACTGCAATCGATGGACTTCCAAAGTAACGATGTTTCACTGGGATTGCATTTAAGGGATTTCTCTAACGGCGAAGAAGGGGTCTCACTTCCACTGCATCACCATATTAACAGTCAACAAGGGGTGACAGTATCACTTCCATTGCACGCACGGGATTTCACGAGTAGCGACGGTGAATCTCTTGTAAATCAATCACAGGATCTTCCGAGCAGTGACGGAATTACAGCTTTGGATGGCTCACAGTGGACTCTGTTCTAGAATTTTTCTTTTATTTATTTTTCTTCTTTTTTCTGTGAATTTGTGTTTATTACGGGTAACGTATTAGAGTTAATTCGTCTGGTGCTCGAAGTAAAGAGTTGAAAGAAATGAAAGGAGAAATAATCAACGTAGAGTTTAGACTTACAGAATATATGTATATGATGTTGTGTGTATTGAATTAGTTGTAATTCATAAAATTTCCTTTGCTTGTTCGATTTCTTGGCATGAACAGGGGTTCTTTCACTTTTAAACCATAGTTTCGTGTATCGAAGATAATACACCGAACTAAATGTTACTAATCGAAGTTAAGTTTTCATTTAATACACTATTTTGATGATTGACACGATAATACGCAGACACTCGAATTGCATTGTTATAAAACTATTGAAATGATGAATTCTCCTAAGTGCATCAAAACAATAATTTGCAAATTAGCTGTCATTATAGACTATAAACTACAAACTACATAGTACTTCGTAGAGAAAACTAGAATTATCCCGGAAAAAAAAAAAAAAAAAAAAAACTTATCTCATTCCATAGTTCCCTCTTCGTCTTCTACAGCTTTCTCTTCGTCTTCTACAGCTTCCTCTACGCCTTCCATAGCTTCATCTTCGCCTTCTACAGCTTTCTCTTCTTCCTCGTCAGCTTCTTCTTTAGACTCCATCTCCGATGGATGAGGTGGCAAAATCTCCATAACCATCTCTAGAAATTCTTCCATTTTTGATTCCATTCGCTCTTCAAATTTCTCTATAATCTGGAAAAATGGCCAACATATGCAATAAATCGAGATATTACTCGCACTAACAATACAAACTCCTTTCGTTTTATTCCCCTACAACTAAACCGAAATCTTCAACAATATCTCATATATAATCTGCATGTTACCGTAAAAAAACGTGTCCACTGAAGTAACAACGAACATCACTATATGTCAAATTCTTCACTCCAAAATACATTTTTCCCTGTCACTAGTGATTTTACTACTACAACTTTCTTCCCCCAAACGGAATCAAGGAAAAACGGGATAAACGAGTAGCATCGATTATGTTCTTAGCATTCAATAATGTGTGCCCAAGTTATAGCATCTAACGGTGATCTAGATACCTAAATAGTGTCCTCGGGTTCGAGAAGGAAAAAAAATTGCTCTTTAGTTTATTATGGAGGTAAGCGAAATGTGAACCTAATAGAATTTATTACCGGGAAAACCTCGGGTAAGGATGATGGCCTTATGTTGGCAATGTTAAGAACTTCAGCCTTAGCAAGGTTGTATGTTTTGCACTCGTCAACGAGTTTATGCACAATCTCCTTTGTCTGGTCACGAGCAACACTTTTCTCTAAATAATCGAACACCTACATCGAAAAAAATCAAAAGAATCAAGACACAACAATCCCTCATCGATCATTCGGAATCCAAACATTTGAACTTAAAAGCGAGAGCTAACGACTGGAAATTCGTTGCTAAACGGCACAATAATCTAAACAAGTTCGATGAATTCGTATTCGTAACTATCGAATAATGCAACCTTAATTTTTTTAAATGGAAACCATCAAACCTTGAACTCAGACGGCAACACGGATGCAATGACACGAGTAGGATCTTTCCCCGCCCCTCGTGATCGGAAAAGATCGAGCACTTCAAAATTTGTTAGAGCACCACCATTGGATTCAATTCTGCAATAAATATATATAATTTCATAAAAGAGGCATAAAATAGAAAGAAAAAAAAAAAACTCAAATTGACATAGTAATTCAAAAAAGAAAAAAGTAGGAGAAAACTGTAACCCTACATACATTTTCATTGTGAGGCTGATCAATGATTTCGCTCCAAATTCAATTTTTCAGTAATATGTACCTGCAAAAATCAATAGCGCTTCATCAAACAAACCCTAACCCTGAATTACTCAGAGAGAAAGAAAACAAAATCGTAATTTATAGATAAATAATTAGACATTTACACGAACTCATAATTGAAAATTCAGAAACAATTATAAACCTTCAAATGAAGAAAAGGGTTTTCATAAACGGAGGTCCTCTACAAGAAATCAATGTCGAATTAGGGCACAGTTCACAAATTAAACAAACAAACTCAACGAAGTGTTAAGGTGAATTGTTCGAGTGGCTTTGTTGGTAGGAACTTTGTAAATAGGTTTAGGGTTCGATTCTAATTCAAGCCCAAAATCTTAATTTTTATTTTAATTATTATTTTTTAGGGTAAATTACAATCTCCTAATGAGGTATAGTTAAATTACGAAAACTCCCCTCATATTTGAGTAATTACAATCATAAGTCTTTTTACACGTCCACCTTTGCGATGTCAAATTTAATGGAATCTTCTAAATTATAGGGAATATTTTCAATTTTATACCTGTTTTATCTTATTCGAGCTCCACAATTTGAAGTAAAATGACCGTAAAATGTGTTTTTTGTCTTGTAAATATCAAATCGTGGTGCATCAGAAACTGAACTTTGCCACAAAATGTGTACAAACTAGAGAACATTCCACAGGATCTAGAAAATTATATTGAATTTGACATCGGACGTGTAAGAAGATTCATAGTTGAGGGATAGTAGTAATTATCCAAACATGATGATTTTTTCGTAATTTTGACCATACTCGAAGGATGGTTGTAATTTACCATTTTTTTATAACTTTTATTATTATTATTATTATTATTATTATTATTATTATTATTATTATTATGTGTGCCCGATTATACAAATTAATTGTTAATAATTACCCCTGTATTTCACCAGGTGTAGTATTAAATAAATGAGTGTAATCCACCTACTCCTAGATAAAGATTCGTTACTAGTTAATTGCACAAAATTACAAGAAAATCTGACTCATCCCGGAATTAAAAAAACACAAAAAAAATTAAAAAAAATAAATAAATAATATAATAATTAAATTTGCTGGAAATCATCCAGTCATTCAACAGTGGCGCTCTGCTCTGCATTTTCATTACAGTTGAAGCAAAAACTCAAGATGCTGCAGTTTTCAATCCAACGAGGTAATCGCACTTCAATCTCAATATTATACTCACGATTTTTTTTTTTATTGATGAGTTCGCGAATTTTTGGAATTTTCCTGAGTGAGTTTATACATCAATTGGATCACAGTTGATTGTGATTTTAACTCAGTTGCATCTTCAAATCTCTGATCCATCTTTTAGTTCTCTTTTCGTTTTTTAATAAATTTTTTTCCCTAAATTATATCTGGAATGGATTTATGCAGTGAGAAACATGAGGAGATTGAGTCCTCGGATAATTGGGGTTGCGAGTTCGCAGTTTTCCACTGCTACCGAATCATCTTGGAGGCATGGTAACTCACTGGTGAGTGTTTTTTTTTTCAAATATTATTTTTGAAGTATTTATTTATGAACTTATAATTGTTGTTTTTTTTTTTCCTCCCTGTTTTATTCCTTGTTATCATGATTGAGAATAGAGTATGCGGTGGTTTATCTGAGTCTTTATGAACAGATATTTGAATAAAATATTTCTAAGTTCAAAGGAGATTTTGCCATAGTTTGGGGTAGTTCTGTCAAGAAGGCCACAAATCGATCAAATAAAATATAGGTAGAAAATTAAGTTTTGGAAAGAAACAAGGGCTAGAGGGTTAAGTTTTGAGAATTGGTACTTGATACAAGTGTCGAACACTCACCTTTAACATTTTGAATTCATACTTCATAGATAATGTGGTAATCTACAATCACAGAGAAGTCGGGACGTTAAATCGAGAAGGTGTTCGAGTTCGATAAATATCTCCACTTGTTTGAAGTTGGAAAACAAGTGACATTTATACATGCATAGGGAGACGATAGTTATTGATAGTATATAGCCAGAATGTACAATAAAATTTGCACATTTCTCCTCTCAATTTTCAGCCGTTCAAACTTTTAGAGGATTTAGCTTTTATCCAATCACGTTACCTTTACGTTTATCTTGATGCATGTGGCAATATTATGTTTGTGCAGAGGGTTCCGAATCTAATTGGTGGTACCTTTGTGGATTCACATTCACCTGATCACATTGATGTCATAAATCCGGTAAGTAAACGAGATGACAAATTTATAGTCTATAGCTTTTGTTTCTTGAGTTGCTAATAGTTCTTTAGCATTGGTCTTTTCCTTTCTCGTATCTGATATTTTGAGCATAGGCAACACAAGAAGTGGTTTCTCAAGTACCGCTAACAACAAGGGAGGAGTTCAATTCTGCAGTATCTGCTGCAAAAGAGGCCTTCCCATCATGGCGAAACACACCAATCACAACACGACAGCGTATCATGTTTAAGCTCCAAGACCTTATTCGTAAAAACATGGTCAGCTGGTTAAAACTTCTCATTTATTATAGTCCACTCTTATATCACATTTGTGTAATATTAACTTGAAGAGTTGGATTGTTGATGCAGGATAAGCTTGCCTCGAATATTACAACAGAGCAAGGGAAAACACTGAAGGACGCGCAAGGAGATGTATTCAGAGGGTTGGGTTAGTATTTTATGTGTCTTTTGATTTTTTTTCTTACCTTAGATTAAATATCGGTTGGGGTTGAGTCCTTATTATCGGGATTTTCTTGAAGAGGTGGTGGAACATGCATGTGGCATGGCAACCCTACAGATGGGAGAGTACGTGCCCAATGTATCGAGTGGAATCGATACCTACAGTGTTAGAGAACCCCTTGGTGTTTGTGCAGGAATCTGCCCCTTTAACTTCCCTGCAATGATTCCCTTGTGGGTATGTTTGCCTTTTCTTTTTAGATGTTTATATTTTTCATAATTTATGTATCTTTGATCATATTCGATTGTGTTTATCTATTTCAAGGTATATATAACCTTGCTGTTATTGGGTTTTTTTCTTAAATGGAAATGCTTTTATATAACAACCCCGGATAAACAAGTATTTTCTTTCTTAATGGAATGTGGCAGATGTTTCCTGTTGCAGTCACATGTGGAAACACCTTTGTTCTAAAGCCATCTGAAAAAGATCCAGGTGACTTTTTGCTTGTAATATTATTTTATTCAAGTCCTATGATGAGTGAAATCCTACAACAAGAATAGGTGGAAGTGTTAGTGGCTGATACTATATTATGTTTAGCTGATCTAACTCATGCATACATACACCCATACAATCTGATCTTATCTGGCTTGGGATCGTAACAGACCTCACAGACATTATTATGTTAATGCTTCTAAAATCTAAAGTTACATTCATATTTGGATATACGACAACACAGTTAAAGTGGTGTGAAGTGAACTCAGTAGAAAATGGTCATTGCGTATTTTGGTCCTGCGGGTGAATCGTGGCACCTTTTGGGTAGAAGAAATAGTCATTTTATCCTATTATTATTGACCTAGTCATGGATAAAAATTCATTGTTTTCTTCAACACCCGAGCCATAGTGGATGGAGATATATACTAGTTTATACATTTCATCAAGTTCTGAATTCATTGTGCTCGTCTCTTATTACATTTCTATTTCATATTTTCATAAATTAAGAAAAATAAGACACTTCAGTTCATCTACGTTTAACCTTGTGATTATATGTTTGAGTAGATGTCTGTTAGCCTTTTATGTTACACCAAATATAGATTGCTAATCCCTTAACAGTGTTGTTATTTAGTGCCTGGTTGCTTCTAATTCTTTTGCCTTTGCTTCTCTTATTTCATTTTTTTTCTTTTCAGGGGCTTCAATGATTCTTGCTGAGTTGGCAATGGAGGCGGGTTTGCCCAATGGTGTCCTGAATATTGTCCATGGCACTAATGTATGATCTGGATTGTCCAGCACCTTTTAGTAATTTCCTCTTAGATGCCTGGGTTATTAAATAAGTCGAACTTGCAGTCTGGATCTGACAGTTCTCATTTTTTTTATTTTTTTTTTTACTGCAGGACACTGTTAATGCTATTTGTGATGACGAAGATATCAGAGCTGTATCATTTGTTGGTTCAAATACAGTTAGTAATCTGTCCATCTTTACTATTGTTTCAAACTAAATGTCTTACTAGACCTTCCATGTTCCAAGGAATTTCTCTTTCTGGTTGATAATGTCGTACAAGAAATTTATTCATTTATAATGATGCACGCCATGTTTTCCCCAAAAATATTAATTCAGATATTAAGTTGGGTAGCATCAAACTAGATTGTATCCGTCAATTTTCTTTCATGTTATTTCCTCGAGGCTCAAGTTTTCTTATTTATCTGGTTTTAGCTTGAGTCATATAACAATCAGACATGACAGTAAGCTCGATTAAGCTCCATTTGCCAAAGCTTGAACTTTTTTACTGTTTAGTAACTCATGGACCAATTTGTGTTCTCAGGCTGGAATGCATATCTACTCAAGAGCTGCAGCTAGCGGAAAACGTGTTCAGGTTCGTGCGATCTATCTATTCTCTACTGTTATGATTACGTTCTCCTCATGACCAGATATATTGGTAGCAAATTATATGCCCAGATATATTGGCAGCAAATTATTGTTAAATATTATTGACTACTTAACGGATAAAACACCTTCAGTCCAATATGGGAGCAAAGAACCACGGAATTGTGTTGCCTGATGCAAACGTTGATGCAACTTTGAATGCTTTAATAGCAGCTGGTTTTGGTGCTGCTGGACAAAGATGCATGGCTCTTAGCACCGTTGTGTTTGTTGGAGACTCAAAATTCTGGTATGTCCCATCGCTTCATGTTCGTTACTTACAACAATTACTTAAAAAACGTGATTTTTTTTATATGGGAAAAATGATGTATTCAAAAAGTAAGTTTCCGATGTATACTAACTCGTTGAATCTTTGTAGGGAAGAAAAGCTAGTGGAGCGTGCGAAAGCTCTCAAAGTAAGTGCTGGAACAGATCCTGAGGCAGATCTCGGTCCAGTCATTAGCAAGCAGGTGAGTACAGAGCCCATTTTCGAACTGAATCTGATAAATATTCATCAATACTTATTTGATCCAAGGATTATCTCAGAATGCTTAGGAATTTTTTATACATTTTGTCTTCTTCGGGAAATATCCTGTTTAATTTCTTGAGCGCCTCTTTCTTTGTTTATATTCTTAGGCAAAGGAAAGGGTATGCAAATTGGTCCAAAGTGGGGTTGAAAGTGGAGCCAGACTATTACTCGACGGCAGAAGTATTAAGGTACTTGTTTATTTATATTCTGCAAATTACATGTCGAAAGTAGTTTGAATTCGAAAACAGGAGATAAATAACTTCAACTTTGTGTTGGATAAGAGTAACAAAAGCTTATTACCTTCTGCGTTCATCGATGACTTACAGGTTCCAGGATATGAACAAGGTAACTTTGTCGGTCCCACCATCTTAGCTGATGTCACCCCTGACATGGAATGTTATAAGGTATTTTATTAATATTCGTTTTCCTTTTCCATCTGTATATCGAAAGATTATCTTGAATTTTATTGCACGTGAATATATGTTTAATTCGTCATCGTGGACTTTCAGGAGGAGATCTTTGGCCCTGTCCTCATTTGCATGCAGGTATATCAGTAATTAAACTATCTTCTATTGTGTGCCATGAGTTCTTGTGCTGAGTTACGTGTGATTCCTCCTCTCAGGCCGACAGTTTGGACGAGGCGATAAAGATAGTCAACAGAAATAAGTAATTACACTTTCTTGTTCTATTCAAATCGTCAACTTTTTTTTCGTTTTTCGTTTTTCATTTTTCGTTTTTCTTATATATATTTGAACAAAATCGATTTTTTGCTATCTGAGTAGAGAAATGCTGTGTATTTACATTAACCCGTTTCTACAGATACGGTAACGGTGCAGCGATTTTTACGTCTTCTGGAATAGCTGCAAGAAAATTTCAAACTGAAATAGAGGCAGGCCAGGTACTAAGTTGTTTCGTAACGTTTAATTTATTATACCGATTATACCCCTGTCACTAAATTAAACTATGAATTAATTCGTTTTTCAGGTCGGTATAAATGTCCCTATACCCGTTCCGTTACCCTTCTTCTCGTTTACTGGCTCCAAGGCTTCGTTTGCAGGGGATCTCAATTTCTACGGTAACTTCGATTCTTCTTTTTAGTATTCGCCATATTTTAGTCGAAAAAACAACAATAATATATATATAAATATTGGTTTAATTGATGGGGTTTGATTATATTCAGGCAAGGCTGGGGTTCAGTTCTTCACACAGATAAAGACAGTGACACAACAATGGAAAGATTTACCAAGTGGTGCTGGAGTTTCTTTAGCAATGCCCACTTCCCAAAAGTCGTAAAGAAATTGACCGAAAACACGCTTTTAACTAAAACTACTTTCTCAAGTACGTTTGTCCTGATGATGTGTAATAACGTGATGATGCTCTCCTTTGTTAGTGTTCTCTCAAAAGAAAATGAAATAAAAATGAATCCCAACTTCTCAAATTAAAATATTCACTATTTATAAGTTATAAATATATTTTTAGAATATTTCTTAGGGTAAATTACGGCCGCGTACCTGAGGTAATGCCAAATTACGAAAAACTCCCTAATATTTGGCTAATTACAACCACCCTCATCAACTATGAATCTTCTTACATGTGGTGTCAAATTTAGTGGAATCTTATAAATTATGGGGAATATTCTTCAATTTGTACCCGTTTTACCCCATTCGAGCTTCATATTGTGAAACAAGATTATCATAAACACATGTCTCTTGGCTTGTAAAAATCAGATTGTGGTGCATCGGAAATTGCATTTTTTGCACAAAACGAGTACAAACTGGAGAACATTCCACGGAATCTAGAAGATTCTGTTAAATTTGACACCATAAGGGGTGGATATATAAGAAGATTCATAGTTGATGAATGATTGTAATTATCTAAATAAGAGGGATTTTTTCGTAATTTGACCTTACCTCATGGGTGGCCATAATTTACCCTATTTTTCATTCTCATAGTCAAAGTGAGTTCGGATTTTCTCTTGGGCTCGACCCGTGAATCCATTTCCCTGAAACTTCCGGTGGGACGAAATAGTATTTATTCGGCCTGTATGAGTTGTAGTTATTGGGCCTACAATTTACAAATTTAATAAAAATGATATTAAGCTAAATTAAAGTGCAAAAAGGAAAAAAAGAAAAAAAAAAAACAGAATAAGTTTTTCTGCAATTCACTCAATTTCAAAATATTGGTTATCGACATACGAATTATTATCGATTCCAACTAGTTATGTGGGGTTTTATTTACATCTTCACACAATGATATTAGTTTTCGAGTTTTCCCACATTTCACTCAAACAACTACTATACATCTTGATCAACTCGCGTTTCACTTGTTCACAGTTTTATTTTCTCCAGCATTTTCGATATTAGACGAGTGTCGTTTCCCTTTGAGATGACTCTGCATATCAATCTCGCTAAGCAGCTTCACATTACACACGTCACAGTGCAGTTTGAACGTATGACTAGAAGCACCATCCTGCTCAAGCTTGCCCTGTTTTTCTTTTTCCAGCTCATTTGCCACCTCATCAATCCCAACACTTTTCTCGATTTTTTCGTAATCTTTCCGCTGCCACTCCTGCTTCAGCTTTGCCCATTTTTCCTGCTCTGTAGCAGCAGCAGGCAGATTCGATAAATGTGCTTTGGTTGGCGAAATTGCGGGTCCCGTTTCTTTGGCATTGAGTTTGCTTTTGAGATTCTCACAATTGGACTTGTGCTTACTCCCTCGAAGATGCTCATTTAGTGTTTTCTCGCTTGTGGTCGCCACCTGGCACAAACCGCAGATCCATTCTTGCTGATGAAAATTCGGAGTCTTTCTTGGACTTGCTTCTGGTGCTATCGTCTCTTTAACCTCGTTTTTCTGCACCAGTGATGTAAAATATATATATTTCACAAAGTTTTAATCAATTTATGCATTGAGAGATTTTGTATCACCTGTTTAATCTCAGTTGTAGCAGTCTTTGCTGTAGCTTCCAACATTTTGTTATCTTTCGGAGCAGTATCAGATACTTTCATCTGTAAGAAATAGTAAATAAACTGAATTGAAGAATAGAATGAGAACCTAAAACATGCAAATCGATAGAATTTACCTCTTCTGACATAGCTGCAGCATTTTTCTCCTCTGGTTCTTGAACTCGAGCCTCTCTCTGAGAATTATCAGGTTCTTTCGTATCCAACTGTATCAATACGCAAACAAATTTCTCATTTTGAAAATATACACAAATAAAGCAAACACTGAGAGAGAGAGAGAGAGAGAGAGAGAGAGAGAGAGAATCGAACATTATCTTCGATCTTTTCGGAAGTTTTTTGCTGCCATTCCTGCCTCAGTTTAGCCCGTTTCTCCTGCTCATTAGCCACCTGAAATTGAACTCTTTCTTCGATCTTTTCCGAACATTTTTGCTGCGATGCTTCACCAACTTTCACCTGTGCTGCCACCGGTTTGGCCTGATTCAATGCTGTTACCAAAGTTGTGGGTCCCGTTTTGCTTTTCAGGTTCTCGCAATTGGACTTGTGCTTACTCCCTCGAAGATGAGCATTAAGTGTTGTCTCGCTTGTGGTTGTCACTTGGCATAAACCACAGATCCATTCTTGCAGATGAACTTTGATAAGGGGAGGGGTCTTTCTCGGACTTGCCTCTGGTGCTATCATCCCTTTAAACTCGGGCTGCGATATAAAATATATATTTCTAGTGAAAACACACTGACGAAGAGAAGAAAGTTAAAGGTTTTGTTTATGTTTAAGTGTTTAGTCGATATTTATCGATAACAAAATCAGCCACTTTCTACTATCAAATAGTAAAGCCGAACAAGAAAGAAACAGGCAGAGTGAGTTTCACAAAGTTTAATCAATTCATGCAGTGAGAGAGAACTATCAGCTATCACCTGTTTCATCTCAGTTGACGCAGTCTTGTCTGTAGCTGCTAAGATTATGTTAACTTTCTGAGCGGTATCGAGTCCTTTTAGCTATAAGAAACACCAAATAAATCGAGCGGACGTATAGAAATAAGAAACTACAAAACATGCATGTCTCTGTAGAATGTACCGGTTCTGTTACAATGGCAGCATTTTTCTCCTCGGGTTCTTGAAATTGAGTTACTCCCTGAGAATCATCAGGTTCTTTGTGTTCCGACTGTATCAATATTCAATAAGCAAACAAATCGTCTCATTTTAAAATATAACCAAATAAAGCACATACAATTTACATACATTACGGTCCGGTATAAATGTCTGGGTGGCAGCACTATCCCGCTCAGCCTTGCCCTGTTTTTCCTGCTCGTTAGCCGCCTGGAATCGAACAATTTCTTCCATCTTTTCAGAATCTTTTTGCTGCCGGTCCAGCTTCAGCTCAGCCTGTTTCGCCTGGTCATTAGGCACCTGTAATCGAAGTTCGATATTTTCAGAAGATTTTTGCAGCGATGCTTCCCCAACTTTAGCCTTTGCTGCTGCCTCTGTTTTGGCCTGTTTCGATATATGTGCTGTTACCGAAGTTGTGGGCCCCATTTCTTCAGCATATAGCTTGATTTTCAGATACTCGCATTTGGACTTGTGCTTATTCCCCTGAAGATGAGCGTTTAGTGTTTTCTCGCATTTGGTTGTCACTTGGCACAAACCACAGTTCCATTCTGGCTGATGAACTTTCGTAAATGGAGGTGTTTCCTGGTTTCGATTTCTTGGACTTGATTCTGGTGGTATCATCTCTTTAACCTCGGTTTTCTGCACATACAGATGTGACACAACATTCTCGTTCAACAATTCTCATATGTCCAAGTGAATAGAACAAAACCCAAATCGTAAACTGCTCCTCATTTCTGAATGAGTTTTATTCAAGTTGTAATGACAACAGCCAAGAGGGAATATGACATGCGCAATATCACCTTTTTTTTACCGATTTTTTTTTTACTATCACCTGTTCCGTTTCCATTGCAGCAGTCTTTGCTGTAGCTTTCAACATTTCATTATCTTCAGGAGAAATATCAGGTCCTTTCAACTATAAAAAAAACAGCGAATAAAATTGAGTGCAACTATAGAAATAAGAAACTAAAACATGCATGCATGCCTGTGGAAAATACCGATTCTAAGTTAACAGCAGCAAGTTTCTCCTCTGGTTCTTGAATTTGTGTCTCTCTCTGAGTATTATCAGTTTCTTTGGCCTCCAACTGTATCAATAGGCAAACCAAATAAATCACGTAATTCTCACTCCGATAGGTACAAAAAACAAGAGAGAAAATTTAGACTTTTCCTAAGCTTGTCACATATAGCCAACCTTGCTTGCAATAAGTTTTTCCAGAGCTTCGGATCCGTTCTCTTTGATGTATTCCTCAGCCAAATCAAGAAAAGCTACTATTTTACGAGGCTTTTCCTTCTTTAGCCAGTACAACAACCTGTCTAAAACTGCTTGTGGATTCACAGATAAGCACGGGCGTAAAAGGTCTTGATAGGCGAGGCATGCACCATCAAATCGAGGAAGCACTAACCAGAAGGCAGCAACAAGTTTAATGCTAGACCACGACGGTATCCTATCATAATAAAACAACAACATATCCCAAAAAAAATTAAATAATTGGGTTATAAGTATTAGGTAAGCGATGCACGATATATTAAACAAATGGTATCTGAAACGATACCATTTGTTTATAAAATGCTCGATTTCTACCGTATATGAAAGAATGAAGGTAGCAGTCTGAAATGGTTAAATAACATGAAGAATGTAGTAACGAATTCCGACAGACAGGAATTCATCCGGAAAGTGCTTACCAAACAATGATTTTGGCGAAAGCAAATTCGAAGAGAGAAATTAAACCGAAAAGGGTCCAATATACGACCAACTTCTTCATGTGAAGTTTTGAACCGGTCTCGATTGCCCTGATTGAAGCAAACCTGCAAAATTAAGCACTAACTAATGTTTTGCGTTTTTTTCGGTGATTTTTAATGAGTACTTAAGCATTTTAATCATACATCCCAATTGACTAAAAACTTGACAAAAATTAACATTGCATATGCATTTGCCTAAAAGCTAGAACACTTGATTTCCTGCCACAAAATCATAAACCCTAGAGAGAGAGAAAAAAAAAATAATATAACTTACACCGGGTACCCAAGAGCAATTACAGGCCTGCAGAGAAAAATGTACATACATATTAGTACAACCCTACTATCTGTATCGATACATGCACGTATACGTATAACAGGGACTAGCTAAAATCCCCAAATGGAACATGAATTAAAAACAAGGTAGAAACGATGATCGGTGTGAGGAAATGGAAATAATAATGACATATATATATATATATATATCCTGAATAATTAAAAAAAAAAAGTAGAGCAAAATCAAAAGGTTTAGGAAACACAAACCAGGCGAGAAAATCGATGCAGAAAAGAGCAAACTTGAGAAGTGCCACCAAACCCATTGGGGTTTTGAGGACGATTGATTCTGCGATCTTCTGCAGAAAAATCCTAGAGAGAGAGAGAGAAAGGAGTTCAGTTGGTAGAGAGAGAAAAAGAGAAGGAAAGACTTTTGAAAGTAATTTGACTAGTGTTAAGTGTCTCATTAATTAATTAGTATCTTAATTAATCTCACTGTACTTAAGTATTGATTATGGAAAGTTAAGTGGTTGCCAGCCAACTCAACTCAGCCTAATCTCCTACTACTATTTGATAGTATTGTTAGTTAAAACTTAAAACTAATAATTGAGAAAATAATTATTTTAATACAGTACTGCAGTAATAATTGTAATAGGAAAAAAATAATTGTTTTCACTTTGTAATGATTTAAGAGTTGGCTCGTGATTTTTGTTTATTTATTTAATATTTATTATTATTAATATGTAATATATGAAGAATAATATTAAATGTTCATAATTTAGTTTTTTTAATAATTTTAGGAAAGATTGTATCGATATAAGATATATCTTCTTTTGTCCTTCTGATTATGGATCAAGGATTTTTTTTATATTGGTGAATGCTATTAATAAGAAATTAATTAGGAAAATAGAAATATAGAGTCGAATTTTGACCTTTTTAATGAAGTATAATTTAATTTTAAAAAATCAGAAGAGAAAAAGAATTACAAAAATATTATTAGCGCTAGCGTTTATTACTTTTAAATATAAGATTTTATTTATGCTCAACATAAAAAATCTAATGTTCGAATTCGAGATTGACTAGATAAAAATAATAATAAAATATTGTACAATAAAACTAGCTACTCGAGCTCAATTCATATTTAATACCCGATTTTGTCTTTTGTAAATTATGCTTATTTAAATAAACAACAAGTTATTTAAGTATAAATTGTTCAACTACTTGTTTATTTAAAATAATTAAAATTTAAAAAAATATCTAATAACTATTGATATTTAATTTTGACAATGTAATTATTAGTTGATCTTATGAACCCAATATTATCATTATTTTTATAATACACGAGTGACAAATAATATTGACAATCGACTCATTTTTTGCTTTCGACACGGTCATGTAGCATTCGTCACCTGACCTACAAAAGTCGGGCCGATAATAATTTTAAATATTGGTAAAATATGATTGGTCGATCAATCTGATAATTGAAAATTAATTAACCAATGTCTTAAAAGGGTAGACTACCCTGGCCCAATTTACAGCCCAACAGGAAAAAAAGAAAAAAGAAAAAAGAAAAAACAAATTTGCTCTGCATTAGGAAAACAAGTGTTAATGGGCCGATTGCAAACTTAATTTTTTTTTATTTTTTGTAAATTAATAAAATATCAAATAATAATTTTAATAATGAATTCTGAAAAGAAAACAGCGGGACACGTGGTCCTTCCATATCTGCTGAGAATAAAGATTCGCATCAAAGATAAAATGTCACGTGACAAACTTCCACGTATGATTCTGACATAATACTCTGCAACACAAGTGAAAATTTTCAGCCACAATTTCTCTTACATGCGTGTTTGGCGAATTTCATGCTCAGTTTGGTCGATTGTTTATAATGTTTATTTATTTTTTATTATTATTAATTATTATAATAATTATTATAGTATTATTATTATGTTAATTTTATTTATTTTTTAACTTTATGTTAAAATCTTTATTAATTATCTATTATTTCGTTGAACGATTGAATGACAAAAAATTTCAATCGTTGTAGCTTAAAGTAAACTCAAGTGAAACTTAGTGTAAATATATAGACTTCGTATTTGAACGCGATATAAAAAAAAAAAAATTAAACCTTAAAACAAGTAGCATATTTAATTAATTATCGTCTGCATTCGGTGAACTTTCATTAGTGGGAAATAAAATAGATTTAATCAATCATAAAACTTTGGTATTCAAAAATTGAAGGCTCACTAATTTCACACCTGCAATAAAATTTGATCCCAACAATTAGATGTTACTATTCTATAAATTTATTAGTTACAGTACTACATTGAGAATTTGAAATTGATTTTATAGGTAGCTACTAAAAATAAAAATGGTGATTTTATCTCTAAGATGACACAAATTATGTATATCTATTGTTAGATTATGCGAGCAGTGGCGAAGTCAGCATAGGATCAGAAGAGGTCAGCCTCTCCTCCCCATAATTCTTGAATTGCTATTTGTTATGTAAATATTTCAAAAAAAATTCGTGCATAATTAACATTATCGATTCTCTCATAAAAGTTTCAATGCATTCAACCCTCGTATATAAACCTAAAATTCTGACTCTACTAGTGAACACGAGTATATTGCAAATTCACATTTAATAACAACATTTGACATTTTCATTAGAAGGAATTAAGACCAATAGCTTACATTAAAAACTTAAAACTAAAATATATATATGATTTATCATTTAATAAACAGATAACCAAATTAAAAGATCAACATATTAAATACACCTAAATCATCAAAAGAAAAAAAAAACTTGTTTAAATACTCCTTGTAGGGACAATTGGAAAATGAAGGGCAAGAAAGTCAACAATTATTCTGAGGGTAAATAAATAATTTCACAATAGATGCCATTCCCATCTGTACGTCTTGTATATAAAGGCTACACGTCCGATCGATTTTCATATTCTCAGCAGTCGTCTTCCCCCGCCCCTCTCACTTTCTCTCTCTACAAACCCACACACACACACACACACACACTCCCCACAGTTTGTGAGAGAGAGAATGGGAGGTCAAAAGTTTGCCGTTCTTCTGTGCGCCGACGACTCCGACTACGTGAAGACAATCTACGGCGGCTACTACGGCGTTTTCGTGAGAATGCTGAAGGAGGAAGGGGAAAAGTGGGACGTATTTAAGGTGGCCAGAGGCGAGTTTCCGGCGGACGAAGAGATCGGCGATTACGAGGGTTTCGTCATCACCGGAAGCTGCAATGACGCGCACGGAGACGAACCTTGGATCTGTAAACTGGTGGCGCTGCTCAGTAAATTGGAAGTTATGAAGAAGAAAATCCTCGGCATCTGCTTCGGCCATCAGGTTAGCCGCCGTTCAATTTCTCCGTCGCCGTTAATTTTTTTTTTTCAATTAGTTATTTTATTTTATCTTCGCGTCGATTGCGTTTTGTTTTGTTCAGTACAGTTCGTGTGTTTTGTTTGCTTGTTTTCGATTTTCCGTGTCACGCCGTTTGCATTTCATCGAGCTGCTTGCGTGCACAGCTGTCCTTTATTTCTGTTTTTTTAATGTTAAATTAATATCTAAATTCATATAATTGGATTAATAATTAATTGTATATCACCAAAATAAATAACTGTGTGATTAAAAAATAATTTGAAAGCATTAAACAATAGTGCCCGTGAAAGCATTAATTATTTCAACGACGCGCTAAGCGCTTTATGTTAATGCATTGCACAGACACGTACCATAAGTACTGCAGGTAATTTGAGCTTAAACAATAGTTTAAACTTTAAATTGAATTGAAAAATTAATACACACTTGGAGTTAGAATAACAGTATCTCTTATATAATTTGGCATATGGAGTATTTATACATTCATTGTGAGCTTATCCGTTGAATCGTCACTTCATCTAAAAGAATAAGCTGTCGGTGAATCATTTAATGTGTATGCGTGTTATATTTTAAAGTTTTGCATGTATTTCTTTTTTCGAACACACGACTTTTCATTTTACTATGATATTTCTGAAGTAAATCATTCATATATATAGTTAAATCCTCTATAAATTAATGCAGTCGAGACTAATAAAATTCTATCAATTTAGCGAGATATTAATTATCGAGCTAATAAAAAAAAGTATATAGAAATGCATTTAGAGTGGGTAAAGTACTTAGGTGTTGACATTATAGAATGGGGTCACAGTATATAAGCAGTCCAATGAACAACTACCAAGAAAGCTGTCTATCTTTGTTTGTGTTTAAGGGAATTTATTGCTTAAGTTACGCAGAATAAATAAATAGTTTGTGAAATCTTAAGTTTTAATATTGTCAACTAGCACAATCTTAAGTTTTAATATTATTTAAATTCACGGCTAGGATTAGTCTTGAAATGTGGAACATATATATAGTTCTTGAATTTCTCAATTAAATTGAACAAGGTTTATATTACAGTTAACATTTATAAATTAATACAATTGGGACTAGCAAAATTCTATTAATTTGAGGAAATATTAAATTATCGAGTTAATACTTTAATACATTTTTGCCGACTCGGAACCGGAATAAATTATTATTTAAGCGAGCGTTATTAATTAATCAAGGTTCTACTGTAGTTTTAATTTATTGCATTTTTTTTTTTGCATGAAACAAGAATTACCGTTTGTTATAATGAGGGCCAAAAGAAAACAAATTTCAGTACTAGACAAGAAATGGTTAAAAGATGGAGAAGTAGGTTTCCTCCAATTTTGTGGTCTCATTTTTGTTTATAGTGGTCCAACATCAAACCGTACACCTCGTTTAATTGCAAAAATCTGCCTCGTTTCGCAGTTTTTGCCGTTGATCTACACACCAATGTGAATGTATGTGTCTTTGTGGATATATGAACAGTAAATATTTACCCGATGTAGCAATAAATATCGCCACATTTATTGAAAAATATATGAGTTTTTGTTTGGTTCTGTATTCCAATTCAGTGCACTTCCTATTTTTTAATTTATTTTTAGTAGAAAGAAAAGTTGCTGTATACTGAGTCATTTCAATTATCTTATTTCCAAAACCCACCTGTAAAATGTATCCATTTTTATTTAATTCCAAACAGCTACATATTTTGGTAGGTGAAAACTGTGAGTAGAGAACGAATGCTACAGACAGTAAACAACGTTTTTTTCTGAGGAATTAAAGTTGTGTGGACCAAAACAATTTGTCCAGATTAATATTATAAACCCCATCACATTTCACATCAGGTCCAGCACTATTTTTATGTTTCCCCATAGTACTTACATACTCATAACCCCACTTAATTAATTGGATTAAATAGTAAAGTTTTTGTCTTTAATATATTTAATTTAGAAATATTTGAGAGTATGTAGTCATGATAGTAACAATCTCCCTATATAAGCATGAAAAATATAATTACTTATTTATTTGGTGTTTAGTTTTATATGTGCTTAATTAGTCACTAGTTTGGTTTAACAATAATTGTTTCCAACTCTTAATACGACCTTCGCGTCCGAACGGAGTCACTTGTCCTTATCTATTACTCAGCTTTTCGAATATCGAAACATACGTTTCAATTATTTTTCTTTAATATTTAATCACGCTTGTGAAAAGAAATTCTATTTTCTGCTGCCACCTTCTCTATTTCTATATTTTCTCAATGAAGTATTTTAAAAAAGAACAGCTTGCTTATCACTTATGTGTTCCTCAAGTTGCAGTTAAGAGTTGACTATAGGGGACAATGGACATGTATTGGTCCCATTAAGCAAATGATACATATATTATAACTAACTTTGTCGGTTATTCGAGTCAATCGCTCCACGTTGCATCACAAAAAGCAGAAAAGAAAGGATGTCTGAAATACTTTAATTATATATGTACGTCTATATGATCAATCATGCATGTGTGTGTTGTAGACTTGGTAGTGGAGTGATAAGGATATCCAATTCCACCATACATGTTTCTTAACATAAGTTGTGCCTCTTTATCAGCACACGTAAGCTCGTTTTTTTGACTTTATCTATTCAAAGTATGTCCAAAGTAAGATAGCAGGTAGAAGGAAAGAATAAGTTAATTAATGAACAAATTATGTATATTATAACGGATAGTTGATGTTGCTTTCTATATTGATATATCAAAAGGGTTTTTTTAATGTTATTTTAAATAGGTATTGGGACGAGCATTAGGAGGAAAAGTCGGGCGAGCCAGTGCAGGATGGGATATCGGAATCACGAAAGTCCATTTACATCCGTCGCAGATTTTCAGCTCTATCAAAATGCCTGCTTCACTCTCTGTTATCGAGTGCCACAGAGACGAGGTTCTTCTACCGAAATTTTGTGACATTACCACAAATTTGTTTATTATATCCAAGATTGTGCTAATTGTGATTTGTTTTGACTTTAATGAATTAGTTATGGGAACTCCCACCAAAAGCAGAGGTTTTGGCATGGTCAAACAAGACAGGAATCGAGATGTTTAGGTACGGTGACCATGTTATGGGAATACAGGGCCACCCCGAGTACACAAAGGATATCCTCTTGCATCTAATCGACCGCCTTTTCAACCGTGATCTAATTGAGGTCAAATAAAATTTTGGTTTGAATTAACGAAAGATGATCATTGTTTCTTGATGTTACAAATTCCTTTTTTATTTTTATTTTTTAAATTTGTTTTAATATCGTACTACAGGAGTCCGTTGCTGAAGAGGCCAAGATTAAGATAGTGGCGTGCGAGCCTGATCGGGAGGCATGGAAGAAACTGTGCACCAGCTTTCTAAAAGGAAGACTTTGATCGAAAAGGAAAAGCTACGAGGAACTTGTATGTAGATAATTTTGCGCAATTTGGCGAAAGAACGATTGACCCCTGGCGTGTTCGGAGAGAAGAGATGTGTTGTTGTTTAAATGTATTTGTAGTCACTTGTTGTAATTTATCAAACGTTGAAGTTGGACAATATTTTTAATTCAAATAGTTTTATTTAATTTGTTTGGACTCTTGAATATAGCTTCTGTGTTGATGATTGACTGTATATGCGATGTTAGAAATGGCCAGACAACTCAGGGGGAACACTTGCACGTATTGGATATTGTTTCATTTATGAAGAAAATTTACTATTATTACATATATCTACTTCATACATGAAATTTCAAAATCCACTTGCAATACTCATTTAAAGCCATATTAACACATTACATTGCTGGACTACAAAACCAGCATTTGTCGATAACTACTGGATTCAGATAGTAGAACAGAAAATTGGAACAGAAAAAACCCATTTCTTGAAGATTCAAAAATTCGAACAGAAAAACCCATTTCTTGAAGATTCAAAAATTCAACATTGCCTAGTGCGTTCTTAGACTGCCAACAGCTAAAAGTAAGCAATGGTGCACATAAAAATTTAAGCAGATATCGAAATATGCTTTAAATGCACAATTTCTGGCGTAAGTGTTCACAGAAAGTACACTTTATTTTCAGTTGGCCCTTGTAAAACCACATTCAAATGTAACAGCAAAATCCAATAATAATTATGTGATCCCTTTCATAGTCCCTCCATAACAATGAATGATGAACCAGACGAACACAATTAACTCATCATAGAGCCAGAGCTTCTTCTGCAATCAGCCAACATATCCATGTAGAACTGGCACTTGCTGATGTCACTTCCAGAGGTATTCAGGCACTGCACAAGAATCAGATTTCCCCTAATCAGCATTCATACATAATTAAGATGCACTTACACCCAGTGCTGTTCAGAGCCAGGCTGTGTTTTGGAAGTTCTTTGGGGTACATATTTGAAAGAAAGGTGTTTCGGGGTAAACAAATCAAGAAAATAAATACTACTCGTTTGTAGTTTGGGCCTCCAAGGAGAGTTTAAGCATAGTGTTCAAACAATGTCTTTTGAAAGAATTGTATTTTTAAAATAGAATTTCAGAAATAGAATAAAGTTTGTATTTTAGCTGAGACATTGAGAAGAAATGGGACGGATTATTGGAAGCCGAACGATTACATATTCAGGAAGTTGAAAGCGTGGGAAAGAAACGAAAAGCATTCCACTTATTTTGAGAACAAATGTTAAAAAAGGAAAGCAGAGGTAAGAAGATAGTTTGCACTTACGTCCTGGAATGCCTTGGTGTGCATGCCGCAAGCATCAGAACCACCCATGCTGGTTGGAGCTGGGGCTCCTGCAGCTTCAGAGGAAACTGTTTCATGTTGAATTGTACGAGGGCCCATAACAGCATCTACAGCCCTGTGTGCAACAGCACTTCCAGTACCAAATGCCAATCCTACGAAAAACAAAAGACAAATAAAAATCCATCCATGTCCATCGTTTTCTAATATAAGGACTATGCGGATTATGGTCAAAATATTTTGACTGACCTTGGGCAATGGTTGAACCAATGCCTCCAAGCATGGATCCACCAGAGCCAGTTTGAACAGCTGGCGGAGGAGCATTGTTCACTGCAAATATTATTGGGTAGAAACACGTGTAAGTTTGATATTGAATTAATCGAGTATGCCATGTTTCACCAAATTAGGCCTAAAGATGGTAGGAAATAAACACACAAAAGAGAATTGAAAAGATAAACTATTTTTTTTAATGGCCTTATAGATGGCCATAATAGTGGACACAAAGAGATTTGAACCCCGGATCTCTCTTCCACTCGGAGAGAGGCCAATATCACAAATATAAAGCCTTGGTGGTGAACAGAAAAACTACTTTTCATAGAAGAGTCAAAATCAAATTTAAGAAAAATACTTTCGAGCAGAAAACCAGAACCTTTTTGAGGAGGTGGACTGCGTGCTGCAGGACGAGGAGCTGGGCGGGAAGACCTTCCTGTAAAAACATATAATCAAAGTAATGAGACGGTTAGACCACATTTCTGATCCCTATTTGCATTTTAATTCACACAAGTAGCCACTATTAATACGATGCAACCATTATCACTGTATAGAAAGAAATCATACAAGGTCGTGCCATGTTAGACTAACAACATAAATAAAGCTGTATAACTGCATCAATACTTCAGCACTCTATTAGAAGGATATAATGTGTTATTTCCCTTTAGAGACAAACTCACAAGACCAAATCCTAATGTATTATTTTTCCTTTAAAAATTCTTAGGGCCATATCAAACAAGTCATGCGTGGCATAGGGGCATATTCTTGCACTGAAATAGAAGTGATTATTTCATTTAGATAGATTAAACAATTACATTCACCTTGAAATGGTCAGATATAGAGCTATCACAATCATGATTAATATCATAGATTTGAACATACAAACGATCTCAGATACTCACAAACGAAATAAATACTAAGAATTACATCAACAATGTACTAAATTTCTTGGTATAATACGCCTACACGAGTTATTACATTTCCAGTTATGACAAATTAAGACACATATAAGACCTCATTTGTTTGACTAATTAAACAAACAGCAAAAAATAGACGAAAGAGCAACCCAATTAATTAAGAGTCAACCCCATCGAACGCCATATTCCCAAGCAAGCTTAAATGAGCAGCCGGAATCTAAAACTAAAGATCTAAGCTCGACTGGTTAACCACATATCCTCCCTCGAGATCTACAATATAACAAAGGTGAACCCTTTCCAAAGAAACCTTCTATCCAACATCAAACCCACGTCCACGTGAATCCCAATAGCCACAAATCAATTGACATAAACCGAAAACCACTACACATCTAACATTTAAAAAAAAAAAAAAAAACCCTAGATCCAGTAATATTACGAAACCCTAAACCCAAAAATAACAAAATATCAATTCGCTAAACCAGCAGATAATGACTATGCTATGCCCTAAAACAAAAAAAATCAAACATTTGATTCGTACTTTCAGCCACAAAAAAAATAATTGTAAATAAAAATGAAATAGAACAACACAATAATAGCGCAATAAATCGGCAAAATCATCGATGAGTAACCGAGGATTTAATCGAGAAATGAGAGAACTCACCACCGGAGCTACGGCGAGGCATGATTTCCTTTTTTGCTGGAGAGGGCGACGACGATGAAAACCTAGGTGAGAGAAACTTCTGGGAATGATAATACGTGGTTAGAACAAAACCCTGGAAGATGCATTTTTATATAGTAGCTAGAATAATCAGCTGCGGCGCGTGTTTTGTGAGCTCGTGACGTGGCTGATTATGATTAGTCAAAATAATTGTGGCACCAATTAGAAGTGCGCGTTGGAGACTTTTTTATGCGGTTTGTTTTGTTTAAAATCAGATGCGCATTTTGTGCGGAGTACTATTCTATCATCTTCTAGATAATTCCTCGGAAAATCGCCAGGTCAAATTTCTTTGTTATAATAAGACAAAACTACCCTTGTGTTTTATTAAAAGTAACTAGTAATTGTACCCGTGCGATGCACGGGACAACAAATTGCATTGTTTTGATGTTGTAAGAATATAAACAAACGTTTGATGTATCGTATGATCAAAATTCTATTATACTGGAACATTATTAAGTATACTACACACACAAAAAAAGGACATAACTTTACTGTTGAATAATTTTCTAAATGAATTGAATCAGCTAATACCAGTAGATTGAAAATTTAAACCAGGAAAAAAATCATCAATTATGTCTTTCATGTTGAGCTTAAAAGTAATTAGATTTAATAACTAAGTTAACATAATCAAAACTAAACTATCGACAACATACCATCGTAAAAGGCCATCTATACATCTTGCATCGGAACTAAGCCCTTCTCCACTGCCTCATTTTAAGGCTGTTTTGCCACGGGAATTAACAATTGGAAAATTAAGAAACAAAAATAAATACAAACAATAAATTAAATATCGCATACAAACAATAAGTCTTGAAGGTCGACTTCCAATAGCTTGTGGCTCCGCCCATTTTTGGTTAATTTTCTCAAATCATCCCTTTTAATAACATGTTCAATAACATATAAAATGAAATAATTGTTATACATAAAATTTGAAAACTTTGGTATAAATTAATGAAAGACATAATTTAACAAAATGAAATTACCTATAAGCCATGATGGAAAAAGATGTAAACTAATTGTCACACAGTCAATAGGATGAAGAAGAAGATAAGAAACAAAATCTAAACTCGGGTTACCAAAAGAAGAAGCCTTAGGTAGGGAAGAAATAAAATTCAAATGTTGCAGACATTCTGTAAAACGATGTCACAAAATCCGCTAGGGATGAAAATCAGATTTATTTACCCTTTTCTGTAAAAATCAAAAATCAGATTATTATAAATAATATCTAGGAGAATTTGATGAAAATCGATAATAATATTTAAAATAATATTTAGGAGATAAAAATTTGATAAAAAAATCAAAAAATAATATTTAGGAGATAAAAATCTGATAAAAATCGAAAATAAAATTTAAAATAATAGTTAGGAGATAAAAATTTGATAAAAAATCGAAAATAATATTTCAAATAATGTTAATGAGATAAAAGTTGATAAAATATGAAAATAATAATTAGAATAATATTTAGGAGATAAAATATGATTAAAATCATTCCGTAATAACTCCAATTCCACATTCATACCACTCATTGGTATTATATTGAACCATATAGGTTTCCTTGATTGCTTCAAGCGTATATTGACCAAACGGATGAATTGTATTATAAAGATGTTTATGTATGTTTCTACATAAATAATTTTTAGCGCATATAAGATCCTTTCCAATTAATAGTTTGATTAAGTTAGGTGTCTCAGAAAAAAGTTAAAAATTATATTTAAAATTATAGTTAGGAGATATAAATTTGATAAAATTAAAAAAATATTATTTATAATAATATTTAGGAGATAAAAATTTGATAAAAATAAAAAATAATATTTAGGAGACAAAAATCTGATAAAAATAACAAATAATATTTAAAATAATATTTAGGGGATACAAATATGATAAAATTCGAAAATAATATTTAAAATAATATTAAGGAGATAAAAATTTGATAAAAATTGAAAAAAAATTACAAATATGACATTAGGGTTTCTTAGGGTTGCCCTAGCGTTTCTTTCTTTTATATATAAGATTATAAATTAAAAATAAAAGGGGTAATGGCAAATAGGCCCATGACAAGGGCACTTAATTAAAATAGGGACATCCAACTTTTTTGTCTTTCAAATAAATCCACCCCATTCAAACTTATTTGCAAATAAGGAAAATCCCTTTATATATACCAAAATTACCCTCAATTCATTTGAAACCCAATTTAACTCCAATTTCATGATTTTACACCCCAATTTAGCCCAATTTCATCAATTAACCAATTTTAACCCAAATTTCAATTTTGACCCCAATTTTAACCCTAATTCGTATCAATTCCACCCATTATGCTCTAACTTCTTTAATATTACACATTGACCCCGGATTTTAACAAATATATCACATTAACCCCCAAAAATTTTTTTTTTCAGAAAATAATTTTTTTTCTGAAATATTTTTTTTCCGGCCATATTCCGGCGTTGACTTTTTTTTTTTTTTTTTTTTTTGAATTTTGTTTTCCTGAAAAAATTTTCCGGCCGGTCAACGGCCGTTGACCGCCGGGTCTCCGGCGTTGACTTTTTTTTTTTTTTTTTTCTTAAAAAAAATATTTTAATTAATTTTATTGTCTTGGCTGCTAAATTACTGTCTCCGGCAGCTATTTAACTGTCGGAGACAGTAATTTAACTGTTAATTGACTTTTTTATTCTTAAAAAAAATATTTTTAATTAATATTACTGTATTCGTTGCTAAATTACTGTCTCCAGCAGTTATTTAACTGTCGGAGACAGTAATTTAACTGTTAATTGACTTTTTTATTCTTAAAAAAAATATTTTTAATTTTATATTACTGTATTCGTTGCTAAATTACTGTCTCCAGCAGTTATTTAACTGTCGGAGACAGTAATTTAACTGTTAATTGACTTTTTTATTCTTAAAAAAAATATTTTTAATTAATATTACTGTATTCGTTGCTAAATTACTGTCTCCAGCAGTTATTTAACTGTCGGAGACAGTAACTTAACTGTTAATTGACTTTTTTTTTTTTTTTTTTTTGTTTCCCTTAAAAAAAATTTATTTTAATTAATATTACTGTCTTGGATGTTAAATTACTTTCTCCAACAGTAATTTAACTGTCTTAGACAATAATATTAATAATATTACTGTTCGGAAAAATAATATTCATAATATTACTGTCCCAAACAGTAATATTACTGTTTGAGACAGTAATTTAGTAGTCAAGACAGTAATATTAATTAAAATATTTTTTTTCTAAGAAAAAACAATTCAAAAAAAAAAAAAAAAAAAAAAAAGTCAACGCCGGAGACCGGCGGTCTCCGGCGGTCAACGCCGGAATCTGGCCGGAATCTGGCCGGAAAAAAAACAGTTCAGAAAAAAAATTATTTTCTGAAAAAAAAAGTTTTGGGGGTTAATGTGATATATTTGTTTAAATCCGGGGTCAATGTGTAATATTAAAGAAGTTAGAGCAAAATGGGTGGAATTGTTAAGAATTATATTATTGAGGGTATTTTAGACTAAAGACATGGGGATGGGCTTAATTGAGAGACTGTTTTTTTTGTGGACTAAAATGCATTTAAGTCCCATGTGATGGGCCTTTTTGCCATTTGCCCAAAATAAAAGTATACTATTTAGTATTTTCTATAAAAATTGGGCTGAGCCGATCAAGCCAAAATTGGGCTAGAGTTCGGGCCTACTCGGGCTTTTTTCTTTTAAGGCCTCGGCTAAATAAAAAACACTGTTGCTTGTAAGGATACCAATGGGCTGATTTTTTTACAACTATATGATTTTTGGCCCGTGCGATGCAAGTAGGGGTGAAAGTCGGATGAATCGGATCGGAATTAGCCTTTTCGGAAAATTCCAGAAAAATTCTGAAGTATAAAATCAATTTCAATTCCAATTCCAAAATTTTCGGAATCTAAAAATTCATTCCAATTCCAAAAGGCCCGGAAATTTCGGAATTTCGGAAAAAATCGGAAATCACATAAGCTTTAAAATTTCAAAACTTAGCCTAAATTTTCTAAAATGTTCATAATTTTTCGAAAATAAGAGCATCCACGTCGATAAAAGTAAAACTAATAACTACTAAATTTCAGTTCAAAAAATAAATAAAAATAAACACGGCATAATATCCAATAAAACTTCTAACAACAATTCATTATGTCAAAATCCTAAAATAAAACTTATAGGTGTATTTTTCAAAAAATAAGTATTATATAATATATACTATTTATAGGTGTATTTTTTCGAAAAAAAATCGGAATTTTTCGGAATTAACTTCGGAATTAAATCGGATCGAAAATCGGAAATTCCAAATTTATTTTGTATAATTCCAATTCCAATCCAAAAAAAATGGAAAATTTCGGAAATCGGAATTTCGGAAATCGGAATAAAAAAAGTTGTTCCAAAATCGGAACTTTTCAGATCGGAACCGGAGGAAATTGGAAAATCCGTTCCAACTTGCACCCCTAGATGCAATTGATTGAAGTAAAATTAGTATAAAGTAAAATTCAATTTAAACGATAAAATTCAAGTTTCAATTCATTTAGATGTTTTGCAGTTTTGCTATATGTATTGATGATGATAATACCCATCCAATTTATCCTTTTTACCATATTTATTAATTTAACTTTATGTTTTTTTTATATAATATGGCTGTATATTTATTTATCTCAGTTAAGAGATAAGATTTAAATAATAAATTATATTAAATGAAATTGATTAAATAAATGGCTGTATAGCTATCAAATGAGCAGAAAAAAAAAACCCTAAGATTTATCAAGAGCAACCTTACTTTTATTAATAAGATATATTAAAATTAATATAAATAAGGCAAACAGTTATCAATGGAAAACTCATTATGAGTAAAAAAAAAAATCAAGCAAATGTAGATTCTATTAAAAAATAAAGATTTTAGTTTACTATAGGCTATAATTGAAAATAGTTATTTAATAAAGCTTTTGTAAAATAAGCTACTATTCATTAGATCATGCAATAATATTTTTGATGACATGATTGATCACACTATGTGTGATAAAGTATTCTTTATATTTATAAATGAATAACTTTAATGCAAGATGGTAATAGAATTATTGTATCGTATGACTATAACTTGTCAACATAAGACAAGTACCTAAAAATATGTTCTTTTAAAGTCACGTAAAAGCTCGTTTAAATAATATTTTTTTCTCATTCTTGATTCAATGACAACGTCCAACACAAATTTTCGATAAACCAATAATTCACTAAATTATATAAACAGTCGAGGCGCTTCAAAACTAACTTATATATTCAATTTTAGCCCCTACATCCTGTCATTATTATTATAGGGCCGATTGTTAGACTTAATTTCTCATGATCATGTGTCACAAATTAATCTACCATATTTCTAAAACATAATTTGTAGAGGACATAGTATTCATTTTAATATATGGTCTAATATCTCAAAACCTTTTTCAATTAATTTATAATTTATATATAATAAAATAAAATAAAAATGAAATTTAATATTTTTTTTGATTGAGAAAACCACTATAATGCAAGCTAATGAATGATATGCAGAGCAGCCCGCCCATCAAAAGAACTTGCGCCGTTTTAAACAACTCCGTCTAAATCTCTGTTTCTTGCTGGGTAAGGAAAAATTCCTTACCTCTCTCTCCACACACTATATCAGTAATTCCCCAACTCTCACTAAAACCCCTACCTAGGGTTTCAACTCCCACGATAAGAGAAGAGAAATTTGAGTGTGTTCCAATTACATTTACCTAATCAATCAATCAATCAATCAATCAATTCAATGGCGGATGACAGTAGTGCGGCGGCGGCGGCGGCGGTGGGGACGTTGGGGAACTCGGTGATACCGTTGGTGAACAAGCTGCAGGATATTTTCGCGCAGCTAGGCAGTCAGTCAACGATCGAGTTGCCGCAGGTGGCCGTCGTCGGGAGTCAGAGCAGCGGTAAATCAAGTGTGCTGGAGGCGCTCGTTGGGCGTGATTTCCTGCCGCGTGGCAATGACATATGCACGCGCCGTCCGCTGGTTCTGCAGCTAGAGCAGAGGAAGGGGAAGGCTGATGGAACGGACCACGAGTGGGGCGAGTTCCTGCATTTGCCGGGGAAGAAATTTTTCGATTTCAATGAAATCCGGAAGGAAATTCAGGTTATCTGTTTTTTTTTTTTTTTTTTCTTTTTTTATGTACAATTTTTTGTTGTTCGTGCAATATGTTTCAATTCAATTAACTTGTTGTAAAACTCAATAAAAGTGTGTTTATCTTTTAACTTAATTGAATGTACCCGATTTTAAAATTTAGGATGATTTTATTATGGGGCTGGAAAGAGCAATTAAGGCGTTTTTTTTAGGGTTGAGATTACTGAAGATTTTTGGTTTATTAATTGAAATAATTGAATATGCATGTTCATATATGAGATGGCTGGGAAGTTACAGTTGTAAACAAACTAAGATATGCTTGTTGGTTTTGCGATAGTCGAACTTGTTTTTTGAGAGTGGTGAAGGTTTATGCAGATAACTTCATAAATTGATTATTGTGTTTGTTATCATCAATTTGGTTCTTGGATTTCCTTTGGTTGTGATGCATGGTTTTCTTTCACTTCTGTTTCTTTATTCGTCTAGATTTTATGGAATTATGTTTAGGCGGAAACAGATAGAGAAGCTGGAGGAAACAAAGGTGTTTCAGACAAACAGATACGATTGAAGATATTCTCGCCAAATGTTCTCGACATTACGCTTGTGGATCTGCCAGGCCTAACAAAAGTGCCTGTTGGTGATCAGCCATCTGATATTGAAGCACGCATTAGAACAATGATAATGTCATATATTAAACGTCAAAGTTGCCTGATTATTGCTGTTACGCCAGCGAATTCTGACCTGGCTAACTCAGATGCTCTTCAGATGGCTGGAATTGCTGATCCCGATGGTTGGTTTTGCTCTTAATTTTTTCATTCTAGATAAACTATTGCTTTCCCAAATTTATAGCACTTCTAGACCTTTAGCTTTGGATTCTAGAGCTAATGTGTAAAAGTTTTTAATTGCAGGTTATAGAACAATTGGTGTGATTACTAAGGTGAAGATCTTGATTGTGTGGTTACTTTCTGTACTTCTAGTTTCTGTTTGATTTTTTCTTCAAAATTGCTCTTTTTCTGTTCATGTTGCCTCAGTTGGATATTATGGATAGAGGTACAGATGCCCGCAATTTTTTGCTCGGGAAAGTTATTCCTCTACGGCTTGGCTATGTCGGTGTTGTCAATCGCAGTCAAGAGGTAATATATTTGGTTTTTTTCCCATTTAAGTTTGATTAGTATTTTACATGCTATTTTATGTAATTTATCATTAATGTGCCTTGCTAAAATTTTCTCGTGCTTATCTAACATTTGGGAAACTCTCTATAATTTTCGTCTGCTTATCTAACGTTTGGGAAACTCTACTGTGTCTTGATATCTGTTGCTTTAATGTATGTACCTAGGCTGTTTATTGAACTAGGGAATTTTTCCTCCTTGGTTTTATCAGTTTCTTGTCTTTGCTTTTGAGTTGGACTTTATATTCTTAAGGGAGCAAAATGTTTTATCAGGTCTTTTAAAATGAGAAAAAAGCTTCTGTTGGGTTAAGTGAATCCACCGTTGTCATTAAAACCATTACCATATTAAGCTATGTTTATATATTTCCTGGATGATATGTATACTGTGATTAAACAGGATATTCAAATGAATCGAAGCATCAAGGATGCGCTTACAGCAGAAGAGAAGTTCTTCCGCAGTCGCCCAGTATACAATGATCTTGCTGATCGTTGTGGAGTTCCACAGTTGGCCAAGAATTTGAACCAGGTAACATAGTGTGTCTGAGTCTCAACTGCATCTTTTATAAAACATCTGTTTTTAGCATCTTGAAGTGCATGCTGTTTGTTGATCTTATTTTAGGGGTACTCTTTTACTTGTGTAGGCCCACAAGGTTTTTAACGAGCCCCCCTTGTAATCTTCGTGATTATTGGAATAAAACAATTTTGGCCAAAGTAAAAAGTGCATGCTGTTCTATCAGTGTCTTTCTTGCCTAAAATTTTATATTACGAAGCATATAGCATGACTTGTTGACCGTTATTCCTGTGACATTTACTTGCCGTGCATGATACCGAAATGGTGCATGTTTACAGATTTGCTTTCATATGCATACCTACAAGTCTACAGCTTGTAAGTGCATACATGCAATGAATTGGTGCATGCATACCCTTTTGACATGGAACGGCGGATATATACGACAATACCTCTGTACTGTGTAAAAGTTGAGTTGATATGATTTCTTTTGAACGACAGTTGGTGCCGATCTTGTTTTATCTGTCTTCACACTCTTTACCATAAATATAATGTTATTGTGTCAAATCTCAGATGTGCGATATAAGCTATCTTCTTGTTTTACAGATCCTGGTTCAACATATTAAGACAGTTCTCCCAGGGTTGAAGAAACGCATTAAGGATGCGCTGGTTTCTGTTGTGAAGGAGCACGCTAGCTTAGGAGAAATTACTGAATCAAAGGTTCCTTTTATATTTTATTTTGTTCTGCTATTAAAGTTGAATATGTTATTGATAATATAGTGTGTTTTGGATTAGTGAATAATGACAGAGAAAGATATTTGCTTTGAGTTTACCAACAGCCCCATATTTAAATTGGTGTTTCAATTAATAGTTCTGGCTCGGAGTTGTCGTCAATTTTCAAACTAATTCCAATTGCCATTTTTTATACTGTTGTGATGAACAGGGTGGCCAGGAAGCACTACTCCTTAACATTCTCTCGAAATACTCTGAAGGTAAGCGATGTAGCCTCCATGTGATGTGAGGGATTCAAGTATTTGCATTTTTTTGTTTGATGCTTGCTGAAGACCATAAAATGCGCACATTGGGGCTGCATATGCATTGAACAGTTCATGATCATTTTGGTGTTTGGTCTGAATAGGCCTCATTTGCGTAATGTTTGGTGGATTATATCACAGTTAAGCTGATCATCAATACTCATTGTCTGTGCATTTTCTGCTTCATTGACAGCATTTATAAGTATTCACCCTGTAGATCTTAATGCCAGAAATTCACATTCTTCCTTTCTGATAGAGAGGATTATGGAAAATTATATTGATTGCTTAATATGAGCTTCATGTATTGTTGAAACAGCATTCTGCTCAATGATAGAAGGAAAAAATGAGGAAATGTCAACGACTGAGCTGTCTGGTGGAGCAAGAATCCATTACATTTTCCAGAATATTTTTGTAGCGTGCTTGGAGGTATGTTCTGTTCTTTTGAATATTATTCTAAAATATTGTTCTTTTGAATATTATCCTAAAATATTGCCTGTTCTGTTGTAACATATTCTCCTTATTAGGGAAACATGTAAGGAATTCGAGTAGTCCATTACTCTCCATTATTTTTTCAACTGATTGTTTTTCTACTGTGTCCGCACATCAGTTTTCAAGATTAATTTATTCCTTTGTTTTTGTGTAAGTCAATACTTAGACATCTTTTTAACTGTGGAAATCTTGGGAGTGAATAAGTACTTTATCGTGTTAGTGCAATAGAGGGATCAAACTTTGACTAGTTAGGTAAGCATTTTCGTCATGTTGTAGTCCTTTGTATTATCATTACCTAGCATTAGGATATGGTGGTCCTTTATGGAGTACAGAGATATTTTGGCCTATAAAGTGAACTATTCCCGCCTTGTCTATTCTAAATTTGGTCTTGGACTTTGCTCTGCAAGTTGGTATTACTTTTCATGAGAAATAATTTGTTTAACCTTTGAGCTTCTGGATGTTTCAGATAGAACCAATTGATTTGAATTAAGTTGTGTTAGACATGATATTTGTTTCTCTTTCCCGCAGGATGTAGATCCTTGTGAGGATTTAACTGATGATGACATCCGCACTGCCATTCAAAATGCAACTGGTCCCAGGTCGGCACTTTTTGTGCCAGAGGTACGTCTTAGTGCCAATGCTATCCTTTCCGTTGTATTATGTCTTCAATCGTTTAATAAAATCTGAGATTCGACCATCTAATGTGTTGCATGCAAAATAAATAAACATGAAAATGTAGGTGCCATTTGAAGTTCTTATTAGAAGACAAATAGCACGTTTGTTGGATCCAAGTCTTCAGTGTGCTAGATTTATCTATGATGAGCTAATCAAGGTATATCTGGTAACAGTTTTTGTTAAAGAAAAGAGATGCTTTTATCCTTGTCTGTTAACATTGACCTGATTATATTATTTCTTTTAGATGAGCCATCGGTGTACGGTTAATGAGCTCCAACGGTTTCCAGTTCTACGAAAACGCATGGATGAAGTCATTGGGAATTTTTTGCGAGAAGGGCTTGAACCTTCAGAGACAATGATAGGACACATTGTTGAAATGGAGGTAATGTCCATCTTGGTGTTGGTTTATATGTCCTTCTACTCTGAATTACGGAAACTTTTATCAGCCTAGTAATCTACACGGCCTGGATTCAGTTATATTCAATTGATTGTTTTTTAGCGTGATTTTGGTTAGTTGATTTATCTTTCCAATATTTCTTTTGTCATGTTATAAAGTGACGAAGTTTGTGTTATGACTATGTTGTCTATAATATCCTTATCCTAAATTGTATCTTCTCTGGAGCACGGAAATTGAGTGCAGACAATCTACTATCTTTTCTGCCAAAAGGAATGATAAGTCTATTGATTCTTTATCTGTTTCTCCATATTATTTGTTGTCTACATAATATAATTTTTTTCCTCCTGAAAATGTTCTTTCATTGGAAATAGCTTCTCATCCCAGGTTTCACACTATTGTGGTCCTGCTCTAGAAAAGTTTGTGATTTAACTTTACTTTGCCGTTTGCGTTAACTTTTTCTGTCCTTTACTAAACATTTATGTTATTGTATTTGAAGTGCTTATTTCTTTTTGTCTCCCCTTTACTACATTGCCAATTTATTGGGAGTTGCACACGTTTTAGAATGTGAGAACAAATTAATACCCATCATGAGTATCTGGTTGAACATAAATACAGTTAATATATATTGTTAATATATCGTTTTTAGGGTTGATATATGATAAGGTCGTCTGAATGTCTAGACACTTGTGGCTGAAAAACTAACTCTAGTGAAAAATTTAATTATTCCTGGAATGAAGTGCCCATTTGTCCTTTAGGATCTCATTGGGTTCCAAACTTACAAAATAAATGATGCAAATTTCATGCCAATATTGTCCGTAACCGAAAGTGAAATAGAAATGAGTTAAATTTACCAGATTATGAGCTTCTTTCACTTATTTGTTCTTTAGTTTACTTTGCACAGTGTTTTGGATATAATATTATTTGCTGGATTGTCTGTTCTGTAGATGGATTACATAAATACTTCTCATCCAAATTTTATTGGTGGGAGTAAAGCTGTAGAGATTGCATTACAACAGAACAAATCATCTGGGGTTGGTGCACTCATTCCAAGGCAGAAGGTGTGTGCACTTTGCTGTACTGAATAATTTATGTCCATCTGTTTACAAGGATCTGTTAATTAGTATGTGATTTCTTGTCAATTAGGATACAGGAGATTCAGAGAAAGTACCTAACTCGGAGAACAGTCAAAAGTCTCGGAAATTATTTGGACGGCAAGTGAATGGAATTCATCCAGACCAAGTAAGTTTCTACTAGCACCTAGACTCTCCTGATGGGACCTGCAATTTGATGATTTCTTGTTCAGAACTTCAGATTGCCTAATTGTTTTCATGCTGCTTTTTACATGGAAAAAAGGGTGTTCGACCTGTAGGAGATGCTCAAAAAACTGCACAAGCTGGTAATTTTTTTACTCCCTTTTCTTCTATGCGGGTCTTCTTGGTGTGACTAGGAAATGATGCTCCTGAGTCCTGATTAGATTTCATGGTAAAAAACTAAAGAAGTTTTGAATCAAGGCTTTTTGTTCCTGTTGTAGTCAAATCAGTTTCCTTTTCTTACAAGTATCTCCGGGGATTCTCAAATGGTTTAGGTGCCTTCACTAATATTTCCCTTATGAAAATTTCACTGGTGGCTTGGCAAACTTTAACCTGTTATAAATTTAATGAAACATAAAATACATATTTTTTTATATCATATTAGAAAGATATGTAGAGAAAGATCGTAGTACTCCTTTACAATAATTAAGAAATAAATTAAGAAAAGTTTTCTCATACTAAAAAGAAATGTAGATAAAGAGAGTAGTATTCCTGTACGATAATCAAATAAAGAATCAGAGGTTACATTCTCATTACCAGACTCATGTGATTCTAAGTCATACCTTTTAGATGCTTAATTAGTGAATAGGTCCATGTTAATGATCGAGTCCTGATGTTGCAATTTTTAATGATTAAACAGTCAACAATACTGGTTCAACTTGGGGAATATCTTCAATTTTTGGTGGTTATGACAATCGCACATCATTGGGAGAGAGCTCATCCACTAGCAAGCCGTTTAACGAACCTGTTCATAACATTGAGCAGGGTGTTTCGATGATTCATTTGAGAGAGGTAAAAATATTTGAAATATTCCTTATGGCATTATTAGTTTATGCTGTAGAAGCTTTAATGTGTCTTTGCTGATGACTGCTTTGTTTTTTGTTTTGTCAAAGCCCCCTAGTGTATTGCGGCCCTCAGATACCCATTCAGATCAAGAGGCTATTGAGATTACTATTACAAAGCTGTTATTGAAGTCGTATTATGATATTGTAAGGAAGAACATTGAGGATTCTGTGCCGAAAGCAATTATGCATTTTCTGGTAATTACTCTTCATTCTTCTGAATTTTCTTCTCCTCCGGTTTGCCTCCTTTTTCATTTTTTTCTTTCTTTTTTATTTTTCCGTGTCTGCAAGTTTATCAATTGTGACTCAAAAGATTCTGATACGGATCTACACTGCATGGACTGCATATGCAGTTACGCTTGTTCCAGTCACCTGTTTAATCACGACTTGTAACTGACTGATGTTTCCTGATGTCAACTGAATTAATTTAAATATTTCTCTTGGATCTTTACATTAAAGTATGAGGCTGTAAAATGCTGCGTTCTAACTTCTAAGATATATACTTGATCATTAGATTCCCTCATCTTCCATGTCAGTTACCTCCAGCACGGTTTAGTTCTGTCAGTAGTTAAACTATGTGGTCTTAATCTCACATCAATAATATTCTGGAATTTGTTTTGAAAGTCTTTAATTGTTCTCACAGGTGAACCATACCAAGCGAGAGCTCCATAATGTTTTTATCAAAAAACTTTACAGGTACGTTCCATTTCAAAGCCTTTTCTGAATGGTACATGCTTTTAATATAATTAAAAGAAAATGTTGAAAAACTGTTGGCTCCTTTTTTTTATTTTTTTTTATATGTTTCAAATAATGCGAACCATGTGAAAACAATTTAGATCTAGATTTACATGACAAGGTTGGCGCTGTTCTTTCATTATTTACCCAATGAATGGTCTAGGTGAACAAATCTGTATATCTTTGACTTATTCTTGCATTTTGTAATGTTTTGAACAGAGAAAACATGCTCGAAAAAATGTTGCAAGAACCAGATGAGATTTCCATTAAGAGAAAGCGTACCCATGAGACACTTCGGGTACTGCATCAAGCTTTCCGGGTAAGTACTTGACACCTAGCATGTGATAGAAAATATTGATTGAACTCTGTTGTTTCTGTCGTGCAACTTATAATCTTATATTATGTTTTACCGTGTTCCGATCTAAGAGTTTGTGTATTACCTTAATCCAATCAAAGTGTTTTATCCCTTTTTCTTTATAATTGCAATTTATGCATTCATTCTCACTTAACCTTTAATATACATGCCAAAAAATGTGATTGCAATTTATTCGCCTTATTACTTCATACTTCAAAGAAACTTGTAGGCTACATAAACGTACTCAGAAAACCTAATATTTTCATTGTAGCATCTTCTCAAAGTGATCAAGCTAGCCAACTAACAGTCGTCAAACAACTTAGCATTAAAAAAACACATTTTTGCACAAAAACAAGTCTTTGTTTTCAACAGGTTCTCTTTTTTCTTGGGTATATGCTCGTTTGAAATGATATTATAAACCTTTTTTTTTTGTTTATATTCAGACTCTGGATGAACTGCCACTTGAAGCTGAGAGTGTTGAGAGAGGTTACAGCCCGAGTACCGACCCAACGGGCCTGCCAAAGATCAACGGGCTTCCAACATCATCTTCTTATTCAACTGATTCATATAGTGCTTCCTCACAGAATCCATTTTATCCAGATACCAACAATGGTGGTGGACGTAATTCTCTTGCCGGTCATTATTACCGTTGATATATATATATGGAATAGCCATTCGTTCTTTCTAGACCATTGTTCTTTTTTTTTTCTTTCTAAAATGAAGCGTAACCATATATTATAATCTATTTTTCCTGACCATTTTTGTTTTGCTGTTTGGAATACTCTATATCCATTATTCCTTTCATCCCTCTTCCAAGTGATGCTGCTTTAGTATGGTGGAGGAATTTAAAGTGTAAGTATTCTGATGAATAAATACTGAAAGGCTTGTGTATAGTAGTAAATCCACTATTTTTTATTCTAAAACTCTTTTCTTATGCTCTGTTTAATAGTGAGAAAGATTCATTCTTGATTGTGCTTCCTTCGTCGTGAGTTTTAACTACATTAAGTTGATATTTGATGATACGCCTTTTTTTGGGGGGACAATTTGCTACGCACTAATACCGTTTCAAATCAGGACAATATTTTTGCACTTTGCTAAAAGTTCTTCGAAAAACCTAGTTTAGATGATTTAGACAAAAAAAAAATAGTCATTTTCAATCTATTTTCAGTCTAATTTCTTGAGCTAAGTTGTCTATTTTTAGTCTAAGCTGTCCAACTAAGCTGCCATTAGGGGATTTTAACAAATCCAAAGTATCTGGGCGGACTAGCTACACAATTAATTTTGAGGGACTTTTAGACAATTTTCCCTTTTAAGAAAAACACAATTAACAGTATGGTGGACTAGATTTGAATGTTCCAGATAATAAATATTGCTACATGTCCAATAAATGACATGAAAAATATGTTTCCAAAGTGGGATAAGAAGGAATCAATTTTATAAGTATGCTGTATTGCATATAACCACTTCTCCATTTATATTAATACAAATCTGATGCAGAAATAGGAAAAGAAAATTTGATAACCAACCTTCATTTTACCCATACATAAAGCTTGAAATGTTAACAAACAATTCAAGCAGCCATGGCGAAAATTCTCTCACTCCTGTCTGTTTTCTCTCTCTACACTTCATTACTACTGCTCCAAAACTCCAATGGCTTCACTCTGGAATTAATCCACCCTATTTCCCATGATCCATCTTTTCCCACTACTAGTTTCTCCTACGAAGAAAGAATTCAAACGCTAGTATCGATAACCGTCTCTAAAAACAGCGACACTGAGCGTTCATTCGTCGAAATCGCGAGGCCCGTCGTCGACATGCAAGAATTTCTCTACATGGTCAAAGTCGGATTCGGAACATTCAAATCCAATCCACCGTTTAAAGAGTACCACCTCGATCTGGACACGGGTAGTACTTTGACATGGATGCAGTGCGAAGGCTGCACGAAATGCTTCGACCAAACTCCGAACCCTTTCCCCAAGAACAACTCCACGTCTTTCCACCTCGTTCTCGACGAAAACAAGAAGCCCTGTCCCTATTCTATAACCTACGGAGACGGTACAAAGACGTCGGGTGTCGTAGCAAGAGAAACCATTCACCTCAACTCGAACATTAATACCAACAAAATGGTTCGAGATTTCGTCTTCGGATGCGGGATGGTGAATAATTTGGACTACAGTGAGCACAAAAACAATAGAGTTGCAGGAATTATGGGGTTAGGATGGGGTAAAAACTCATTTGTGAACCAAATCAAAGAGAGCAAAGGTATATTTTCGTATTGCCTGCCGATTTTCAACTTATTCACTAAATCAAGTCCGAGAACGTATCTAAGATTCGGCGACGATATATTATCACAAACGAGAAACGCAACCACCACGAAGATTAGTAAAGTGAACGGCAACGGGGCGTACTACATCAACATGCAAGGAATTAGCATTGACAAGAAGAGACTAAACATCAGCAAAGATGTGTTTGCATTGAAATTCGACGCGAAAATCAACGGCTATAGAGGCGGCTGCATAATCGATTCGGGCACGCCGTATTCACGTATTGTGGGCCCCGCGTACGAGAAACTGATACAAGGGCTCGAGAGCTACTTCTCCAAAGACAAGAACTTGAAGAGGGTAAGAACCGGTAACGGTTTGGATCTTTGTTACGTACGAGGAAAGGCGGAAGGGTTCCGGAACCTTCCGGAAGTTACGTTCCATCTTCAGGGTTCGAAGTTAGGGTTTGTTGTGAAGCCCGAGGGGGTTTTTGAAGTTGCGAAAAAACCGAGTAATAAGTCAATCGAGTACTTTTGTCTTGCTATGATGCGTTCGAAAACTCAAAGATCGACTCTCGGAGCTCAACAGCAGATGAATCAGAGGATTGTGTATGATACTTGGAAGAAGAAACTAGTGTTTCATCCTGAAGATTGTTCCAAGAATCCATGAAAAATTAACTAATTAGTATTTAATTAAGTAATATATATGAAGAAATTGTTATCTTGAAATAGGAAATTCACAAAATAAAATACCAATGATTTCTATGTAAATCTTTGTGTCTTCAATTTTATGTGTTTAATTTTGAATTTAAACATGTTCATAGAAAAAAAAAAGGGTAAATTACCACCACCTTACAGGTCTATTTACGAAAAAACCCTTTATTTTTTTATAATAATTACATGCACCCCTACAATTTGTTGATTTTTTACATCAACACCATTTTATAGGGGTGGCGATGTAAGAAACTAACAAACTTCAGGGGGCTGAATGTAATTTCTAAACAATAAGCGAGTTTTCGTAAATACATTTTAGCTCAGGGAGGTGGTTGTAATTTACACACCAAAAAATCTACATTAGCTTGAAAATGAACGCACTCTCATCAGAGAGATGGTCGTAACTAACTTGTGCTATATATAACCGCCACAATGCTGTTTGTTTGCATGTATACATACACGAGCGTGTGTGTATATATATACACATATATAAATATATATATATATATATTAGTTCTTCCCCTTTCTTCCAGGGTTCCATATATATTCAGTTCATCCAGCTTTTTTTTTCTTAATTCTCTCTTCTTAATTGCTTCCAGTTATCATCATCGATAAAACTTAAACAGCAACAATGGCGGCGGCGCTCACAGTTTACCCAACGGTGAGAGCGTATTTCGCCTGCTCGATAACGCTGTCGTTGATGATGATAATCATCTACAATTTCATGACCTATTACTCCAATAAACCTACTTATACGATCAGCGACGACTACACGGCGGTGGCGGAGCAGATCTCCGGCGATGTGTATCACTGGGCGGAGGGTTTCAGGATGGATTACGCCCAAATGGAGAGGAAATTGAAGATCTACGCTTACCCCGCACCAGCAGATCAACGCTACTCGAATTATCAGACGATTACTGGAAAGTACGCGAGTGAAGGATATTTCTTCAAAAATATCAGGGAGAGCTCCTTCCTCACAGATGATCCTGAACTTGCGCACCTCTTCTTCATCCCCATTTCTGCCCACAAATTGCACCAGAAGGTCTGTATTTTTTTTTTTTTTTTTTTTTTCAATTTTCTCCTTCGTAATTTCCTGTTAATTCCTCCTTGTGCGTGTTTGCTGTGTGTGAATATAATATTCAGATTGTTTTTCTGGTGAATCAAAATGAATTTCTTCGTGTTCGCTCTTCTTTTCCCATTTTGAATTTGATTTTGCCCTAAAACTTCTCTCTTCTGTGTAAAAGTGTGTGTGACTGTGTGCGTGCGTGTGTGTGTGAGAGAGAGAGACGAGTAATATAATTAGATTCTGTGTTAAATACTAATTAATTAATTAATTCTTTGTTTAAACTATACATATAATATATACTATTAGCAAATTAAATCAACTATATATAAATAAAATAAAATTAAAATTAAGAGTCTAAAATTTAAACCCAAACGCTGTAACGTATAACAGTACAATACGAGAAATTAATTAAAAATATATATACATAAACAAAAAAAATGAAAAGTTGTGGCTGCTGCTAAAAGACACCATGCAAAAAACTTAGATACATAAATACCGTATACGTACATCCAAACTTGAATATCAATTTTCTTCTATAATAATAATACATACATACAGATCAGAGTGATCGTAGGCGAAAATAAAAAAATGACAAGGGTGGAGGCGGAGTACGGTGGCTGGGGGGTGGGTTCAGTGACGGCAATGCTGTGTGTAGTGGCACTTTTGATATTTCTGCCACTCGGAATAGGGCCCGGCCCGATTCAACCCCCTTCTTTTTCTGTTCTCTTGATTTTCCCTCTGTTCATGGCTGCCATTCTCCTTTTCCTTTTCCTTGCCTCCAACACCAAGTCTCGTTAATTAGTTTATTATTATATTTAATTTCTCAGATGTAATTCTAATGTAAAACTGATTGATAATTTATATATATATAGTATTTTTTAATTTCCTTTACTTTATTGGCTTAAATTATATTAATTCTACAAATATGATTGTTGAAATGATTATCAGTTGACTCTCTGGTTTATAATTTCCTGCATATTTTTTAAATGCTATATATATAAATAAATTCAGGTTTCATCATATGATGAAATGGCAGCAATTATAGGGGAATATATCCAGAGATTGATAATCAAGTACCCTTACTGGAACAGAAGTTTAGGCGCCGATCACTTTTTCCTGACTTGCCACGAAATCGACACTCGAGCGACAGAGCGGGCCCCACTTCTCGCCGTAAAAAACTTGATTCGCGTTGTGTGTTCGCCTACTTATAATTCCAGTTTCGTCCCACACAAAGATGTTTCACTTCCCTTGATAAATATGCCATTCTCAAAGCCTCCACCATCTACAGCAAATGACCTCCAAAACAGGTACATATATTATATATATATCACACACACACACACACACACATATATATATATATTACACACAATACAATATGCAGGACAATACTTGGTTACTGGGCTGGTGTGTGCAATACTGAGATAAGAGAGAGAATGGTGAAACTGTGGAGTAAAGATTTAGAACTGGAAATCCAGAATGAAACAGCTTATAATCATGCCAGAATGACAAAATTCTACACTTCTAAATTCTGCATCTGCCCTGCTGGTTCAAGAATCACTAGCAATAGAATCATAATGGCCATTCGTTATGGATGTGTGCCCGGTAATATTACTTTTCATTTCGACATTTTCTTGATTATTAATGTTTATCATTCTTTAATATGTATAAATAAATACAGTAATCATGTCGGATTACTACGAGTTGCCATTCAAGGACGTTCTTGATTGGCGAAAATTCTCTGTTATTTTGAGAGAGCGCGACGTCTACAATCTCAAGGGAATTTTGAAGGCCAAAGCAGGTGCAGAATTCAGAATGCTACACACTAATCTGCTCAAGGTAAAATCAAGATTTTGAAAACTATTTTCTTCATTTGTAAGCCATATATATATATATGTGTGTGTGTGTGTGTGTGTGTGTGTGTGTGTGTGAGAGAGAGAAATGTTTGTGTGAAGCAGGTGCAGAACCGTTTCGAGTGGAACACGCCACCAGTCAAATACGATGCGTTCAACATGGTTCTCTACGATCTATGGTTGAGGCGGTTTGTCATTAAATAATAAATCAACCTTGTCAATAATTCTGTAGGATAATACAAGTGTGCCATAAACAATACTGCAATAGTTGTTTGTCTAATATTCTCTTCCATCACAAACAAAAATAAAAAAAAGTTTCGTAAAATTACAATTCCCGATTGATCATTCATTACATGCGTTTGGAGGGAGATACATCAAATCCGCAAATCCAATTCCAACACAAAATTACATAGAAAATATATGTACAGTCTCATATTCGAAGTTGTGAGAGATATAATAGTACTAGTGTACAGGTTACTCACCATTTGCCTTAAAGGGCACCCACCACCAATTGCGGTTACAAATTGGAGCTGCAATGGCAGTCAACTTTTCCTACTCAGAGTCAGATCGATACGAAGGATTTAACCACTGGAAGTTGTAATGACATTCGTCGGAGGTAAATTAACCACTGTGTCTTCGCCATTTTGATCACCGTTCAGCTGTGGAAAAGAAGAGCAAATGAACAAGCATAATATTTAGAACCAAACGACACGATAAATCAGTAACGTGATAAAATTTTAAAGTCACAACTTGACGACTAGCCTTTATAGCACGATGCTGCTGCTGCACTGGGGTGACTGGAACTTTGGAAAGGTCTCTCAGGATTCCCTGCAATATTATTTGAAAGTTCCAACGAGTTAATTATAGCGGCAATTGCAACAGATTCTGAAAACGGGAAGTATTCAAATTCAGAACTTATATTGAAGAAAAGAAAGAGAACTTATATTGCAGACTTATTTTACTCAGAAAATGAACAGGAAAGGGTTTCGTGTAGAATGAAGATGTCATAATAACCACCATCTCTGCTAAGAAGGGTATTTTCGTAAAATGGCTGGGAGTAGTAATTAAGATAGAGGTTGGATAAAGCGGGATCTGTCAAGAATGAAGAAACATGCAATACAGCTCGCAATAAAGCCAAAAGAGTCGATGCAGTTCCTAATATGAAGGAAAAGTTGATCAAATAGACTTTGTCTAATTGATACAAATATGATCGGATATTTCATCGATAAGCTAGCCCAATATGCCTGGTTACTCGTTTGAGAGAAGAATCTTTCAAAAGTCTCCTGTAAACTCTTATTGGGTTATAATGCGTATAAGAGAGCAGCTCCCTTTAACCAGAAATAACTAATATGTAGAACAATACAGTTCTTTTTCTTCAAATTGAATATATACTTTATAGTAAAAGCAAATCTTGACCAATGAGCTCGTTTGTGTTGCGTATACAAATCAGCAACTAAGAGCTAAAACGAAACAAAACGACGTGTAATCCAAACACATGGAAAATGAAAAACTAGCAAGAAGATTATAACTACTACACAGCAAGAATTAGAAAAGAACAACAAAACACTCGTTCAGTCTAGCAAGAAAAAACTACCTTATTGGCCCACTTGAGACCACATGCGTTACAGAGAGTTCTTGGTCCATCTGGTCCACGTCTCATCATAGGAGTCGACTTTGAGCTATTTCCACAATGCCTACATCTGTTCAAGGTTCAATGTCAAGCAGGCGAACCATTATTTTCAGCAAACTAAAAAGAGATCTTTATGACTTAAAAAAAAAAGAAAGAAAACGAGTTAATAAGAGATTGGCAACTCACGAGGTTTCCTGTTCTTCTTGGACGGAAGTTCCAGTCCAATCTGCAGAAGATGCTCCTGGTTCTTCGGAAACTGCCTTGGACGATGTAAACTGGCCTTTTTTCCGCTGCATCCTGGCAAATTGAGATGATAAGTTGATAAGAGATGCAATATATTGTTCGAAACCAATACGCAAAGGCACTATTAACGTGGAGCCAAAACATATCGTGAAACACAATTACATCGAAAAAAAAAAGCCTGAATTTATAGAAAACCACGGACGAAGATAGTTCGTCACCATGTCAGAACACAAAGTCACAAACGGTTATGTGCTGAAGTCAGTGTTAGCGATATATATTTTGATAATAAATAATCCAACACTATTTGACTGTTTTATTATTCTCAACTACCTTAGAGCAACTTCCTTTCGAACGGTATAACGAATCTTTTTATCAAAACATCGTTCTTTCCTCTTTTCTCTAAACCGGTTTAAAGAGGCAGCCCTTTGTGGTTGACTCGATCTCCCTGGATAATCACCTAAGTTCTATCGAAGCAAATAAAAATGCCAAAAGTTAGAACAGACGGTATATTTGATGCAAGATTACGAGATTTCGGTTACTGAAAATTGAAATAGTTTCGACAAACCCTATGGTTTTGAGGAGTCATTCCAGGTGTAGGAATACCGGTGGGCACTTCATACCCACCCAATAGTAGCAAAACTGCCTGAACCTGAAATACGAACAAAGTATTACTCCTACAATTTCTTACAAAAAGAAGATTAGAGACTAAAAGATAAGACATTTTTTGTGCCCTAATTCAACAAGTGTTCAAAATTGCAGTCCAGATTTTTAACATAGATTAATCCATTTCCCATATCTTAGTTGAATCAGCAATGAAATTTGAACATAATTCACCAGCTAAACTAAATTTAAATATAAAAAAAACTGCATAAATTGTACAAAAGGGGGAAAAAATTAGGGCAAGGCAAATTCAGCAGTTCATGAAAAATTCACAGCTAGCCCAATTCGATTGTATAAACAAAATTTCAGGTGATTAATTAAAAAACAAAAAAAAAAAAAAGGAAAAACCTTTTCAGGGGAAACCGAGTCGAAAACGTAAACTTCACCCTGGAAAGACAGGGTGAGTTGGTCGGCGCCTCCTTCTCCGGGAACGGGCCCCACCGGAGGAGGCATATCGGCGGCGTAGAGAGCGTCGGCCTCAATAACCTCCAGGCCGCCGCCTCCGGAAAGCGCGTGCGGCGAGTGGGAGTTGTTGGAGGGGACGTAGCCGATCCGCGAGGGTAGGTTGTCTATGTCGTCGTCGTCGTCGTTGTCCCCGCCATTAGAGCACTGAACGACGTCGTCTTCGTCGTCTTCGTCTTCGATACGAGTTGAACCCTGGCGGCGTTGCTCGGCGGCGGCGGCGGCGGCGGTGGTATCGTTCATGGAGGCGTGTGGTGGTGGTGGACCGTACATGGGGAAGCTTTTCAAGATTTGTCTGAGTCAACCCGCTCTGTAATTTAGCATCAAAATTTCCTTTTTATTTTATTTTTATAAATAAATTAAATAAAATTGAACAGTAAATAATTTTGTGGAGCACTTTAGCTTCAATTCAAAAGGAGTATTTGGATAATAATTTGATAAAAAAACAAGGGTAAATTACAAAAACCCCCCTGAGGTATGGTCAAATTACAAAAACCCCCCTCTTGTTTGGATAATTATATCTATCCCTCAACTATGATTTTTTCTTAGACCTCCACCTTGATGGTGCCAAATTCAACATAGTCATCTAGATTCCGTGAAATGTGCTCTAGTTTGTACTCTTTTTATGTAAAAAATACAGCTTCCGATGCACCACAAACTGATATATACAAGCTAAAAATCACATATTATGATCATCTTGCTTCATAATGTAGAGTTTGAATGGGATAAAACGGGTACAAAAGTGATAATATTCCATATAATCTCGAAGATTCCACTAAATTTGATGAGTTGAGGGGTGGTTGTAATTATCCAAACAAGAGGGGTGTTTTTGTAATTTGACCATACCTCAGGGGGTGTTTGTAATTTACCCAAAAAAGAAAGTTTGCTGTACTATTTTATTTAAATCTCACTTCAACCCCAATTTTAACTATTTTGGAACATCAGCTCCTCCCCAAACCAAACAAGGGCAATCGGAATCAAAATTTTACTTCCATTTTTCTGTTTAAAAATAGTGTAAATTACAAATCCCCCTTGAGGTAAGGTATATTTACTAAAAAAACCCTAACTTTCCGTTATTACATATGTGCCATTTGTAGATTTCTTACATTGACACCCTTTTTATTGGGGGTGGATGTAAGAAATTTACAAACTTTAGAGGATGTAGTTTCTCACAAATACGGGGCTTGTTTGTAATTACACTTTACCTCAGGGAGGTGGTTGAAATTTACCCTAAAAATAAATATTAGCTATGTATTTACTAAAAACCCCCAAATTGTCCGTAATTACATCCGCCCCTGAAATTTGTAGATTTCTTACATTGGAACCCTTTTGTTGGGGTGGATGTAAGACATTTACACATTTTAGAGGTCTGGATATAGTTTCTCAACAATAAGTGAGTTATTTGTAATTACACTTTACCTCAGGGAGGTGGTTGTAATTTTTCCTGAAAATAAATAACAGCTATAAAAGCAAAAGTCATTTCTGATTCCTCTGTTTATTATTCAAAGAAAAAAAAATCTGAGCAGAAAAAATCAAAAGCGAGAATGAACGTGGAAGAAGAGGTGGGGCGACTCAAAGAAGAGATCCAACGTCTCGGCCAATCCCAACCCGATGGATCCTACAAGGTATATTCTCGATTCTCGATCACCTTTTTTTTTTTTCTGAATCTGAAATTATTAATCTCGATTTGACTCAGAACCATTTCCGATTTGATTGATGTTTTCCTCAGATGATAATTTTATGTTATTTGTCTCTTTAAGTATTCAGATTTTGCTTGTTAATTAATTGTAATGGGGTTGAGGGTAATAGTAATGAATGGGCAAAATCAGAACTTGATTTAGGCAATATCATAAAATTCGATTTTTTTTTAATTGCTATTTGATTTCATTTTTTTACTGAGAATTTTTGAAAATGTAGGTTTTGCTACATAACTGTGGCTTCAGATCTCTCTCTCTGATTAATGAATGCAAATTAGGGTCCAGTAGTATAGTTTCGGTGTACGAATTACCGATTTTATGTTCATCGTCTGTATTTCTCATTTGGTTGATTATTTATTGCTCCAATTCATGTTTATTGTTTTAATGGCGCAAGCAATCGAGCTATTGTTTGTTCACTTCAAAACTTACATCTTCCTGTGTACTTTGAAAACAGATTGATATTGTATCGCTTTTCCTCTTCATATTATGCACTTATCGCACAATAAAAAAACGTCGAGATTGTTGACCAAGAAAACAACCACTCCTATCGTATCTGTGGTTCTACTTCTCTAGATATTTACGATGAGATGCATGAAGACTAAAGGGTAGAGATGAATCAGTTCATTTTCCTCCTTTTTCTCGTAGACATAATGTGTTGCTTCGTTTTTTTTTTCTTTTCTTCCTCTCGCTAAAAAGTGGAGGTTATATGTAATTACTAATTACAGTTAGACCTCCCTAGTCTGGAAAATTGCCAAAACCTTTCTTTCTTGATTATCCTACTGGAGGAACTTCCCTCTCGTTTTAGTTCCATAAATAGCTCTAAAGATTCTTCTTGACTTGATGGATAGTGGTCCATTAGACCTGCATGCAGTTGATCTTATTGTTCTTATCATGAGATATTATATATATAGATATAGATATTATCTCAATTTCTGCATTTTGTTTTAATTGTGCAGGTCACATTTGGTGTGCTATTTCATGATGACAGGTGTGCAAACATCTTTGAAGCTCTAGTCGGAACTTTACGTGCAGCAAAGAAGCGTAAAATTCTAACGTACGACGGTGAGTTGCTCTTGCAAGGAGTCCACGATAATGTCGAAATTATCCTCAAAGCAGAAGCAACTGATGCAGCAGCTGTGTGATGCAGAAAATTAATTTGCGAAATTTATCTTGTATTTGTTTCTTGTGATTTATGTAATGCTAAATTGCGCAAATTTCACGTTTACGGGGAAAAAAAAAAAAAAAATCGTTGCATTATTGTTTGATGTATTTCAATTTTCTGAAAAACGCCGAAAGTTTTACGTAAAAATCACTTCAATTATCCTGTGATGTTTGTGGAAATGCATATTAGTACCAACTGCCTTAAATATGAACAAACAGGTATAGTTCAAAATTTTGTATCTACTCAAGGAATTAGACAAATTGGAGCTTCGTCCCAAAGGTTCGATCTTGTGGTAACATCTCAACGTGCTAAAAAAAATGCTACGGAAAATATAATTAGGACCCCTAATCTAGAGTCATTACAGCAGTTTACGTATGGATAAACCGGACTTAATGATGTAATAAAGTTATTGATCACCCCTTAAGGCACCTTTCCCGGCGGTCCCACCCCCTCTTTTAGAAGATGGCCAGGAAATTCCGAAAAACAAAAAATTAAGGGAAAATCGGAAGAATTTCATACATATATATTCTTCGGTACGAATTACGATCCAGAAAGTACAAAAGCTTGGAGCAGGCTCTGTGCTACTTGTGTTTCATCGGGTGTACCAGATATAACTACGATTCTCTGAGTTGTTCCTGGATGAGGATCGTGTATTACAACCTTCGCTCCAGATATCTGATACAATAAAACCCATATGCATCATTTACAGTTGATAATTAAAAAGATTTCAATTTTTTTTTTAAACAGACGATCAGTTTATGAAAATAAGGAAACCAAATCGAAAGAAAGTTTTTACAATTAAATAGCAAATTTGTGCCAATTTCCGCAATAAAACGGGCTTTTAGTTTACCTGTCGCAGTCGAGCCAAATTGCTACCGTTTTCGCCGTAAACGGATCCAATCACAGTATCAGGGACAAGAATCTCTACAGTCGTATTCGTCACAATCGGGGATCTGCTTCCACTGCTCACGATTAGGGTGGTTGTGGAAGGAGAGCCAAAGCAATGTTAATTTGTTTTAAAACGTAAAATACATAGAGCTGAAGTATGTTCGTCGCATTTAGGCAATTACTTACAACGAACAAATGCGACGATTCCCCAATTTTATTTATTATTCCCATTATAGATTAAAAAGGGTATGGCTAACATATAACAAAATCGCAGAAACGGTGTATAATAATTAATAATCAAGCTTTGCAGAGGCTATTAACCGTACGAACCTGCCTAGTTGTGTAACGGCATGTAATCTTCTGCTAACATCCATACTGCCCTGATTTACTCCAGAAACTGTCTGAACTCAGATTCATACACAAATTTATAAGGTACAATTAAAAAAAAAAAATTAAAAAACAAAAACGGAAAAAAAATAGAGCATACCGATAAACTTGGAGATGGTGGCGGATTTATATTATTGGAAATTCGAAGACGATCCATACTTTGGGTTAAGGAATTCTGATTATTGAGATTTTTTTCCAAGGCACCAAAACGTGATCCAAGAGGAGGAGGTGGGTCCCGTATTGTTCTGCCATAGGAACTATTATTCTCACTCGTCCAAGAATTATTACAGTTCCAAAACATGTTATCTCGCAATTTGCCGGTCATCTTATACAGAGCATCTTGTACTTGTCCAAACTCTCCCGTAATCTACGAAAAAGAACAAAAAGCTATAAACGCGGTCTTTCGGAAAAGAGATTTACTATCCACTTTAAGGGAAATTAAGAGCCCGTTTGGCTGAGCTTATTTTAAACAGCTGTTAAGCTCCTACATCTGATAAGCTGTTTCAAGAGCTTATAAGTTGTTACGTTTTTTTAGAATTAGTACCTGTAGAACTTCAACGTTTTCCAAGGCACATTTTGGAACTTGATTGCCTCCGATTATCTTTAGTCCAGCACCAGTCAACTTTCTCATCTCCGAAATTATCGCACCTCCTTTTCCCAACAAACAACCAACTTGGTTCGACTGTACGAGAATTCGAGCTGTTACATTTGATCCTTTCGAATGTGAATCAAATCCGTTCAAAGAACCAGCAGCTTCAACAGACCTTTTGAACACAAGAACAGTAGCATGTTGCGCGGGCGAGTATTCCGATTCCACACTCTATAGATACAACAATACACGCACAAAAAAAAAAAATAATAAATAATCACATTGAAGAAAGGGGCATGCCAAAAAAAAAAAGGGGCCCGTTATTACCTCCATTGAAGAAATGGTTATATATCGTTCGTCACATTCTGCTACTGCGGGACCGATAATTATAGAAGCACCGGTTCTGAATTGGAGGGCCTTGATAACGGATCCTCCCTTTCCGATTATGCTGCCAACTTGTTCGTTCGGGCAGAGTATCTTGAAAGACACTTCTCTCTGTGGTCTTGTTGGGTTTACGTTGGAGACTCTCTCGGAATCTAATGACGAGGGTTGGTCAACCGAAGGCATGGGTGGCTGCATCGATCTTCGATCGACAGCTGGCATAGGCGGTGACTGTTCTTCCAAGTGTCTGCTGCTCCCATATGTTGTTGTTGTTTTCTCGGGCGGTTGAAAATCTTGGAGGCGGGAAGTGATGAGCACTAGTGCTCTCTTGACAGACGAAAGATTACCTTCGATCTGCAATAACGTCCCACATTTGTAGTAAATAAGATTCTTCGAGCATTTCTTATTGCACATTCTCGTAATCATTTGAGAACTGCCCCATTTAGGATAATCAAATTTCGGCTCGTATTATACTTTATATCATTCGTTTTCTTTTATTCGTAAAAACAAACAACAAGTCAAATTATACGAAAAATCGAAAACTAAATGCAAGTGTAGGACTCATCTTATAATGAAACAAGAAACGAAATCGAGAATGAACAATCACATTACAGCAATGTAGTAAGTTTGCTCACCTCCACGATTTCTTCGGTGGGCATCGAACCGGACGGAAACTTCTCCAATGCCACAACCTTGATTCTGCATCCAGTGTCTTTCCTGATTTTCTCAACCACCTTCCCACCTTTTCCGATAACAGCTCCGGCCTGGTTTTGCCACACCAGAAGCTGACATAAGACCCCTCCTCCGATCCTTTCAACGGAGTCCCCCTCCGCCGCCGCCACCTCCACCACCCTCTCGAAAACCCTGAGTATGCCCTCCTGCGCCGCCGACACTTCGAACCACTCCTCATCTACTCCGCCGCCAATGGCAGAACCCCCATTGCTCTCATCTTCTTCGTCGGAGATTTTGATTTTGTTGACGACGGCGGGGGAGGAGACGACGCTGATGACGCGGTGGTCGCCGGATTCGGTCGGGTCCTCGACCCGGATTCTGGAGTTGGTGAGTTGCTGGAGTTGCTTGATGATGGAGCCGGATTTTCCAATCACCCCGCCGATGCGAGATGTGTGGCAGAGCAGGCGGAAGACCACATGCCCTGGGGGGACAAATAGCGGCGGCTGCGGCGGCTTGGAGCGTCTCACGGAAGCTCCGCCGTTGACGGCGGCGGAGGTGGAGGGATGGGCGGCGTTATCGGTGGTGGAAGTAGTGGGGATAGGGGTTTTTATTGGAGGAAAGAGGACGGAATTTTTCATTCTGCTTTTTGAATGAAAAATCCAAGTGCTTTAGTTATGAGTATTGCTAATCTGTGTTTATCACCATGGATGTACACTGTGTTTTTTCTCGGTGGGGAAGAAGAAGAAGAAGATAAAAGAGAGAAACAATATAGAATCCGTACACAGCGAAACAATTGGGATTTATTAGTTGCAGGTTTTTTATTTCCCTTTTTTATTTATTTATTTTCCTTAAATTTAATTTAATAATAAAAGTAAAAAGATATTCATGTATACATTATAGAGGAGGAAACTGAAAAGATATGGATCTCCTCCTATATTCAAGCCCTGCTTCAGTTAAAGAACAAAAAAAGATAGAAAAAAAAAATAAAAATAAAAAAACGAAAATAAAAAGAGAGAAGAAGATAATTTAGATTTGTGAAAGTTATTTTGTGCTACAACGTGCTAGTATTTCGGACACGTTTCGTGTTCAACACTTAAAGACACATGTCGAACATCTTATGGGTTATTTTATAATTTTAAAAAATTGATAACATAATAATCAAATAGTAAATTTTCAAATGTTTTTATTACATCCCTAATCATTTATATGATACAATCGATTGTAATATTTATTTTGAATATAATTGTATGGAAATATATGAACTAAGTTTTTTTTTTTTTTTTTTTTTTTTTGGTAATGCAGGAACCCGCAGCCAACCATATAGGTGCACTGGGTAAACCTACACTCTCGTATAATAGCTTGCAAACCATACGAGAGATGTAAACCACACTAGGCTAACCATGTGTGACAAGCTCGACCTAGCGACCGTTGGCAAGGGAATTCGAACTTGGGTCAATTGACCCAAGCTCTCTTGCTCCAACCGCTAGGCCACCCTTGCGGGTTATATGAACTAAGTTTGTTTTACATAAAATCTTATATATATGTTATATAGCAAATTTATAAATATGCCCATATACTTTTCATATTCATATGTTAGGTGGAACAAAAATGTTTGATTAGTCAATCCACAATTCAAATCTTTCCTCCGTGCCAATATTGTAATTACGTCATTTTGTAGACTTCATTGCATGTTTGGTCCCCACAAAGTAGCAATTTTTCACTTAGTGCATTCTTATCAGAAACTTGGATAATGCATGGTTGGCTTAACCATTCTTCTCTATTTATAGAGTTGTCAACATTGAAATAGAAGAGCTCTAAAAAGAAATATTGGCGATTGAGGGGGGAAGAAACAATGGTACTGCAAACGGTGGAGATTCTGAGAAGTGAGATTCCCTTTGATGAGGAGTCGGTTTTCATATCCGACGATGTCAAGGCTGGATTAGTTCTCGTAGACATCATTAACGGCTTCTGCACCGTTGGATCTGGTAACCTGGTACGGAAAAAAAAATCGTTCTCTGTCCGTTTTCCTGCAAAAATAAATATATTTTCGGTAGTTTGTGTTGATGTTGTGTGATGATCATATCCAATATTTCAGGCCCCAAGAGAACCCAACAGGCAGATTTCTCAGATGATTGAAGAATCACAAAAACTTGCGAAAGTGTTATGTGACAAGAAATTGCCTGTGCTTGCCTTCCTTGATTCGCACCCACCTGGAAAACTCGAGCATCCTTATCCTACACACTGCGTCGCTGGAAGCGATGAGTCGAAGCTGGTTCCTGGTATTTTAACATGTTCACAATTATAACCGTCTGATTTGAATCTATAACTAAAGAAATTCGATATCATGTCTTTTTTTGTGCACATACCATTGTGTGTTTTTCTGCTATATGTGCAGCTCTAAGTTGGATCGAAGAAGAGCCGAATGTGACAATTAGGCGCAAAGATTGCTATGATGGCTACCTGGGATCGATTCAGGAGGATGGCTCCAATGTCTTTGTTGACTGGGTGAAGAGCAACAAGATACAAACTGTGAGTGTATTCTATCCCTTCTTGCTTGACTGATTTCAAGAATTTTGCGATTATTCAATGATTAATTAGACTTGTCAATCCAAGCATAATTGTTGCTTACATACACTAACTGGGATGAATTACGTGCAGCTGTTGGTGGTAGGCATCTGCACAGACATATGTGTGCTGGATTTTGTCTGCTCCACAATATCAGCTAAAAACCGTGGCTTCCTGGAACCCCTCGAGGATGTTGTGGTGTACTCCAAAGGTTGTGCTACTTTTGATATTCCAGCTTCACTGGCAAGAAACAACAAAGATCTATTAGCTCATCCCCAGGTAATTTCCTTCAACAGCAAAAACATTTGAAAACCGATAGCGGGGCATGATCAAGAGTAACCTTTTTTTTTATGACGAGAAGTTGAATTCATTCGCCACCATCTAATGTTCATCGATTCTTGATCATGGCAGGAGATGATGCATCATGTAGGGCTTTACATGGCAAAGGGAAGAGGCGCCAAGATTGCAAGTGAAGTGTCATTCCATGGTTTGAAGAACCTGTGAAGTACCTGAAAATTTACGAGGCTGGCATTCTGTAGCCATCTTCAGCATCGTGTAATCAATGGATTCGCTGTTTTAGTTTATACATGATGAATAAACGAAAACTGTAGTATGAATTTAATAAATAATTCCCAGGCTTACAAGTTACATCGTATACGATGCATAGAGAGAAGACTGAATATTTACGTAAGAATGAATAGTGGAACAACATCTAAAGCATCATGATTATGGCTCAACAGCTAAAAACTCCCCCATATGTACAAAAGATTTTGAAATCTCGTTACTAGACGGCAACATATTCAGAAGCAAAATATATACAGAATACACTAATACATCGGATAACATATAATTTATGGGAAGAAAGATAGCGAAGACAGCACACATAATCGTTAAGATGAGCCTGTCATCAGTAACTGCTACAACCCAAAATTTTGGTGGTCAGTTCCATTAAACTTGGCCTTGTTTGCTGAAAATTTCCGGCTTCTAGAAGTGTTTAATGCAAAAGGACTTCAGGCCACAATGACCGTCTCAGCTGCAAAAATAGAGAAAATCGTCGCTGTAAGCATGTTTACTTAAAAGAAGGCTAACCATACGAATCACAGAAAATACATTTCTAGTGGTTCCCTATGGCCTATAGTACCAATAAGCTGATAGAATCAGGATCTGAATTTATCATCCAATAAAATCCTATATTTACAGAAATCACGTCTATCCATGTTGATCCAGCTCAAAATATGATGTCTCGTTCAATTTCAAATCATCAGCCAATAAACGAATGTAAACCAAATAGAACTTACCTACGAAAAAGTAAGCAAAGAATGTCTGAAGTTTAATGTACAAGAGCTCAACCCATTAATCAACCAGCCTCAGTCGGTTGAAGAATACCAAGAAGTGATATTCAGGGGCCCAATACACAAAGCCAACGACTGGCCCTCCTTTGATGTACTGCACAAATCGGTCCAATAGGATGCACAATCAGTGACACTAAAACAAGCTACTTGGCAAAACTTTCAAACATTCAAATCTACAGCAGAAATAACTGTGAAACGATTTAGAAAATTAACCTTTCCATCCAGTATAACAAGTTCACCATCAACCCATCGAGGTTTCTGAAATCCAGGCTCAGCCAATCTTCCCTGGCCTCTATATCGAGCAATCTACAACGTGATGCAACTAAGAATAGTGACACAAAAACGATTGATATATAACTTAATGCAAACTTTAGACCACATACCACCCCAAATTCTTCAGGGATAATCCCTTTATGTGGAAGCTGATAGCTTTTTCCAACTTTCGCGCGAAATGCGACCTGTAAATGAACAAGATAATTTGGTTTGTTGAATAGAAGCCAAAAGGAGCTCAAACCCTTTTCTTTCAGGCATTTGAGTTGTCCAACCAAAAGAACCCATGGCGACCTCGATAATAGTTGATGCAACTATTTATTATCAAATAGCCATTAAATTATGCAGATATCAATAAAAGTTATTGATCCGGTTCTTAATATGATTGGAGTGATTAGTAAACACAGATGTGTTTACTGATGTGTTCACATCTTCCAGATGTGTTTACTGATCACTCTTCACTCTTCACTCTTCACTCCAATCATATTAAGAACCATCTCAATAACTGCTATTGATATAAATAGGTATCCTTCATTTCATGGTTTAGCGCATAAGCACAAGTAACTGAGTGAATTACCTGGCCAGCTGGAACATAGGCATCTCCAGTTAATTTAACAGCTTCAACATACTCATAGAATTCAATTTTCGATGGCTTCTTTTTGCTTCCTTCCTCTTTCCAATGACCGAATCTACGCCTCATTTGAATAACCTCTGACGTGTAAAGCCCATGTGCACCAATATATAAACCTAATAAAAGAAAAAAATTACCATAAACGTACTGTAAGATAATCAAACTATCTATATAAAACAATGGTGGCAGTGAGGAAAGAGAAAAAGGAACATGTGATATCACCCCCCAAACACCACAATGGAACAGTCAAAAAATAAAATGGAATCACCGTTTAGTGGATCCGAAGATGAAACTTCAATGCGGTTAAATGTCGTTGACCCAGAGAGTGGCTGACGATTTCGAGCTTGATTGATTGTGAGATTTATTAATTCACCAACATCTTTAAGGACCTGACATTTGAGAAAAATGGATTGGTTCTGGAAAATAACATTAATAAATAGTAATTGATCTCTACGCTAAAGAACTTACACCAACCTTGTTGGGGACTTTCCCTTTGCCAATGGACTTCACAAGATCAAGCATAACATGGTCAATGCTACGTTGAGATTGAAGCTTAGCTCTTTTGTTCTGCGGCAACCGTCCATCACCACCAGCGACAAGTTCATTGGAATCTTCTTCTACCGTAAAGGTAAATGACATTCGACCCTTTGTCTCTAGCCTTGCTGGAACCCGGAGCAAATCTTTAACTTTGGCACCACGCGAAAGTTTCTGGATGAACCTATCACCAACAACAAGCTCAACTGCGATACGATTTTGCTCGTCTTCCACATTTATTCCACCACCAGAGTCCAGTTCAATGTCGCTTCGTTCATCATCATCATTTTCACTTTTAATTTCATCATCAGCATCTATATTATCCAAGTCATAGTCCTTTTCTTCCTCCTCTTCATCTATTATCTGTTCGATCACCTTAGATATTACATCCCTGTCCACCTTCTCTGGGGCAGTTACTTTCACAACTTTGACTTTCACACCAGGAATCATGTCTCGCAATATATTATCAAAACCAGCATCATCATCCCTGTCATCACCATCCTCTATATCTTCAGAGCTTCTTTCAAATAACTTAGTTTTATTGTCTCTTGCATCACGGGAACCTAGGCTTTTGGAACTTCCTGGGGACTTGAAGGGTGGAACATAAAGATCTTGGGGAGATCCTTTGCGTTTTAGGTAAACAGCCTGACAATCAAATGATGAAAACTTCCATTAGTGAAAATAATTTTATATAGTGTAGTGTGCAGGTAGATGAGTCAGGCAGGTGATCTTAATGAATACATGCAGGTGTTCCTGTTCATAAGAAATGCACAAACGTAAAAGAAGTGAAATGCAGCAGGAAATACAAGAATACAGCAAATCCTTCCAGTAAAGGGCTCTTATGCAAATAAGAATAGAAAAAGATTTATGTGTGCTACGTGGAGAAAAGATTACATGCGCTACATGGAGGCACATTAACCTATATGCCACATTCATAGAAGACGAGGACCTTTCCTAATATGCCACATTGAAAGAAATTTCACAGCGGATATGCATAGTCAAAACAAAAACTCTTTCCACTCACCAAATTAGGGTCAACATAAGCAGTAAGAGAAGAATTCACTATGTTTCACATCTGGAAATCCATTAATCACACCTCTACCATAATACTTGTGGATACACATACTAGAATCTAGAAAATCTTAATTGAAAAGGAAGATACCTGCTGTTTATAATCTCCGTCTTTATTGTTTGTAAGATATACCTCAAACACGAGGGCACCATCAGAGGCTGTGGCAAGCTGCCTGAAAAAAAAAAAAAAACAGCAAAGTAATCAATCAAGAATCCTGGACATAAAGCAGGTAGCACTTAAAGAAAGGTAAAATCACACTCTTAATCTGAAAACCGGAATATGCCTCCATTACAGAAAAATCACCTCATATCTGAAATGTCATACAAACCACATGGTGGAAAGGTCCATCCAGAGAAGAGCAATAGCAAAATATTCAACAACTGATGCACATCAATTAATCGATACACAGAAAAGAACAAATACAATTAGAGAAAGAGGCTCTCTTGCAGAGGATTCCAGATCTGTACTTTTTTCCAGTCAAATCTCTGTATCATAAGGAAACTGGTTTAAACCAATGCAGCTTCATGATGACATCTTTCTGAAGCAACTCAAATTTCAATAAACATGATGATGACATTGCTGGTTATTTGTGTATAGCAAATAGACCAGGGGAATTATAAGAAAACCAGCCTCAAAACTTTTTATCTTGGGTGCTGTGACAACTTCTGGTCATAATAAGAAGTCTAAACTAAAGGCATAAATTTTGGAACAAATTTACAAAAGATACTGAGAAGATTTTCCGTTAGCAGCAGAAACATTGTAGAAACTAAAATTTGAAGGAAGGCGCTTTGATGAGCATGAGAATGCGAAAGGTAGAAGTGCATGAAGATGATAGTGCATAAAGAGAATCTGTAAACCAGAATATTAGAATCTTATAGACAGTCAAAAACATATAAGATCTAACAACAAAATGGCTCGAGCATTTAACACACTTTAATTTGATAAAAAACAAATCGGAAATTCTTACTCAAAAAAACCCTTCTTCAAAAGAATTCCCAAGTGTTAAACTGGAGCTATATATTTGATCAACAATTTAAATCAGGGATTTATACTAGAAGAATTAATCCTCAGAAGATTATAAAATTTTAAAGAACCACCAAATAGTTAGTGTCAAATTGCCACATGAGTTGATTTAAAACAAGACCTTTGAACAGCAAAAGTAATTTTTACCTAGGACTGTAACTTCTAGCAATGTATCTGCCATACTCAGCGCTTATATGAATAATACGACCATAAGGATCATTGGGATCGTCTGGAATTCCAGTCCACCATCCAACCTGAATTTCAGATTCAAAAGACAAACCTCTAAGCTAAACAAATATCTGGCAAGCAACACAAAATTTAGCACCTACTACATTGAGCACAAAAAAAATGCTGGTAACTGATGGCCTTGACCCCCTTGTTTACTTTACTAATTAATGTGTTTTGGGAAGGTAGGTGAGATGATAGACATCAGAAAAATCAAGTTGTTAAAATAAGCAAGCGGAACAACACAACTTCCTAACAGAAATCTTGGATAATTATTTTATCGAAAACCAGCTTATAGTGACTATATCAATTGAAATACAGCATTGCATATTGTTCGAAAAGATGAAAACATCAGTTTGCATATTCCAGATTAAGCTGGCCATATAGAGGATTAGCAATACCTGACAATGAAAATTGTAAAAATGATATATGGCTTCTTAATCTAAGAAAACAGTCACAAATTTACAAACAAATCATTGGCAAGTGCACACGTATCACAGTCAAACATTTTGGCTGACTCACCAACCCAGCACCAGCATAGTCACGTATAAGAGCTGCATCTCCATAGCGTTCTTCCTCGACAAATTTCTGCAGTTACATTACAAAATATCAGAGAAGTCAGCCTACGGGTATGCACCTATAAACTCATAATTAAAGAAAATCTACGCACAAGTTAGAACAAGTAGAGTCTACCTTCAAATGGGACATCGCTCTGCCAACAGTGTCATTCGTAGCAGCTGCTGCAATGGCAACCTTAATCCTGGCGGCATCTTCGTAATCCTCTCTCTCAATTGCACTGGCTAACTGGGACTGTTATGTGTTAAGATAAAACCATGTCAGTAGTTGAAACCATAGTTAAGTGCCCACTTGAGCAAAAATAGTACTTTTAGCTCTAAAGAGGAATCATCTATTTGTTCCTGACGGAAACAAGAATTTTTTTTCCAGTAATTGATAAAAGCAAACAAACATAAAACACCTTCAAAATTGAGGCAATGCGCTCTTGCTCGTCAACCTCAACGAAATACTTCCTCCACCTCTCCCAATCCCACTCCTCCTCCTCCTCTCCCCCATTCTCCGCCACCACCACAATTCCGTCCAATCTCTTATCCCTTAACGAACCCAACAAATCATCAAACCGCTTAAACGCATTCCTAAACGTCTCCTGGATACCAAAATCCCACCGCCAAGGGTCGTCGGAGACAGAATCGGAATTATCACCGCCGCCGCCGCTGTTTCTATCGAGGCAACGGCAGCAGAAGGGGGAATCAGAAACCCTAGAGATGTAAGCCCCCGACTGCGACGGTCTCCCGTTAAACCTAGAGGAGGCGAATCTGGAATTGGTGAAGTTGAGCTTGTGAGGGTTGGGATCGGTACGCGGCGAGGGGAACGTCGGGGCACAAATCGACGCCATTGATGAACACCTTACACGCAGCAGTAGAGATAAATTTATTGATAGAGAAATATTTTATGTGGAGGAATTATAATACTGACAATTATTAATATAACAAAATAGAGAGAAAATATATATAAATTATTTGGTATTTGTACTGTGAAATAATAAAGAAAAGGAGAAGAAATGAAAGAGGGCAGAAAGGAAAGCAGAAAAGGATAAGGACGAGTAAGCATTTTTGTGCTGACGTAGGATATAAGGTCAATGCCAATACCTAATTTTTCTTTAAAAAAAATATTTGCATGCTTGATGTAAGATTGAATTACGAAAAAGACCCCTTATGTTTGAGTAATTATAATTATTCCGTAATTATGAGTCTTCTTATAGCGTTACACGTCCACACTCATGATGTCAAATTCCACATCCGTGGAATGTTCTCTAATTTGTACTCGTTTTGTGCAAAAATGCAGTTTCAGATGCACCACAATCTGATATTTACAAGTCAAGAGACACATTTTATGATCATCTTGTTTCAAAATGTAGAGCTCGAATGGAGTAAAAAAAATGTAAAAAGGGAAGAATATTCCACATAATCTAGAAAATTCCACTAAATTTGACAGCGCAATGGTGGACGTGTAAAAAAATTTATAGTTGAGGAGATGGTTATAATCATCCAAACACGAAGGATTTTTTCGTAATTTAACCCTATTTTAGGGGTGGCCGTAATTTACCCTAAAAATATTTAATTGAGTTTAAAATTAATTTGTAGTTAAAAATGAAGCTTTAAGGGAGGTATCTGTATTGTTTTAAAAAAGGGGAGTCTATATGTAATTATATCTAACCTCATGGAAGGACAATGTAATCTAGTTAAATGTTTTTTGTTGTATTTACATATACTTACACATTTTGAAACGAACAATAACGTGGGATAAACAATCAAGAAGTGAAATTCAATAAATCCCACAATTACCACAACTGCATTAAATTACAACCACCATTTATTTTTAACCAAAAAACTTCAACTATTTACAAATTACAACCACTATTTCAACAGCCAACTTTCAGTTTTCTTCTTCCCGTAAATTACAACCGCCCCTTGAGGTAAGGTATAAATACGAGAAAAAAAACCCTCATTTTTTATAATTACATTCACCCGCCTGCAATTTGTAGATTTCCTACATTAACGCCCTTTTGAAGGGGTGAATGTAAGAAACTTACAAACTGCAGGGGGCTGGATGTAATTTCTAAAACATGAGGGGGTTTTTGTAGATAGACTTTACTTCAGGGTGATGGTTGTAATTTACCCTTCTTTCTTCCTTCTTCTCTTTCAAGAGGTCTTCTTGTTCAACAAAGGATCAGAAATGACTTGTGGCTCAAAATCAGGCTTCACATATCGAGCAAACAAATCATCGTAAATCTCGTACCTTGCAGTCATTCGAAACCCCCACTTGTCTTTCAGTTGCCTGCAGAGATTGAGATCCATTTCCGTTACCAGCAAGCCATCCTTGTAACGGGACAGAGAAGGTGTGCACGACGAATCAGGTGCTGACACGTGGCTCGAGCCGTAGAAGTGTCCGAAATCTGTGTGCTGTGGCTTACCGTCCCCTGAGGTGAACGGGTTTGGGAAGACTTCGGTCCCCACCCGATTGATCGAACAAACGAAGTAACTGTTTGCTATTGCTGCATTGCGTGCCTGCAAATTCGGTTGTAATTTTTTTATATATATAATAAGTAAAATTATACGAAATTTATACAAGAATAGTGTGAGAGTAAATATGTGGGTGACAAGTAAAAAAAAACAATTTTGTTTGGAAGTGAAAAACTAATTCTAATCCCATTCCAAAAAAAAAAATCAAAAGAATCGGAAATTTGAATTTCGTTCCAAAATCGGAATTTCAGATTTTTTTTAGTCACTTATAATATAAAATAACACATAATAACATTGAAGTATTAAGTGTAATTTTCAGAGAAAAATGGCATTTTTAAAAGCTAAAATTGGATCTGAATTCGGAATGTAATATGTATCTAATTTAGTTCCAAAAGAAATTGGAAATCGGAACTTTCGGATCAAAATCGCCGGAATTCGAAAATTCCGTACTACTTTCCACCCCTAGAGGTTTACTCCAATAATTTTTCGCGTCAGCTCATATATTTTGAAAATAGAAAACGAACCCTTATCATGTGTTTATTGGAAAATGTACTTAACAGTCCTAACAGATTGCATGATTATATTTTAGCTAATCTTTGACGCAACAAAACGAGGACTCAATGATTATTGAAAATAAAAAATAAAAATAAAAATAAAAAAATAGAAAAAAGAAAAAAAAGATACCTCAATGGGCCACATGGGTTCACTGAGTTCACCAACAGTTGCCGACGGGTTAAAAACAATCTCGGCACCGTTTAAGCCAAAAGCTAACCAGTTCAGAGGATGGTGTCTCCCATAACATATATTGACCGCAATCTTTCCATAAGCTGTCTCAAATACAGGATGCCCTGTATTTCCTTCCATGTAATACGTACTTTCGTTAAAATCCCCAACTCTAGGTATATGGTTCTGCAAATGCCGACGTAAATTAACCATTCACTCAGAGATGCAAAACACACTAACTAAATAGAGATGCTTTTATTACCTTCCTGTGTTTTCCAATTATGTTGCCATTGTTTCCAATAATCACAGCAGTATTCCAAATAACCTCCCCATGTTTCACATCCCGTTCAAGAATCGGACTTATGATAACCATGTTGTATTTTTCCGCAAAGCCCTGAAGAAACTGCGTCGATTCTCCATCTACTGGCTCTGCGAATTCGCACCATTTCTTCTCGCGAGTGCAAAACGCAAACGGCATCGTCCATGCTTCCTTCGATGAATAATTGAATACATTTGTGGTTAATCTCTTTTACTGTTTTACAGTTTGTTCACAACAGCAAGTAATTTCATCGAAGTTTTATTTTACCTGTAAGCATAATATATTGACTCCTGAATTGCCGGCAGCTTCAATAATAGGCGTCAATTTCCGAAAAATGCCCCTTTTCTGGTCCAATAGCGGTGCCGTTGTTGGGAGAGCAATGGCGTTCTGAATCAACCCCACCCTCACAATACGAGGTTCTCTCATCGACTCCCTTTCAGCGTGAAATGCAAATGACTGCAGAAAAAGAAATACAACAATCCGTGATCCAAAAGCTAACAATCTCCATCAGATCCAAGCCAGATTTATCTAATTTATCCCGAAAACATATATTTTCTGAAGATCAATCTAACGAAAGATACTAAATTACTAATACATCTTTTTTGAAAGTTAAAAATAGCAACCGTAAGGCACTGTGAATAGACGACATTTCAGAAATATGCATTTTGGATCGGTCCTCTTTGTTCCGTACTTCAGACAAGAATATCATGGCATGTGAAAACACAAACACGGCCAAGAAAACAGTAAATACTTTTAACCGGATTTAACTTATTTGTACTACCATGGGGAAAAATCGAAGAAGCATGTTAAAGTGTTTGGCTTACGAGGTTAACAATCACTCCAACTCGACATTAGGCTAAAGTAAACACAAGTTCGTCGTATTCATTACAACACGAGGAGTGACTCACTCAACATAAATATAATACTACTAGCAATAGGCAATAGCAATCCCTAAAATTTGTTCCCTTTGGCAATAAATTATCTGCCCTAATTAAAAGAATTTCGAAAAGTACATTTACCTGAAGATCAAAATCATGTTTTGAAGAAAGAGATTTTGCAAGCTCCGGAATAGCAACAGTATCCAGTGCTCTTCCGCAGTTAAGCCCAATAATCAGTCGGCTAACTTCCTGTTATATAATTATTAAACTTGTAATCCAATATCACAAGTAATTCGAAAACGAAATCCATCAAAAATCAAGTGAAATAAATCAAAAGACGAAACAGACGAAGTAAATCAACAGATCGAAATTAAATCTTCGGTTCTGATTCATCATCGGTAATTAATAATTGGAACCTGAAAAAGGTGAGGAGAAAGGTTAGATTGGAGGAGGCGGTGCAGAGAATCGAATCCGCAAATGGAAGCATCTTTGGGGATCTCAATTTTGCCATTTTCTGCAACGAGTTCGTCTTCCATTTTTTCTTTTTTTCTTTTTTTTTTGCTTCGAGGATCTCGGCGGAGAAGACGAGTGTATATGAATCTGAAACAGTGGATTTTTAACTGTATGTGGATCAGTGGATTTTAATTTACTAATTTATTAAAGTATTATTAAAATTTTCTAAATAGAGAATCTTGGACTTTATTAATATTAAACAAATCAAAAGGGACACTTATCACTCATTCATTAACTGCACAAAAGAATATTCTTAGAAGTGCACATGCAAATTGGCGAGGGTGTTTGGCTAAGCTTATTTTAAACAGCTGATAAGCTCTTACGTCTGATAAAATGTTTTAAGAACTGATAAGCTGTTACATCTTATTTTTAGGATTAATTTTTAAAGTGTTTGGATAATGAGCTTATTTCCTATTTTTACTCATTAAAAGATCTTAAATAAAAATGTGGGGTAGATGTACTTATTTAAAAAGATCTTATTTGCTCTCCAACAACTTATTTTAAAAAAAATTAAGATCTTTTTCTAAAAATTTACCAAACACTTTGGAGGAGCTTATAAGCTCTAAAACATTTAATAAACTCTTTTTAACATCTTATAAGCTTAGCCAAACACCCTCTTAGTCCAACTTTACACACTTGAAATATACTATTTTAGCAATTTGTACCATCAAAATTAATAGATAACACACTTTGCACCTTCGGAATACAATATATCATGCATAATAGATTCCAAATTAAATTTTAAAAAGTAATTTAATATTTTTAGTGGTGTTTAAAAAATATATTTTTATCAAAATAAAATATTTTACAAAAAAAAAATGTTTTAGCTGTTTCGTTATCAAGTTATCTGAAAATCATATTTTCTTCCAAATATTTATACATAATATTTCCACCAATTACATTAAAAAGATTCATCAATCGAATAATTTAGTGATAATTTTTTTACAAGAAAATATAGTTTGTTTCAATAATCCGGTATAATTTTTATTTTTTCGCACTTTGTGGGCTCGAAATTAGATAGGAGGTTAAAGAAAATAACAATTTAATTTGTTATTTTGCACCTCGGCAAAAACAAATTCCTTTATTATTCAATTTAGGGTGCATTATGAATGATCTATTGTGTTTTAGGGTGCAATGTACTATTATTATTTTTCAAAGGTGCAAAGTGCCAAAAGACTCTATCTAAAGGGTGCAAAGTGGAATTAAGCCCATTCAAATTTGTTATGTGTAAACTGAATCCCAGAAACGGAGAGTTGAGGTGAGCAAAATTTATTGATTCTCTCTCTACAATCATTATATTTCTCTCTGGATACTTCATCTAAAGTCTCTCTACAATCATTCTATTTCTCCCTATATCTAGAAAAAGTACGTTACGTATCTAGAGTTTTTCTACAATCATTCTATTTCTCCCTAGATCTAGGAAAAGTGCGTTACGCCTCTAGAGTCTCTCTACAATCATTTTATTTCTCCCTAGATTTAGGAAAAGTGCGTTACACCTCTAGAGTCTCTCTACAATTATTCTATTTCTCCCTAGATCTAGGAAAATTGCATTCTATTTCTGCCTAGATCTAGGAAAAGTGCCTCTAGAGTCTCTCTACAATCATTCTATTTCTCCTTAGATTACAACCATTCTATTTCTCCCTAGATGTAGGAAAGGTGCATTACGCCGTCGGATCGTTCGATGGGGCATACAGTCTGACCAGTAGAGCTATTATATAAGCATTTCAAATCTTACGATTTGATTCATACCTAAATCGATTCAAATCTTAAATGTCAAAAAAATAATCAAATCTTACGATTTACGATTCGAATATAAGAAAATTAAATTGAATATAAGCATTTGCATCTAAAATGTCAAAAAAATGATCAAATCTTACGATTTACGATTCGAATATAAGAAAATTAGATGTTCGATGGGGGCAGATATTTGGTACATGGGAATGACGGGATTGGACATGTTATCCAGTATCGAATATTTTCTCTTACGATCTACGATTCGAATATAAGAAAATTAGATGTTCGATGGGGCAGACATTTGGTGCATGGGAATGATGGGATTGGACATATTTTCCGGTGTCGAATATTTTCGTATATAATACACTCTGCACAGTAGCAGTAGAGCTACTACGAATGGATGATTGATTTTAGGGTAAATTACACCCACACCCAGTGGCGGATCTAGCTATGGTCTAGGGTGTACAGTTGCACACCCTTGATTGTCAATAAATAGTACTATTATACATAAGTTCACAGAAACTGCAGTTGGTTGAAATGGTAAGGATATGCCTTCTTTTATTAATAGGTCCCGGGTTCTAAACCCCACCCTCACAAGAATGATTTTTTTTGAAATCTTGACATTTTTCACCTTTTTTGTCTTTATATATTTCCACAATTCACCTAAAATTTGTAAATTATAAATTTTTGGTCCACTATTTTTATAAAGTGATATTTAATTTTTTTATAAAGTGATATTTAATTTTTTTGACATTTTTCACCTTTTTTGTCTTTATATATTTCCACAATTCACCTAAAATTTGTAAATTATAAATTTTTGGTCCACTATTTTTATAAAGTGATATTTAATTTTTTTATAAAGTGATATTTAATTTTTTTATTCTACAATTTTGAACCCCCTTGGCAAAAATCCTGGATCCGTCACTGCCCACACCCCTGAGGTATGCTTAAATAACGGTAAGGTCCTTGTGGTATTAATAATTACACTCACCCCCCTGAAAGGTAGTTAAAAACTAATGTATCCAATGGATTATCCTGTTAGAGTTTTTAACTATCTTTCAGGGGAGTGAGTGTAGTTATTAATACCACAGGGACCTTACAGTTATTTAAGCATACCTCAGGGGTGTAGGTGTAATTTACCCTTGATTTTAAATGTCAAAAAAATGATCAAATCTCGAATATAAGAAAATTATATTGAATATAAGCATTTCAGAATCGTAATCGATTTTAAATGTCAAAAAAATGATCAAATCTCGAATATAAGAAAATTAGATTGAATATAAGCATTTCAGAATCGTAATCTTACGATTCGATTCAGACCTAAATCGATTCAAATCTTAAATGTCAAAAAGTTGAAATGATCAAATTTTACGATTTACGCTTCGAATATAAGAAAATTAGATTGAATATATAATATACTCTCAACAATAGCAGTAGAGCTATTATAATCTATAAGCAACAGAACTAATTCATAATATAATATAGGCAACGAATATATGCAAGACGAAACTTACTAAGTGCAAGATCTTATTTCATGCAAGACCTTACTTCATGCAAGACCAAAATATAAATAAACTTACTAAGTTCAAGACTGGAAATTACAAATATAACCCTAATATTAATTTAGATATTATTAATTCAAATTAGGCTAATTGCTATTGCAAGACCAAAAAAAAAAAACAAAAAAAAAGGAATAAAAAAAAGGAAAAAAACGAGAGGGAACTCACTCCCCCAACAAAACCCCAACATCTTCTTTTTCACACTCATTTTACATACTTTTTTCCACAAAAAAATCTTCCATATTCTCCAAAACCTTCATCACACAAAACCCTCAAATCTTTACTAAAACTTGAAAATAGAGACATTATGGATACACAAGACATAAATATGGAGGATTCTATGGTCGAAGAACACAAAGAGGTAAGAAATATTGTACTTTGTGATCGTTTTTCTCGTTTTTCGCACCTCATTTCACGTAAAAAAAATTCGACGTGTAAAGGTCCAAAATAGGATCAGAATATCGACACACTAGTGTCGAAAATTTCAACATAAATCGACACTCTTTTACTGTCGATTTTTATTGAATTTTTCAACATTCTGGTGTCGATATTCGGTGCATATTTCGACACTAGTGTGTCGATATTCGGAGCATATTTTGACCAGTACACGTCGAATTTTTTGTACGTGAAATGAGGTACGAAAAACGAGAAAAACGATCAACGGCGACGACTGCAACGACGACGGGGATATTTCTAGTGCTTGTCGACTGCAACTGCGACGAGAGAGGTGGTGGACTTCAACGGCGACGGCGAAGGGCGGCGGCGAATGCTGCAATTGATTTTTTTTTTGATTTATTCCCTTCTTCCCTCCTCCTCGTTTTTCAATTCTCTTTTTCTTTCTTTTTTTATTAATTTTTCTTTTTTAAATTGGTCTTGCAAAAGTAAATAAATAAATGAATTTTTAATTTTGTTTGTATTTTATTAAGGTTATTATAGTCTTTTTATACTTAATTTGATAAAAAAAAAAATTATTTGGTCTCGCCCTAAGTAAATTTGTGATTTTCAGTTCTCGTTTTTCAATTTTCTTTTTCTTTCTTTTTTTATTAATTTTTCTTTTTTAAATTAGTCTTGCAAAAGTAAATTAATAAAAGAATTTTTATTTTGTTTGTATTTTATTAAGGTTATTATAGTCTTTGTATACTTAAATTGATAAAAAAAAATTAATTTGGTCTTGCCCTAAGTAAATTTGTGGTTGCAAATAGTCGTTGCCTATAATATACTCTGCAGTAGAGCTATTATAATCTATAAGCAACAGAACTAATTCATAATATATGGTTAATTAATTAATGGAAAAAAATTAAAAAATAATAATTAATGGTATCAAGAATATATGGTTAATTAATTAATGGACAAAAAATTAAAAAAATAATAATTAATGGTATCAAGAATTGTTGATATAACCTAAAAATAAAAAATAACTATCTTGCAGGAAATGGAAGCCTGTGGATCTCTGGCAGGCCTGTAGGGTCAGTACTCAATCTGTATCCTCCCTCAACAGTCCCAACTTCAACCGGAAATTCATCAAGAGTCTACATAGAGAAGAACGAACGATATTTCATTTCAAGAGATACGGTTGTCGATGAAAATATCAGAGCATTTTCATGTACAATTACGTAGTTTATAAGTTACTTACACGTAAAGCTTCCTCGAGGATACGAAGTGTATTCGTTGTACGCTTCCTCTTAATGGAGATCTCCTCTGGTTCCTGCAAAATCTCTTCCAACAAGTTGTCTCTGCTAAAAAAATCACCAAATACGAGAAGAAGGAAAAAAAGGGTCAAGCATATCCCGTTTAACTCGATAGATCGTTCATTAGGTAATGAAAAAGAAACACCATTGTCCATTTCGGTTGGCTTGGTCTAGCAATTAGATTTCGTAATGGAACATACCTGTAAAGTTTTTGGATAAAAACATTATGGAGCTCTCGCTTGGTACGGTTCACCTGTGAGAACAATTAGAGAATTAAAATCAGGTTGATTGTTTGAATATTGAAAAGATTATATTAATAAAGAAATACGACGCAAGCACTAAAATAATAGGAAGTCTGAATCGAGAAGAATGGAGCAATTACCAGGAAATGCATAATTGCTTTCGGTACAGAATCCTCAATTTTCTTCCGTACAATATCATAGTACGACGTCAATAACAGCTTCGTAACAGTAATCTCGATAGCCTCTTGATCTGAATGGGTTTCCGACGGCTTCAGTACGCTAGGAGGCTTTGATGAAACAGAAAAAGAAACGAGTTAGCAGATCAAGACACGGTAAAACTTGTACAGTAGAAATTAAAAGTTCCATCAAGATCATTTTAGATCTTCACCTGTCTCAAACGAATCATATTTGAAAAACCTCGCTCCGGGTTATGAACAGGTTCGTTAAACACTTGGCTAGTGGAACACTCTCCAACCGACGTGCATTTGTCATGATGTTTGCCAAAAATTGAAGGTATTCCCCAAGCTGAACCAACTCTGTTGACTGATTAATCATTAAGAATTACAATATTAGGAAACCGATTCGATTTTATCTAATTTGACCAGAACCTGATCTAATTTTATTTGATTGTCCTCAGATAAGGAAAAAAGGCAAATTACCAGCTAGTGCAGTTTTCGGAACATCCACAACAGGTCGGACACCCTTCGTTCCACATAGAAAGCAGGTAGCACAAAAACAATTAGTCAATCTGAATAATAAATAAGCAAATTGCAGGGCTCATCGGGTAGTTAAGGTGGCCAGTGAAACTTACTTGCTCTGGAAAAATTCCATTAATTTGCATGCCAGGTATAGTTTGGGACTTTAAGCTTCTCGTCGTGTTAAGTAGTTTCTGTGGATCTCCTGTATCCTAGTTTACAAGAAAAACTCACATACTAAAGAGCATATCGTTGTTAACCGAAGGACATATAAATTATTCAGTACAGAAAAGTGGTCAAACCTTCTTACTCGCGATAGGTGCAGCAATACCATCCGATTTGATCTGTTGTACTGCCATTTCTACGGCTTTACTCCCACCAACAAAATTTGGATGGGCAGTGTTTATGAAATCCATCTACAGAATATACAATTCAACAAACGTAATCGTATCCACAAAATGCAAAAGTAAACTAAGAAACCAATTAGTGAAAAAGACTAATACTCGAGTAAATTTAAGTCATTTCTCACAAACAAGGGTGACCTCCCTCCCTACATGATCTACATTGTTTTAGCACAACATTGACATTCAATTTGCATCGTTTATTTTGCCAGTTTGCAATGAGTGTCGCTTTCCGGAGGAAAATTACGTTTAGACAGATTTAACAGAAAGACATGTCGTATCATTGTATAAACCAACACCATGATTCATCTTACCTCCATTTCAACAATATGTCCTATCATTGTCTCTGCTGGCTCAAGACCTTGTCGTAAAAAAATCCCAACGACCTCATCCATGCGTTTTCGTAGGGCCGGAAACCGTTCGAGCTCACTAACCATACAGCGACGGCTCATCTAATAAAAAACAATCAGGTCAATGTCAACAAAAAAAGGATGAATAAACCTGTTTCCTTTAACAAAATATGCTACAAGGTATATTTATATACCTTGATTAGGTCATCATAGATAAATCTAGCACACTGGAGACTTGGATCCAATAAACGTGCTATTTGTCTTCTGACAAGAACTTCAAAAGGCACCTACATTTATTTTGCACGATACAAATAGATGAATGCCTTAATACCGAAAGAGGATGGCATTTCAGTTTTTCCTCAAATATTAAAGAATACAACGAAGAAGATAGTGTCGGCACTAAGACCAACCTCTGGCACAAACATTGCCGACTTCAGACCGGCTGCATTTTTAATGGCAAGGCGGATATCATCATCAGTCAAATCCTCACAAGGATCAACATCCTGCATGAAAGAGAGACAAATATAAGGAACATCCTGAAAAATAAGTTGCTATTGCAGAGTAATGGACTGCTCCAATTCTTGATGCTTCCCTATAACGAGAATAAATTACAAGATCCATAAGCCAAGCTTTCGGGAGCAATTAAAAAAAAAAGAACCAACCTCCAAGCTCTTTACAAAAATATTTTGGAAAATGTAATTGATTCTTGCTCCACCAGATAGCTCAGTTGTTGACATCGTTTCATTTTTTCCTTCTATCGTTGAACAGAATGCTGTTTCCAACAAACATAAAGCTCGTAAATAAGCAATTAATAGAATTTCCGTAATCCTACCTATCAGAAAGCAAGAGCATGGAATTTTTTCATGAAGATCCGTGGGGCGAATATCAATAAATGTTGCCAAGGAATCATGAAAGGCTACATCACATACCTTCAGAGTACTTAGAGAGAATGTTAAGTAATAACGCCACCTGGCTAGCCTATTCATCAAAACAATGTAAAGAATTGGCAAAAAGGGATTAGTTCGTAAATTTTCCGAAACTCCTAGTCAGAACTACAAAATAAATCACCAATTTAAATATGGGACAGTATGTAATACTCAAAGCAAGTAGTCCTAAATTCTTGTGCAAAGTAAATATACTCAGCAATTACTTGCTATATTCTATACAGATAAAGGATTAGTGAGGAAAAGTAAAGCCAGAAATATAGAAATGTTTGCTCAAATTGTTCTTTAGAGGAAATATCTTTCTGTTGCATAAATACAAATCCAGGGCACACTAAACTCCCATAAAAAGTACAACTATAACAGCACAGTGAGATGAAATATAAAAAGTAACCTTTGATTCAGTAATTTCTCCATAGCTAGCATGCTCCTTCGCAACAGAAGCCAGCGCCTCGCCAATCCGTAACTTCAACCCCGGAAGAACTGTCTTAATATGTTGTACCAGGATCTGTAAAAAAAAAAGTAGAAAGCTTATGTCTGAATCTAAGACGTGATATTATAGCATACACTTCAAGATGATAAAAAAACATGTGTTATATACGATAACGGTGCAACTCAGTCTCAGTACGTTACCTGGTTCAACTTCTTGGCTAACTGTGGAACTCCACAATGCTCAGCAAGATCGTTGTATACCTATAGAGAAAGTTTATAAGTTACTGAATTACCTACAAACAGCTATCAAAGTGAATTGAATGAAAAAGATCACGGGCATACTCGGAGACTGCTAAAGAACTTCTCCTCTGCTATAAGTGCGTCTTTGATGCTCTTACTCCTCAGAATATCCTGTGTAATCAATAGTATACACATCATCGAGGAAAAAAGAATAATTACCTAATGCTTATATAGACAACAGTTAATTCGCTTAATATATCTAAGAATTTAACATAAGCATATTGGAGTTTCTGTAAACGAATCAGCAGCGCCCCAAAGCAGATGGAATAGCACAATGAATTACTTAAATGATCATCCATCTGAAAAGAAATATATTACCTCTTGACAGCGATTGACAACACCGACATAGCCAAGGCGTAGAGGAATAACTTTTCCAAGCAGAAAGTTCCGGGCATCAGTACCTCTATCCATAATATCCAACTGGAGCAACACGAACATAAAAAGAGAAATTTTGAAGAAAAAATCAAACATAAACAGGAAGTACAATAAACAACTACACAGTCAAGATCTTCACCTTAGTAATTACACCAATTGTTCTATGACCTGCAATTATAAACTTTTACACATTAGCTCGAGAATCCAAAGCTAAAGGTCTACAAGCGCTAGAAATTAGAGAACGCAACAGTTTATCCAGATGAATGAAATCAGTAAGAGCAAAACCAACCATTCGGATCGGCAATTCCAGCCATCTGAAGAGCATCTGAGTTAGCCAGATCAGAATTTGCTGGCGTGACAGCAATAATCAGGCAGCTTTGACGTTTAATATATGACATTATCATTGTTCTAATGCGTGCTTCAATATCAGATGGCTGATCACCAACAGGCACTTTTGTTAGGCCTGGCAGATCCACAAGCGTAATGTCGAGAACATTTGGCGAAAATATTTTCAATCGTATCTGTTTGTCTGAAACACCTTTGTTTCCTCCAGCTTCTCTATCTGTTTCGGCCTAAACATAATTCCATAAAATGTAGACGAATCAAGCAACAAAAGTGAAAGAAAAGCATGCATCGCAACCAAAAGGAAATCCATGTTAAGAACCAAATAGATGATAACAAACACAGTAATCAATCTTATGAAGTTATCTGCATAAACCTCCACCACTCTCATGAAACAAGTAATCGTAAAAGATCACCATGAACGAGGAGAAACTATCGCAAAACCAGCGAGCATAGCTTAATTTGTTTACGACTGTAACATCCTAACCATCTCATATACGAACATGCAAATTTAAGTATTGCACCCTACACAAACGCCATAATTGCTGTTTCTAGTCCCATAATAAAATCATTCGGGTACATTCAATTAGGTTAGAAGCTAAACGCACTTTCACGAGTTTTATAAATCTTCCAAAAAACCAAGCACAGATAAATTAATTGATATACATCAAATTAATTCAATTAAAAAAAAGGATAACCTGAATCTCCTTCCGGATTTCATCGAAATCGAAAAATTTCCTCCCCGGCAAATGCAGGAACTCCCCCCACTCCTGATCCCTTCCATCAGCCTTCCCCTTCCTCTGCTCTAGCTGCAGCACTAGCGGACGGCGCGTGCAGATGCCGTTGCCACGTGGCAGAAAATCACGCCCAACGAGCGCCTCCAGCACACTCGATTTACCGCTGCTCTGGCTGCCGACGACGGCCACCTGCGGCAACTCGATCGTTGACTCACTCCCTAGCTGCGCGAAAATATCCTGCAGCTTGTTCACCAACGGTATCACCGAGTTCCCCAACGTCGTCGCCACCGTCGCACTACTGCTCGCCGCCGCCTGGTTTTCCGCCATGGAATTGATTGATTTTAGTTGGAATCAATTTTAGGTAATTTAATTTGTACATTTATATTAGGAAAAATATGATCATGCATCCATCTCTTGATGCCCAAGAAATTGAGGCTGCCGCACCTCTTCTATTAGGACTCAAATTCATGCGAAGAATTTGAATACATTCTTTATAAAGGGTATCTAAGGGTTGGTTAATTACAATTAACCCCTCAGATTGTCTAGTTATTCGTGTCAAAACCCTACCGAAATTAAAAGTTATCAAAATACCCAATTCTTTTAATAAACATATTTAACAAATAATTAAAATTCAATTATTTATTTATTTTGAGTATAATTATATGAGTTTTTTTAGAAGATTAATCGGAATTCTGGAATCTTTTTCTCATCAAGTTTCAACTCAACCATTTTCTTTTTATTTGTTTATTTTGTGCAAAAATGCAGTTTCTAATGTATCATAATTTGATATAGTTACAAATAAAGAGACACATTTTATGATCATCTTGTTTTAAAAAGTGGAACTCGAATGGGTAAAACGAATACTAACATGAGAGTGTTCCACATAATTTATAAGATTTTGTTAAATTTGACACCGCGGGGATGTACATATAAGAAAATTCATACTTGATGGCTAATTGGAATTTAAAAGTTCGCAAGCTTTCTTAAAAGTGATAAATAAATTATAATTTTTATGGTAAATTGCGGTCACCCCAGAGGTAAGGTCAAATTACAATTTTTTTTTTATAGTTTGCATAATTACGGCCACCCCAATTATGTATTTCCTTACACGTTCACCCCTACGTTGTCAAATTTACATATGGGCGTTCATTCGGTTGGTAAACCGAACGAACCAAATCAAACGAAAATTCGGTACAAGTCGATTACTGAACATGTAATTAGTATTTAAACTAAAAGTATAATTAAATATATATTTTTAAATATTTTTAATAAAATTTCGAAAATTCAGTTATTTACCAAACTGAAATGAAAATTGGGTAAATTACAAATACCCCCTGAGGTATGGTCAAATTACAAAATCCCCCTCTTGTTTGGATAATTACATCTACCCCTTCAACTATGATTTTTTCTTACACCTCCACCTTTATGGTGCCAAATTCAACATAATCATTTAGATTCCGTAGAATGTGCTCTAATTTGTACTCGTTTTGTGTAAAAATACAGTTTCCGATGCACCACAAACTAATATATACATGCTAAAAAACACATATTATGATCATCTTGTTTCATAATGTAGAGTTTGAATGAGATAAAACGGGTACAAAAGTAATAATATTCCATATAATCTCAAAGATTCCACTAAATTTGAGGACTTGAGGGGGTCGTTGTAATTATCCAAACAAGAGGGGTGTTTTTGCAATTTAACCATACCTCAGGGGGTTGTTTGTAATTTACCCATGAAAATTTGGCGTACCAAAACTTCAGTACGAGTTTACCGAATAAACACCTCTAAATTTACCAACTGGAAGGCTTTTTTTCGTAAGACTATATATATAGTTAAGGGGGTGTCTGTAATTATGCAAACTAGAGAGATTTTTCGTAAGTTCACCTTACTTAAGGGGTTGGCTGTAATTTGACCTAATTTTTACGACATTTTATTATATTATAATTTATATTATTATTATACACTGAAAAAGTAGCGATATTTTTCTGATATTTCACTGAAATTTTATTGTTAAAACAAAATAAACAATTTTCGTATGAATTAAGAAATCTCATTCTAACCTACTACCCCCAAATTCCATTTCTCTTTGATCAGCAGTTGCAATTTGCAGAGATTAATCCTCCGACGGTTGGTTCGATTTCAGTCACAATCTCCGGTGAAAATGGAGGGAGAGAGTTCGCGTGGAGGCGACACCGACGCCGGTTCCGGTGCCGACCCGACCCGGCACCCGCCCGCAGCCGCCGCCCGGGTCCGGAGGGCCGACACGTTCCTGATATGCTGCAGAGGCTTCAGCGTCATCACTTCTTTGGCCGCCATTCTCTGCATCGCCGTTAACGTTATCTCCGCCGTCCACTCTTTCCGGAATGCATCTGATGTAAGTATTCTCTTGCCCTGATTACTTTTTACTGTAACCTCATCATTTTCAGTCTAGGTTTTGAGCGCAATAAATTTTTTTTTTCACCCGTGTAGATATTCGATGGGATATTCCGGTGTTACGCGGTGATCATAGCTGTGTTTGTGGTGGTCGCCGAGACGGAGTGGGAGTTCGTTACAAAGTTCTCGAAGGTCCTTTTTTTTTTGTTGCTATTTATTACTCCCTATACTTTGTGTATGTACTTGTTGGCCGTTGACTATCTGTGTTATTATGTAAAATTTATCAATTCTTTCTCGCCAATTTAACACCGATATAACGAATCTAATCCGATTTTATTCAGTTCTAGTGGCGTTTTGAGCTTGTGTTCTAGCTTCTTAATTTGGTATGCAGTTAGTTGTGGGTTGATAGTTTCCGAAAAGATTGTTTATGAAGGTTTACGGAAAGATATATATTTTCTCAACATATCCAAAGCTGATGGAATTTTTTAATCTAGACTTTGCTTAAAACATATAATAATCTGATTTGCCAGGGTTGAAAAATTCAAATCGTCTGCTTGGGCAATTTTCTTTATGTGTTTTGAAGACTTCTGTCAACTCTTGTATTAAATCTTGACCATCATGTTGCAGATTCTGGAGTATTGGGCAGGCAGGGGAATGCTACAGATCTTGTATGTTCTCTCAAGCAACTTGTCTATAATTTATTGATCACATTGAGATCCATATGCTGACTTATTAAATCTTTACCAACAATGTCGTTGACGATTTTTAACTTATTTAATAGCGGCGTAGATTGATATTGAAAATCTGGTTGAGATCTAGGTTTTCAATCACCCTAAGTTTCTCAGAATTTTGTATTCGTCCAGTGACTTAAATTCAAGTTTTCAACTTGGTAGCTGGCGGTTCTCGTATCTATGTAGAAAGAAATCTTCGTTCCTCCAGATCTAAACAAACATTCTTATTCTTGGCCAGTCAGCATTTATCTGTTTAGACAAGATGTCAAAGCAAGAACATCATTTCTACATCTATAATACCATCTTTCCATCTCTCTTCCATGTTAAAGAACTGATTCTAGTTTTTGGAGTGTGAACCATGTTAGACGCAGTTGAATCCATTGATGAATTCAGGTACCCAAAATCAATAGATTATAAGTCTAACAAAATGATGGTAAGTCATAAGATAAATATCCGGAAAAAAAATTGCAAACATAACAGAATTTTTTTTTTTATTTAGTTAGGCATAACAGATTTGGTCGCCTTTACAGTGGTGGTGGATCCTAATAAATTCCTTATTGTTATTTGTGGTTTCGGTTTTTTCTTCTCCAGTGTTGCAGTGATGACGAGAGCTTACCCCGAGTACTTAAAGGACCATCAAGAGCTTTTTCTTCTGCAGAGCATTGCTAGCTACCTTCTCATTGCATGTGGTGTTGTTTATGTTTTCTCAGTAAGTTCATGCTACCATCACACCTACTAGTTGGTATTAGTTTTACTAAAGGGCAGTAGTAAATATCTCTGGTTTACTTCGTATAGTATATCCATATTTTCCGTAAATCTGTTTAGCGACTATTCACTTGAATGCGGTATGTTGCTTCAGTTTCGTATCTATAATCAAATTCATGTAAATTCAGCTCTAATTTGACGTCTGAATTTTAAATGGGGGGGTTTTAGGGAATATTCTGCATTGGCATGGTGAAGCGTGCGCGCCAGAAAAAAGAAGTTACCAGGGAGCAAGCAGCAAAGGATCTTGAGGTAATCTATTATGTTTCATTATATTGGGAACAAAAATTTATTATCTATCAACAATTTGGAGAATATATCGACTTCGAAGCTTAAATTTATGATAATATTCGTTTTTTGCACCCTAGTTTAGCAGTATAATTCAATGACCGATGATCTGAATCCTACACAGAATAAAAAAAACACTATGTTGGCTTTTGGGCCGGTAT